CAATCCAACATTAGATGACATATCAGTACTAATAATAGATGAAGCACATGAGAGAGCATTACACACAGATATAATTCTACCCATAGTAAAAGATATTTGTAACTTTAGAGAAAATATAAGAATAGTCATATCATCGGCAACTTTAGATGCTGAAAAAATTTCCACCTATTTTAATTGTGCTCCAATATTTTATGTACCTGGTAGAAAATACAACGTTGATATTTATTATACCATAAATAATGAAAGTAATTATTTATCCGCCATTGTAATTACCATTTTGCAAATTCACATTACACAACCAAAGGGTGATATTTTAGTTTTTTTACCAGGCCAATTTGAAATCGAACTTGTACAGCAAGAACTGGAAAATAAGTTAACCGAATTAGCCCCAAGATTTCGCAATATGATAATTTTACCAATTTATTCATCTCTTCCAGTGGAATATCAAGCCAAAATATTTGAAGACGTAACTGACGAGAACTGTTGTAGGAACAGTGAAGTGGATAACCAAGAGACTATACATGATGAGGGTGGTGGTGGTGGTGGTACTACTACAAGTAATGGCGAATTAGTAACAAAAGATAATTGCCTGGAGAAGAAAAGAAAAAAGAATGAACTTGCACTAAAGGAGACGCATAAAAATGATCAATTGAAAGTAGGTACTCAGAGAATAAGGAGGAAAATTATATTATCAACAAACATTTGTGAGACAAGTATTACAATAGACAATATTGTATATGTTATAGATTCAGGTTTATGTAAACAGAAAATATATAATCCAAGTTCAGGCATAGAATCGTTAGTCACCTTACCATGTTCCAAAGCATCGGTTAATCAAAGAACAGGTAGAGCTGGTAGAAAACAAGATGGGAAATGTTTTCGATTATTTACAAAAAAATCTTTCATTGATTTAAATGATAATTCAATTCCTGAAATCCAACGATGTGAAGTTAGTAGCATGATTTTATTATTAAAAAGTTTAGGAATGGATGACATTATAAATTTTGATTTTTTGGACCCACCTTCTCCAGTAGTTATTATAAAAGGTTTGGAACTTCTCTACTGCTTAGGCGCCTTAAATGATGAAGGGAATTTAACAAAAACTGGAAGAAAAATGGCAGAATTTCCAACAGATGTAAAATCAAGTAAAATGATTCTCTCAGCATCAGAAAAATATAATTGTGTCGATGAAATTTTAAGTATTACATCTATGTTAACACATGCGAATAACATTTTTTATGTTCAAAAAGGAAAAGAAAAAGAAGCTGAAAATGTTAAAAAAATGTTTACTATTGAAGGAGGTGGAGATTTTCTCCTTTTTTTAAACATATATAAGCAATGCGAAGAAAATAATTTTTCCACTTCATTTTGTTATGATCACTTTTTGCAATATCATACACTTATCAAAATCAAGGATATCAAAACACAGCTGACAAGTATATGTGAAAAAATTGATTTGCCAAATACTTCATGTGGCATTCAAAATCATGAAGCATTATCCAATATTAAAAAGTGCATTATAAGTGCCTTCTTCACCAATGCAGCCTTGCCTGTTAATAAAAACGAACTTAAAATTATAAAACTGAATCAGATTGTCAGTATATATCCCAACTCTGTCCTCTCGAAAAAAAATATCATGGAAGAAAACAAAAATGCCTGTATCATTTTTTATGAAGTTATTAAGATAAACAAGTCCTATATACGCCACAATATATCTGTCAGCAAAGATCTATTGTATGATATTGCATCCTTTTACTTTCACAACAGGGTGGGATGAGCCCCACGCAGGGAGATACATATATACTTATACAGATATGCTTCCTCGACCGAATGAACGAATTAGACTTGAAAATTTCCCTCATGACACTGGAAAAAAAGTTATACATCTGTATTATAGCTGTATCTATATATATATATATTTTTTCACGTGCAATCGCTAAAAAGTTTTAAAAAAAAAAATTTTTAAAGAAGCCCGTATAATCACATTGATGAACGAGGCAACAAGATGTACATTTATTACAACAAATTTGGAAAGTAGTTTCATATGAAAAATATTTGTTCTAAATACAAATATATGACAAATCAGTACAAAAAAATACATACCCTGTCGTGTGAAAAAAGGGAAACTTTAAAATTAGATAATTAAAGTAGCTACACAGAGTTAGAAAGAGAAAGACGCCTTTGGAAAAATGCAATTTTTTTTTATATATGGAATGAATAAATATACAAATATCAGTTTTAAGTTAAACAAAACAAAGGAAAAGTAGTATCCCCTTTTTTTTTTTTTATCCCCGAGTAGCTTGTATGTCCAACGTAAAGCAAGTTATTAGCGAGTTATTGGAAAATTAATATCAAGTTATTAGCAAATTATTAGCAAGTTATTAGCAAATTATTAGCAAGTTATTAGCAAGTTATTAGCAAATTATTAGCAAATTATTGCATTAAAGGAAAAAGTAGGAATATTATCACTGATGACTAGGTTGGTGTATAGATATTAACACAAATATATTAGATATATCTATATAAGCATAACCAAAATGAGTTTGTTGCAACGATAATAACACCCCAGTTAGGAGAACCAAAGTGACACACATACTTAACACTTCGCGTATCTTATGAAATTTCCAGGAAGTGCATTCCTATGACATTTTTAATACATCATTGATTGAAATATTCTTAAAAAAGAAAAAATAATAGTTAAATAATAGTTAAAATAAAATACCGTTTGGCATGGATTTACTTGTTCAGACTATGCCAACTATTCAAATTAATTAATAAGCATTGATTTATTTTCCATTCTTTATATTTTCTAACCGTCTTTTTTTTTTTTTTTTTTTTTTTTTTTTTTGCCAAACCGAATTTAGAACATTTTAATTCATATATGTATATATATACATGTGCAGACATACATGCGTACAAGCATATTTACCATTTTATAAATTTATTTATTTCATTTTTATTCCTTAAATTTTTTTATAAAAATCAATGAGAATCCCATTTATATTCGTACTTTCACCCTTTATATTAATCCGGCATAAAACGTGTTAGTTTACACATGATTTTGTGGATATTACATGTATGTATATATATATATATATAGCAATTTTCATTGTCAGTGCCCATCTTTATTCTTCTCCTTTTCAAATTTGTCAAAACTTATCTTACATTTGTAGTTGTCATTTCACGTGTGCATATATGCATAAATAGACGGATAAATGTGAATAATAACCTTTATATTTTTTTTTTTTTTTTTTTGTGTGTGTGTAATTGTTTAATTTTACATTTGTTTTACGTTTGTTTTAGTAATATAGAAGTGTGGACTCTACTCTATAAATTAAAACAGTGATAAAGATGGGCAAGAAGGAATACAAAATTTTAACATATTACACTGATAGCTTCCGTGTCTCTTATATATGTATGGAAATGCACGATTTTATATGAAATAACAAATTATTTTTCACGTATGACATAATATATAGGCATAATGGGGACATATAAATTACACATGTATTATGCACATATATATTTTTCTTTTTTTTTAAGAACGAAAACACAAATCTATACATATGAAAGCATTACATAAAGAAGTATGTCGATTGTAGTAATTTGTTTAAATTTAATTATAGATCTCATTTTATGTAAGACAAATAAGAGTTTTTTTTTTTTTTTTTTTTTTTTTTTAAATAAAATTGAATCAAATATAATTAGTTTTAATTGTGTCATCATAATTAAAAATTAAGAAACGTCAACAAATTATCTTTAATGTATGGGAAAAGTCCCGAATTTTTTTCTTTTTTTTTTAATTTGTTCCATAATTCAAAGGAAAAAAAAAAAAAAAAAAAAAAAAAATAGTGTACATGTATATTAAATATGTAAATATACATATATATATTTACATACTTATGCTAGTGTATGAAAATATGTAGGTCCCTTTAAAAAATACCTTATAATTCAAATGAAGGCAACATCCTTCTCCAATTTTCCGTTCCCCTAAACCAGAGAAAAAGGTATTACAGATCCTAGAGGCGTTCAAAATAGTAAATACACATCAAAATGAACAGTAGTGATATGTACATATATATATATATATATATATATATCTTTTAAGTTTAAGAAAATTAAGGAAAAACGGGGAACGGAATTCCTTTTCCTTCTCCGTGTGTTTTTTCCTTGTCAATTGTTGGCTAAGAGATGAACTTCTTTCTTCAAATCGATTCAGTATTTGTATTTTGTTGAATAGTCTTTTGGTGATATAACTAAACCTCTTCCTTTTCTTGCCCCTCTAAAAATGGTTTCAACGATATCAATAAATTCTTGTTTATTGTTCATAGGCCAATTAATTTTATTATTATTACCAGTACCTAAATCTATCATCATATGTTTGTTACGATAAAAAAACATAACAGAAACAGGATCATACAACTCGTACATTGTATTAAAATCTGGAACTTCTGTTATATCTACTAAATATATTACACAAAAGTTTTTTATATCTTCAGCTACCTTGTATAATAATTCATCCATTTTCATACAATCGGGATCATAATCATGGCCAAATCGAATACAAACGAGTCTTTCTTCCTCATTTATTATTGCCTGATCAACGGCCCAGCCGCTATTTAAGTGTTGTAGCATAAATGACATTCTTAATGGGAAAAATGTTCACTTTGTAAGAAAATTAATAAGAAATTGGTTGGAAACAGCTACTACTATATATTACTAAAAAACTTCTAAAATGGTGCAAAAATATATAGCCACAAAACAGTCATAATTTATAAATAACTCATGTGTAAATAAACGAAAGCATCATAACAAAGAAAATAGTTTAAATAATCAGGTTATTTCTTAAAATAATTCTTACATTTTTAAATTGCATGATTTTTCTAACCCTAACTAAAACACCACGGCAAAATAGTACATTTGCTTATTCTTTTGAGTATTGATAAAAATGACTTTGAAGTAATACTTATTTTTTTCCTTTTTCATGATTATTAACTAGTGAATAATAACCATTTTACATGAACAGTGGGGCCTCTCCCACCCATAAAAAAAAAAAAAAAAATAGCTGCCTTAAATGAGCTATATTAGTGTAACTTGAATATTAAATAGGGAAAAAAAAAAAAAAAAAAAAAAAAAAAAAAAAAAAAAAACAGGAAAAAATCCACATATACATTTGCACATATAGCTCTTTCCTATAACCATCACGTGATATGAACTTGCATGAAATCTAACTTCTTTTCTCCATATTTTTAAAAAGACTTTATTAACGCATTCGATAATTATATAAAATGTGTGTATAAAGCAAAATGCACACTTTTACCCACAATGGGTTTTTTTTTTTTTTTTTCTAATCATATATTACCTAAATGTGTTCACAGAAATTTGCTGAATTGTAAAATAAAAATTTTTACGAAAATTGGTGCACATTTCAATTTACATATATTTTCATTAATAAACACACAAAAAAAATGAACAGTTCTTTTTGCTATGTGTGTTATAGTTATAAAGTATTAAATTTTAATGGGGGAAGAAATCCTTGATAGAGAGAGATGATGGGCTTCTTTTTAAAAATACATTAATTTGTAGATTAAATAGCAAAATGGAAACGGGCTTAGTCTAATTGAAATGAATAGATGTAAATTAAGTGCAACAACTAGAAAGAGTTACCAAGCAAACGAACCCAACTTGTCAACCAAAGAGATATTTTTAATTTATAGACAAAAATGGCTAACACAATTTGGGGCATTTTTCGTTGTAGAATTTTCCTTTTAAAGAGGAAAAAACTTATAATATGTAATTATACCTTACAAACAAAATTTTCATGAAACTCATCTTAAATTAAGTTTACTATAATATGTAACACTTAAATCTAAAACTTACTGTGTTTTTTTTTTTTTTTTTTTTTTTTTCGTTAAGGTAAAATTCCATATATGGAAAATTAAACAATTTTATAATAAAATATAAAAAAAAAAATTAGACACTGCAGTTTTAATTTTTGTTTACAAGCCCATTTTCCATTTGATGAGAAATTTTGTTTTGATGAGCTTAAAAATATACATTGTTCCACCGTTTCCCTATCTCCCTCACTCTTTTCCCCTTTCTATTTCCCATTCTTTTTCTCTTTCTCTTTCTCTTTCTCTTTCTCTTTCTCTTTCTCTTTCTCTTTCTCTTTTTTTTTTTTTTTTTTTTTTCGTTTACACCTTAAACATATTAAGTTTTGATAACCCTATATTTCCTTTCTTTCATACAAACAGGTAAAAGGCATAAAACATGCTCTTTTAACCTTTAAAAATTTTATACGACTTAATTATACAATATTTTAATAATTTCTAATCATGTGGGAAGAAGTAATTTTCCCAAAAGATGTAAGAAATTGCTCTTTTTTTTTTTTTTTTCTCTCTTTTTTTAAAGTTTGCGTAAAATGAAAAATTTTTACACTAACAAAAAAATGTTAGGAACAATTTCTGCTGGACCTTATTTATTACATGTCATTAACAATTCAAGAAAAGATAGTTTTTAAAACTCTTCTATTTACACCATGCATATAACTTTTCCGCCTTGCATATATGTATTTGTGCAAGTGTGTGTATATAAGAATGTGTATGTATTTATATATACATAAAAGATATACCTTCAAGAGTGATCCATGTTCTCTTGAAATTCGTTGAAATCGAATTTTACCTCGCGACATCAAAAAAAAAAAAAAAAAAAAAAAAAATTGGCAAAAAGAATGGATTATTTTTATAAATAATATATCCACACATGTAAGCTTATATGTGCACGTATTTATACACATATATACAAAGTCTAAAACATTTGTAACATTTAAACCCTTTCACGCTTCAGCTAATTAAAAAATGTTCTAGCAAAATTGATGTTCCCAACTTCCAACATGTGTATGTTACGCTTTATAGTGACAAATGTCGATGTTGTAGAAACCTTAATTTTATATTTTTCCATTACATTGACGAAGGAAGAGTTTGTGAAATTTTCATAAATCGCAAAAAAAATAAAATAAAAAAAAGGGTGAAAAAAACTGAAAAAAAAAAAAAAAAAAAAAAAAAAAAAAAAACTACAAATGTGCAATAAAAAACCATTTCACGTTTACGTTTCAAATAAATAACGCATAAAAAAGGCATGTAACAATTATTTGAGTTTGCGTAAAAAACGTAGAACTAAGCAAAGCAAACAAATTCAAAAACAGGTGTAAATTGTAACCATTACCTTAATTGTAGTAATCATAATTTATTTTATTTTTTTTTTATACTTTCGTTTGCATTTCTCCACTAATTTATTACTGCATTTACGCAAACGCACATATATATACATGTGTGTATGTGTGTTATACACACACACATACAAGTGTGCTTCTATGCAATATCATTTAAACACGTTGAAGAGGACTCATATATTTATTTACTTAACCCCCCCCCCCCCGCCTCTTCCCCCTCTTAATGACAATGATTAAATGCACCCATCTAATTTTTCCTTCCATCATTAAGAATTTATTTTTCATTTTGCTACGTTAAGATGAATATAAAATGGCTATCGAATATATCACTTTTTAATTATAAGGAAAAAAAAGGAAAACATAATTTTGTTAGAAGCCGAAAAAGGTTTCGAACCATAACATGGAAATACACCAAAACAATTGGACCATTTGCTTCATTCATATACATATTTAACCAAAGCATAGGATCAAGTAAGCAAAATGAGAGAAATAGAAAACTAGGGGGTCTTATTTTGGTGGTTAGCCTGGGCTAGCCAAAACAGACACAAAAATGGAGAGAAAATAATATGAAACTAGGGGAGGTGAAAGGAATTATTCGTGCCGGAAAATGAACATAAGGGAAGAATATACAGTGTAGTCCAAATGACAAACCAGCACAGAAGCAGCCATTGCATGAGTGGTTTTGCACAATAGAACAGGAACTTCGTGCCTTAGAGAAATACAGAAAAATTGTGTGAAAATAAAAAAAAAATGATAACAACGAAACAACAACGAAATTAAAAAAAAAAAAAAAAAAAAGCTACTGTCCTCACTCAATAATGAAATTTTCACACACATTTGCAGGCCTATTCGATATTCCAAGTTTAATAGACGAGGTAGGATGGATCCCAGTAATTCTTGGAAATATGTTTATCTGTTCAGTGGCTGTTTTTTGCAGCCTAATGATATTAAGAGCCATGACTATGATACCAAAGAACAAAAATTTTGAACAGAGAATTGAATACAGTGCAGTTATAAAATATTTTATGTCCAATGAAAAATATAAAATTGTTTCCTTTTTATACCACTTGGGGAATTTATGTAATAACATTTGTGGTATACTTGTCATATCAAAAATAATAGACATATTCATTATTAAATTATTTGGGCATACTATATTATTTCAAGTTTATCCAGAAATAAAAATTTCGAAATGTTCTTTATCTCTTTTGAACTCTATGTTTAATGGGTATTATTATTCGAGCACAGGACATTATGAAACAATAGTAATATATGGTTTTACCTTAGGCTATATTATTAATGCAATTATATGTATACATTTATCATCCAAAGGATTAGAAGAAACTATAAATTATCAATATGTTGTTTTTATGATATTTATGACTTCCTTTTTATACCTTTCCGTTTCTTCTACCATATATTTACTTTCTCAAAATTACATTGATGAACACAAAGCAATTAATAATTTGGATGCATATAACAATTTAATATTAAATAGAGTTCATTTAGAAACTGATTTAATAAAAAATTATGGCAAACATAAAGAATTGAATAATATTCAAAAAAACCTCCAATTATGTAAAAATCCATTTTTTGATAAATGCCCAGGTATGAACAATTTCGAAAAAAATAATTCACCAGAATCTAGCCCCAATGCAGAAATATCTAGATTCAAGAATATTGTGCATAATTTCCAAAGAGAATTAAAAAGGGACCATTTACAGAGAAATAATAAAATATTCAGTTGTTCATGTTTTTATTTAAATCCTTTATATAAAAAAAATGTGTATGTATTTCACAACAATATTTTTTATTTTATGTTATCAAGTTGTGTAAACAGATTAAATATTAAAAATACTAAAATTAGACAACATTTTTATTCTGTATACAAATTTTATGAAGAAAAAAATATCATCGATGGAAGAATTTCAAGTCAAAACATGATCAAATGGTGGAATCATAAAATAGAGATGCTTAAAAAAAAAGAAAATAATGATTATATAGAGAATAAGTTTCATAGTACATACAATCGTAATGGAGGAAAAGAAGAAGGAATCAATATGAACAGCCATCAAGAGAACCTAAACTACGAGAAAAAGGAAAAAACAAACAAAATGTTCTTTAAAAATTTGTACTATATGATAAGCAGGATAGAGGGAATAAAAACTTACTGTATGGGAAAAACATTTGCTAATTTCATTGATTCTTACGGGTTCGTAAGTAATATTCCATCTTGGGGAAATGAAATAACGGATGATGTTAATGTATCAAAATCTATGTGGGTTACAGCAATTTTTAGCAGCATTTTTTATTTTATATTCGGTCTTATATTTTGTCTCAATAATTCATTTCAAAATATTAATACTTCAGTTTTATATATTTTTAACTTTGTTGCTGTAGCTCCTAAAGTTATTACGGGTTCTATATCCATGCGTTATGATTTGATGAATTTAGATATATGCTCTGATAGTGCTGCTTTTTTTTTTGGATGCATAGCACCCTTTTTATCTGCATGGATATTTTCGAATGGCATTATTTTTTCAGATGCATTTAATTATATAAGTCTAATTTGTGGCCTTTTTTGTAATTTTTTGTCTCCTGCATTTGCATATATATCAGCATGTGAAAGCAATAAATCTTTTTATAAAAATCCATTAAGAAAATACACAATTGTGAACAGAAAAAAGACAGTTTTTTCATGCAGTTCGGATATTCGAAAAGCACTTGGAAATATAATTGATACATTTGATGACAATGACAATCTTTGTGAAACAGAAGATGGTGATAACGAGAAGGAGAATTATCAATATAATTGTCACAGTAATCAGAGTGAAAACGAAGGAATAGTAGGATACAGAAGATCGATGTCGTTAAACAGGTATATAAACCCGAAAGAATCACAAATATCTTCAGTTAGTGGAAGTTCTTATTTCAAATTAATAAATGGGGAATATACACCTAAAAGCTATTCAAAGGATAGCACTTGCTATGGTTCCCTATCATATAAAAGTTCAAATGATTTTAAATTATTAAGTAATAATGACAGTTATGCACGTGCATGTGCAGAAACAATCGAAATGGAGCAACTTTGCATAAATGAAGATATTAAAAAGGAAGATAATACCGATAACAATGCTTGCACAGAAAAAAAGAACAACCAGAAGAAGAAGAAAAAAAAAAAAAAAGGAGTTATGTTTTCAGATGAGGTAAAGGAATATTCTTCAGAAAAAATTTCCATATCCAAAAGTATTTGTCCTTGTGATGAAAATGGGTTAAGAAATATCACTAGGGTGAGTAATTTGAGTACAAAAGAATGTCAAACGAATGACAAGAACATAGATGTGGAGCCAAAAAAGGTGTCCTTTTCAATGGAACAAAATCGAATAAAAAATCTTGACGACATGTGCAAAGTCGAAAATATATCTCATGAACTTTTAGAAGATAATAAAAATACTCAAAAAGAGAAAAAGGGGAAAAAAATATTAATGTTTGCAGACCAAGTAGAAATGTGTAATGATGTAAACACAATTTTAGAAACAAAAAAACAACAAAAAAAAAAAGGGGTAACATTTAAGGATGAACCGAAGGAACCATTTATAGAAAATGCAAAGTATGAAAAAAAGGAAAAAAAAGTAGTAATGTTTATGCACACTGCACAAGTTTCCAGCGAAGAGATAGATATAAAGGAAAACAGACAAGTTAATAAAACCCTAAATGATCAAATGATTAGTAAAAAAAAGGAAGAACCAAATGGAAATTTGAATCCAATAAGTGACGCTGAAAATTTAAAAGAAAAAGAGGGTACGAAGGAATACAAAACAAGCCTATTTAAATACGAAAATGAAAACCAAACAAAATCGAAGGAAATATTAAAGGAAGAATCAACTTTATCAAATATTAAAGAAAATGAAGAAGAAACTAACAAGAATAGTAAAAACAAGTGCACAGATAAGCAGAACCATATTGTGGATAACCATTTTCTTCAGGAAACCATTAACCAGAAGTGGTCATCAGAGAAGTTTTCCCATTATGAAATAAAAAAAAAAAATAATAACAAGTTTATAATGAATGACGAAGAAAATGGAAAAAATTGCATTGTTTCCAATGGGCAAATTGTCGAAATTGAAAATTGTAGCGAAATTGCAGAAGCAGCACAACGTTCAGAAAATGAAGGCATTCCAGACGAAGACAGGATAGAACTTAAAGAAAAGAAGAGAAAAATCCTAAAAAGTCGTTGTGTTCATTTTGAGGAGGATAGACCAAATGATACTTTTCCAACCTTGCTAAAAAATTCAGACACACAAATTGAGAACATCACACAGTATGAGAGAAATTTTAGTGATTTAAAAAATAATTATGATGTGAAAAAAGAAATGAAAAAAATAGAACTCAAAGAAAATAAGTTTATAAAAAAAAACGATTCTTTTGAACATAAGGAACAAATTTTTAAACGGCAGAGGGGAAAGCTAAAATCCTATTGTAAACATACCATAACAAATGTGCTAGAAAATTTCGACAAATATGATAATTCAATACAAAATGTTCAACCATTAGAACAGAAGGAAAATAACAGAGATAAAACTCTTAACAATACCTTGAAAACGTATGAAAAGTGGAATGAAATTAATCCTAATTGTAACGCCCCTGATGGAAGCTATACTAATGACAAACTTTTTGTTCAAGACACAATGATTGAAGAAATTGGTGATATTCGTAATAAAGAAAATACATTTTCTTCTTTTGAAAAGGATGATTTTGCCATTATTTCCAATGAGCAGATAGATAAAACTCGTGACAGAAATAAAACAACAGTTTTTTCAGAACAAATTCATCAGATCAAAGAAAATGAAACTGGAACATCTGACCCTATAAGAATGGAAGGAAAGTCATATAGTATTAATTTGAAGAAGGAAATCTCAGAAGATAGCGAAATTTTAATTAATTTGAAAGATGTAAGAGATGAAAATTATTTAGACAAGAATAATTCACAAATAGGACAGTCGCTACACATATACCAAAAGGAAGACAAATTGGGGGAAAATTCACGATGTTTTCATTCTGATGATGTGTTAACTTGTAAAAATCACAATAATTGTGGAACTATTATAAATAATTGCCAAATGAATCTTCTAATAAATAATGCTAGCTATAAAGATGAACGTGGATCTTTGCTTAGTCACTCCAAGTCAGATGAACTAACAGGAAAAACAAGCAATATCATGCATATCTTTTCACCACAAGAAGAAAATATTCAACACGAACAACAGTTTCCTTCATCTTTAAAAGATCACAAAAAAAATTTGTTTTCATTTCTGAACAATCCTAACAAATACAAAAGTGCATCATATGAAATTATATCACTACCTGATAACACTACTATGCAACATAGAAAACTGAAAAGTTTAAGCACACAGGGTTCAATTAACGAAGTTGAGGAAACATGCAATAAGAAGGAACTTAATAAAAATAACATCCTATTTATTAGACAAAGAAAAAAATTAAAATCTTCCTTTCATGCAAATGGTGATATGATAACAGGAAATCATAAAGAAGCAATACACAAAGAACAAATTAACGAATTTCGTAAACAAATAAGTGAAGAATCGTACATAACTAATTATTATAATGATGAGCAATGCACAGGTATGTCACAAACCCAGGAATGCCAAATGGAAAAGGAAAAGACAAATCAAGTGAACATGAATAAAGATAAAATTGTTCAGGATAATCAAAAATTAGAAATATCAACAGGAACTATAATGAAATCGTGTGAAACGGAAACGATAACCCCAACCCCAGATGTGGTGCTAAAAGATTCTATAGAATCCAAATCCATAGAATTCCCAAGACGTAAAACATGTTACAAATTTGTAGACATTTCGAAATTAATTAGTGACTTAGATGAATGTGAATTCGAATCTGAAGAGAATAAAAACATAGACAGTGTAGAACATAGAATAGAAGACAATAATGAGGGAAAGAATGATGAAGAGAAAGGATATTATTTTATGAAGTCAACGATTGACATAAATTTAAGTACTAATAAAAGCGTTAGTTTTCATGAGGAAGAAAACGAAATAATGAGGAAAAAAGCTACATCAGCAGAAATTGAAAAACCAGATGTTGTGAAAAAACTTGAAAAGATGTACTCTGCATTATCAAATAAATTGCATTCGGAGAATTCAGAAATTTTTACAAATGATGACACTGATTACACGGATTGCGTTGATGTTCGTTGTTTTAAAATTATAGATAACATTAGTCCTGTTAAACATTATTACAATGCTTTTCATAGAAGTAGAATTTTAGACTCCAAAAAATATGATCATATTTATTCAAATGACATTATGATAGATAACAAAACAAATATGGACCATTTATGTTCCATTTTTTTATTTGGAAATCCTTTAGAAAGAAATGAAGAATATGAAAATAATAAAAAAAATTTAGATTCACTTGACGAACCAAAAGACATAACTAAGGATACCCAAAAAGAAATAGATAATTCACAAGACAAATATGATTCTACTTCAAAGCATAAAGATAAAAAAAAAAATATTTTACAAGACAGATATGATTCCACTACAAATCATGAAGATGAAAGAAAAGATATTTCTTCCAATTCTCTTTTTTATGAAGAAAAGGACAATCTTATTATACGCTCCTTTTCAGGAAATTTAGGAAGACACGGAAAAATACAGAAGAGAACTATATTCGAAAAAAGTGAATTACGCGCCACCACTGGCTTGTCTCGAAGAAAATCCAACTTAAGCTTTAATCCCAATGAAGAAGTTATTAATTCAGAGGTAATGAAAAAAAAAAAAAAAAAAAAAGGAAAAGAAACACTTTTAAGGATAATAAAATTTATGAGAATATGTTAAAAATTAAAATAGCATGAAAATGCACATTTGCTAAAGTTATATTGTTTAACACATACTGATACATTTGAAATGTGAAAACATGGTTATATACAATTTATTTTGTATATTTTAAGCCCTTCCCCATTTATTCATATTTACTTCCTGTAAATTTGCTACGCCATATAGAAAATTTTCATTTTATTCATATTTTAAATAATGAACTGTTTTATCATAATAATCTTATATGTATGTTAGACAATTGAAATATCCTGAGTTTTACCCTTACACATGTGTAATATACATATGTATATATATATATTCTTTATTTTTTTTTTATTTTAAGGAATTAAATGACATAATTCGAAGCAACGACATCGTTGGAGACGTACAGAAAAGGAGCTCTAATAAAATAGAAGTTATAAAAATTAGAATTCATGTATACCCATCCCTTCTCCAGAAATATCATGTAGAAACTACTTACTTGTTATTGGGATGTCTAACAGTTTTTTCATTTGTTGCTATTATATCTGATTTGTTATTTGTTTAACTGTGAAATTCCTGGGTCCCGATTTTTCATAATATCTCGTTAAACATGTGTTAACAAGTGTAAGAAGTATAAAACATATTTTATTTTTTATTTTTCATTATGTCTTTTGAATTATTTTATTTTTCTTAATTAACATTCACTGATTTTTAAAGTTCACGCCCTTCGTACAGGCATCAATATTGTGTGTCAGATTTTACAACCTTTGTTTTTTAGTTTTTACTTGCAAATATGTACACATGTAAATTTATGTATGTGTACAGATTACTCCATAATTTTAGTTCGTAATCTGTCACATTTCTATGTATACACTTCTTTACGGACGTGTACTAAAAATTTTGAATGATTGTGTGTGTTTAGCCATTTACATCTTTTTTCTTTCCTTTCTTTTCGTTTTTTTCGTTTTTCTTGTTTATTTCTCCTTTTTGGTTTCTTTCATTTTATTTTTTTTGGTACAAATTTTTATGGCAATTTTATTTTTTGGAACCATGGGTACACATTCTCATCGATAACTTTTAATGCCAAATTATTTTTAATTCAATTAAAAATAGTTTTTTTGCCCTTTTTTTTTAACGCCTTAATTGCGATAAAAACAGGAAAAAGAACAAGAATTTTCAATTATAGAAATAATTTTTTCACAAACGTCATATCACGCTATCTTTACAGCGTTATTTAATTACTGAATTCTATATAAAGCAATAAAAAGTTAAATGTGAATTTAAAAAAAAAAATTCTCTTTTATTGCCCAAGGCACACTTTTTTTGTTTCACATTTACAATGAGTAAACTCAGTTAAAAATTTACAATTTTATAGATTATCAAACACTCTTATTTTTTGCAATTTTTTTTTTTATACATAACTCATTAAATGAGACCTTTACCATTAATTCTATAGAAAAAAAAAAAAAAAAGTGTAAATAGACGTGTTTATTTAATAATGAAAAAGAAGAAATTTACGGTCTACAATTTTTTTTTTTTTTTTTTTTTTATTCAAAAATTTTCAATCTCATTATACGTTAAGTGCAGATGTTGCGTAAGGAATTATTGCAACACCTTGAACACTTTTTTTATTTTATACACATTTTTCGTGGATTATCACTTAACGTGTAAGCATGAAATAATTACAAGTTATTTATAATGAACTCTGACCGCTGTGTAAAACTAACGAATTGTACAAATTTGTGATATCCACAATTTATTTTTTGTTTTTTTTTAATTTTTAGCATAAAATAATTGACTCTATTATTACATAATTTATTTAATATATATATATATGCACATATTGTCGTCTAAATAAAAAAAAAAAAAAAAAAGACAAAAGGAATTAACTTTCTGCATGAAGCTTAACCAAGGGAATTTAGCGCACATATAACAAATTATTTAAAATTGTAGTGCTAAACAATTAAAGATGATATTTTCATTAATTGAAAACATCATATATAATTTTTTTTTTTCTTTTAAATACTAAAAGGAATTAATAAAATTAAATTGTGTAATGTTTAAAATGGGCTCAAAAGATAAAGACACTTTGAAATTAAAATATAAAATCATACATATATCATCTAATGATAAAGATCGTGATGTTATGAACCTATTAAAAAACACTGGTGTGGAAATTTATAAACCATGGCTAAGCGAAAAAAATTGCATATACCCTCAAGAAATTATTTTACAAATAAAACCATCCAAAATAAAATATTTAGAATTTTTGTCTCATGAATACGCCATTAGCAAGAAAATTGAAATTTTTGTGTCAAATGACAATAGAGATTACTTAAAAGCCGGTTTTTTTAGATTTAATGACAACACTTCAACAAGTTATTGTGCTAGAGAACTGAAATATGTATATTTGCCTTGCCCCATAAAATGTACATATATCAAATTAAAGCTTTATAGCCCCTATCAGAACTATTTAAATACTCATGCACAAGTTGGACTGTACTACATCAATATAATTCCTAAAGAAATGTCATTGAAAATTATATCTGAAATAACTCCTGCATTTCTTAAACTATCATCCTTAAACCATAATGAAAATAAAGATTATAATGATAATTTGGGAAATGATAAAAAAGCACTTCTACGAAAAAAAGGGGCAAATGTACAAAGGTCTAATATCACCAATAACAATGTTACAGACAACTCTTCTGAAGGAGAAATGTATCGAGGAAGCTTCAAAAGTTCGTATCCTAAGAATGACAAAAGTAAAATTAATTGCTTATACGAAAAATTAGAGAATAAAATAAAATGCTTTGAAAAATTAAAAGGAGAGTGTGTTGCAAAAGAAGAATACAACATGGCCTGTGAACTTAAAAAAATTGTAAATATTTTTATTTTTTTGAAAAATGTAATAACGTTTTTAAAGGGGAAAAAAAAGAAATACGTTAAAGAAGAAAATTATGGAAAGGCTAAAAGGCTAAGAGAGAAGGAAATAAAGATAAAAATTATAATAAAGAATATAGAGGAATTAAAAATCATAGATGATTGCTCTAGAAAGTCGTACTACGCTTGGCTATCTTTATATTACAAAGAACTTGAATTTTATGAAAAAGAGATAAATAAAATTATGTCTAATGAAAATATAAAAATTATAAAAAAAAACTCTGGGCTTTTTGATCAATATAATAGTAAAAATTATAGTGGTCTAGATTTAAATAATGTTCTCCTACTCATATGCAGCGATGACGAAAAAAAAAGAGAAATGGGTTTTGACATATCCTACAAACCATTCGAAGATCGTAATAAAAAAAACACGAATTTTTGGAATAATAATGTAGAGCCCTTATGCTTAATTATTAAAAGGGGAATATCAGATCCTTATTACAACATATTTGTAAAAAGTGTTGTCACTTTGGAAAAAATGCTAACTTTGTTTCAGGATTTTTTTTTTAAAACAGACAACATAGATGATCCTGATGATTCTAATAACAAAAATGCAAAATATATAAAATGCATAATTTCCGCACTTTTGAAACGTTTAGATGATCCTAACCTTGATGTTGTGGATATTTGCATAAAAACAATAATGATGATGCTGCATAACAATTTCATTTCTTTTAAGTGTGTATTCTCAACCATATTATCAATGTTGTTTTACCTGTTTTCTGGAGATGCTATATCAGAAATAAATGAAAAAATAATTGTTAGCTTAATGAGTTTTTACTACTCTTTGATAAACAAATATTACACAACTGTGAAAAATGATATTAATTTGAAAAAGGTGCTAGAAATTATATCCATTTTTGTGGAAGTAGATGTTCAGCCTATTAAACAAACATCTTTGGATTTTTTCGTAAATATATACAATAGGGTTGAAAATCGAAATGAGCTATTTGATGAATTTTTATTAAATGTTTCATTTGACACAAAAAACCTTATATTAAATCGTGTAAATCAAGAAGAAAAGGAAAAAACAAAAATATCAATAAATAACAATAGTGAAAAAAAAGAGAATGAAAATGAGAATCCCGAAAAAAGTTGTACGTTTATAAATAATAATGAATTGCTAAACAAAAATTGCTTGAATAATAAGCATCTAAAAACACAAGATATTGTTTATCCATGTGAAAATAACATCAAAAGGGGTGACGTAGATGATGATATTAGAGTTAGTCTTGTGGACAGTGCCAATAAAGAATGTTATACAACTTTAGTAAAAAACTCTGACAATAAAATAATTGATAGAAATTCAAAGTTAACAATCGTAGAAAAAAGCAATTTAAGAAAGGAAACATGCCATAGTGAAATTAAAGAGCTTCAGGGAAAAGTTAATTATAAACAAAATGAAGAATGTGAAAAAGAGCACCATATCGATTCAAACCCAGAAAAGGAAACCCAAATGAATGTCGCCTTAAGGGGGTTACATAAAAAGCATAGTAGTACTTATGAACACGAAAAACACGAAAGTGTTTCAAAGGAAGGACAAAGTAGTAATATTATAAAAAATGAAAAAGTAACGGATGAATGTGAATGTGTCGAAGATTTGATAAACACAGACGAGAAGAATGAAACCGATATTTCCCCTCTTACATGTAAATATTGCTTTAAGACAGATGAATCTTTCACAGAAATAGGTTTAGAAAAACATTGGATTAAGAAATGTCCTATGCTTTGCACTTGTCCAAATTGTTTTTTAATAGTTGAATTAGTTGTTATTCATGATCACTTTTTATCCGAGTGTTCACACAGTTATATGTATGAAATGTGTGGATACTGTAATAAAATTGTGAAAAAAAGTTTATTAGATTTTCACGTGATGAATGAATGCAATGGTAAAAAAACTGAATATCTTTCTTGTTATTATTGTTCCCTTTACATCGAATCATTTGAAATAGATAAATGGAGAGCTCATTTTCTATCATGTTCTAAAAATCCTAGGCTGAAGCAATAGAATGGGCTACCTCTTTTCCATAATAGTAGTATCTATTATGTGTGTTAACAAAAAACGTTTTAACAGTTTTTTTTTTTTTTTTTCAATTAATATACTTCATTCACTATTGCATCATTTTTACGCGTTTAAAAGTTTCGGTTAACAATTTATGTAAGCCTGACTATATTGCTCTTATTGTAATTTCAACAATAAAATTGTTTTTATTGTCTTAAAAGTGGCAATGTTTATTTCCATTTGGACAAATTTGAATTTATATGCTAAAAAATTAAACAAATTAAAAACCTCAGATAACACAGTACTAATATTTCCCAAAAAATTAATATAGTTTTAAGGTCCAATATAATTTCTTTTAAGCTGAAGAACAACATATTCTTGTTTTTACCAGCTCACATTTGCTACATGAATTACATGAATCAAATGTAGAGTCTCTTTATACAATTAAATTGAATATGTAAATAGCAATTTTAAGAAGTCATTTTAAGGGCACTGCACATATTTTTACTTTTTGTAAATGAAAACAAGTCTTATAATCTTTTGTTTTCATGCTATAAGCTAAGTGGGTTTTAGAAATAAAAATTTTAAATCATTAAACCATAAAATTTTAATGCATAATGCAGCACATCTTTCAAGCTTTGAAGCAAAAATACATGTTTATACAAATAGAAAATGAGTTATGTAATAAAGAAAAAACGAAAGATAGGTGTCATTGTCATATCACTGCGTTAAAAGTGAAATTAGCAATATTTTTTTTAATTTGTAGATGTGCATTAACAAAAATTGATGTAATCATAAAAAGAGACTTCATTTTAATGAAATGAACACGTTGCATTTGGAATAAATTTTGAAATGTTTAATTTTAAACAATGTTAATGTGTGTATTTTGTCTTATTATTTTTTCATCATTTTAAATTTTGGTATAGATTCTAAATGAAAATTAATAATGTTTATGTAGAATTAGCCATATAAGACAATGTTTTTGCAAAATTGTCTACCAAGTATACATAAACGCTAAAGAATAAGTATAATATATACTTATTATATATGTATCACATTCTTTTTATCAGTGTGTTAAGGTTTCTTTTTAGAATTGAGTTTCCAATAAATAGTTTGTCTTCAAGGAAATAACTTAAGAAAATTTTTTCTTCAACCAAAGGCATACAAGCTCAACTTTTTATATTTTTCATTTAAAAGATTATTAAAATTTCTTAAATTCGTTGTATAATTGTCTACCTCATTGTATACAATTAATTTGAAATGTATTTTTCAGCCATGACGTTTCATGATATCCTTTGAAAAAATGGACATAGAAGAGTTCTTGAAAATAATTCTAGCGGGAATAAGATGATGCTTTTAAGTCATTATTGAATTAATTTTTAAACAGAAATAGCTCTAAAGTTTTATTTATTTACGTACACAAGTATTAAAATGCCTTTAATTTAATAATAAGGTTATTTAAAGTCCAAAATGTGGATAACATAATTTCCATGAAGATTTGAATTTTTTAGTAGTGCATGAGGATTTGAAAAATCATTTTTCTCATAAGGTATCCTAAATAATAACATATTTATGTGACTTCTGTGCAAGAAAAAAACGTATGAAAAAATTGTCCTAATAAATTCGTTTTTTCCATTTTGTAATTATATAAGACATGGCAATGCCTTGAATAGCTTTGAACACACGAAAATAGACGCATTACAATGTTTATAGGTAACAGAGAATCAAAATAAAAAAAAAAGAAGGTAATGTAGGAACTTGATAAGGAAAATCATAGTACATGTACAATAAAAAATACTGCTTTTCTTGTAAACAATGGCATAATTTTATTACTTGAAAACTTCTTTTTGTATAAAAAATAGCGTTATTGAATTTTATAATAGGCCACAAAATAAGGTCATGCATGTTAAAGAATGGGGCAAATGTTCTATAAAGAACAATACAGTAATGAAAAGGCATTTTATGAAAAAAAAAAAAATGTGATGCCCATATAACATATATATATAATATATAATTATACACATGAGGAATATTCCAATTATATTTAGCAGAAAATTGCAATTAAAAATAATTTATTAATTACTTCGTAGAATAGAATTTGCATTATAGGATGTTATAGAAAATATTGTTATTAAAAAAAAATAATAAAAATAAATATATATCAATTAAGTATTTAAAAATATTGACAACTTATTTAAAAAAATATTTAATATAAATTAACAAAAATAATAATTAATATAAAATATATAATTAATTTAAATATGTTATAATTCAGTAGAGATTAATTATAAAAATTAAATAATATAAAATATATTATTAAATATCTAATTAAATTAATTTATTTAATAAATATAATATTATCGAATGTATAAATTATATTTAATAAATAAATTTTATTGAATATATTAATTTATTTAATAAATAAAATAATATTTGAATATATAAATTACATTAATTAATTAAACAAATAAAATATTATTAAATATACAAATATTATTTAAATTAATTTTACAAAATATAAAAAAAAATAAAAACATAATATTATATTTAATATTAAGTATTAATGAAAAAATTTAAACAGAATATAAAATTTAATTAATTGAAAAAAAAGAACGAAAATTATAAAATTATAGATACAATTTAATATAAGAAAAAATTAAAGTAAAATATATATTAAAATATTTAATATATTACAGTAAATAAAAATGCGTATTAAAAATTAAAATAATAAATTAAATTATAATTTAATATAAATAAAAAAAGGAAATAAAAAATATAAAATAATTAATATATTACAGTAAATTAAAATATATATTAAGAACTGAAATAAATAAATTCATAGTATATTAATTATTGTGCAAATAAGATGACATATATTTTATTATTTATAAAAATAATTAAAAACAATATTAACAAATTAATTAATATATAAATACTAAATTTATTATTTTTATATTTAATTAAAAAATAACTTCTTTAATAGTATAAATATTTTAATTAATTACATAATAAATATAATATTAAAAAACAATTTATTAATATATAATAATAATAAATAAATACATTTAATTTTATTTCAAAATAAATTAAATATATTTATTAATTTAAATAAAAATTATAAAATTAATATAATATATATATTTTTTTAAATAAATTAATTAATATATATATTTAAATATATTTAACAAATGTTAATTTATATAAAAATATATATTATATTTAAATTAATTAATTTATTATCATTTTATTTATATATATATTTTTTTTTTCTTTAATTTTAAATTAAAAATATAAGATATTTAATTATAAAAATTAATTAATAATATTCTTTAATTATTTATTTAATATATAAAATAGTTTTATATAAATATGAAGAAAAATATTAATATTATAAAAATTATTAAAATATATAAAGTTAAATATTTCTCTTATAATAAAATTATTTAAATGCTTTAAAATAATAATGTATTTAAAATAAATATATATTTAATGTAATTAATTAATATTATTAATCAATATTTATTTTATTTATTATATCGCACATTTAAATTAATAAATTAGTTATTATATATATATATATATATATGTATATAATTATTAAAAATTACACTAATTTAAACTTCTTATTCAATAAAAATGTATATAATTTTATTATTTAATTTTTTTTTAATGATTTATGTAATTAATAATACTTTTTATTTATTTTATTAAATTAAAATGAATATAGGCATTCAATTGTATCATTTCGTTAATTTATATATTTTTTTTATATAATTTAATTAAATAACACTAATAAATTTATTTTATTTATTATTTTAATATATTAATTTGTTATATCATGTTAAATTATTTTATTTATTAATTTAATTAATTATTTGTTTATTTATTTAATTAATTATTTGTTAGTTTATTTAATTAATTATTTGTTTGTTTATTTAATTAATTATTTGTTTATTTAATTAATTATTTGTTTATTTAATTAATTACTTATTTATTTATTACTTTAATTTATTGCAATATATTAATTTATTATAGTATATTAAATTGTTTTATTTGTTAATTTATTTATTTGTTATAATTATTTTTAATTTATACTTTATTATATAAGGAAATAGGACGAACCTTGATATTGCAATAAACTTTCTGTATTTTATAAAATTAATTAATCAAAATTTTGAAATAGCCTTTGTTGCTTTTCAATGTACAATAAACTATTAAATTATCTGCATGAAACTTGAAAATAGTAGATATGTTTAACAAAATTATATTAATTTTAAATATATATACAGACATGTTATTACATAACCTGTTAGGAATATAATAAAACTGAAGCAAAGACTGACACTTTTGGTTTTCACCCAGTAGACAACAAAAATAAATTACATAATTAAATGTTCACAAAAGTTAGTCCATATTATAAAATGGTTTTTATTATGTAATAATATAATGGCATATTTCAACATTTTTTCATATCATGAAAAATAAGAGAAATGTAAACTCTTTATTACTTTTGCATAAATTTTTAAGAGAATTAGATTGAATATATGGAATATGAAACAAAGTTATTGTAGCACAAATGAAATAAATACTATATTTAATGGAATAATCCGACATATTTTTATTAAAATAATATACATATTTTTAATTAAAACGCCATTTGAGAACTTGAGGTGAAGTCTCACTTGATGATGTGCATAATAAGTTCCAAAGACAATTGAATTGGGGTTTTTTTACATTTATGAATAACCTAGTTATCCAAATGTGCATTACATTTTTGAATGTAAACATATTGGTGTTCGTTTATTTCTGATTATGACTATTTAATTTGCACAGGACTTAGGGGGAAATGCATAAATTTTTGTATGATTATGCAATTTGTTATTTTCCCGAAATGAAACTATGATGTTTAAGGAGGTTCAGTTATTTTTGATGTGGATTCATTGAACTATGAAAACTCATATTTATATGTATGTTAAGACAACTTATTTCTTATATTATAAGATGGTGCACAAACTAAAACATTTATAAATGAATCTTTTCTACATGAAAAATAACATGTTGGGTTGTATACAATGCAAATTCATGCACACTTATTGAATTTCTTCCATGCTTAAAAATTTTCCTTCGGTTATTTTTTTCATTGCTACTGTGCTTATTTTTAAAACATTATATTATGCTTAAAATTTTTTAATGAAAGTTTGCAACAATTTGTAAAAAGAGAGAAATTTACCAAAAAAAACGTGTGTTGTCTTTTGCAACCTACACTTTACACAATTTTTTTAGTGTATTCAAAATATGAATTTAATGTACACATATTTTTGCTTTATTTTGTTTATTTAAAAATATGAAGTTTCCCATGTACGTAGGAACCATTCATTTAGATGACTAATTCATATATGTGTTTCCCATTTTTTGCATCTTTCATATGTATTAGTACTAGGATTTTCTTTTTCCACATTATAAAGCAAAAAAAAAAATATGCAATAATGAACGTCTTAAATTTGAAACATTTATTTGCTTTTTTATTGAAGACTTAAAATAAGATTTCTTTTTCATTTTATGCTGAACTGAGCCTATTGCAATATTTATATTTCTCAACAATAGTCTTACAATTTTTTCAGGGAGAAGAAACCCTACTTTTGTTTTAAATGTTTATCATTTTTAAGTTTATGTAACATGTTCTTTCACTCCTTAAGGGGAATAAAGGAAACAAAGAGCTCTTCGATATTCTTAAGTAACATATTTACTTCTATATCTACTATTATTAATGATGTCTTTTTACTACTGCCATTTTATGAAATTCTTTTTAATTAATATTTTTTATTTGTTTTTAATATACACATGTTCAGTTTTAAGGCGGCATATAAGAGGACTGTTAGTGACAAAATTTCGTGAATGAATAACGCTTGTGTTATTTCACGCTTCTTATTTTTTTTTATACAAAGACTATAATTTTTAATAAAAAAAACATTTTAAAAAATGCTTTTATAAGGATACCATGCGCCATGTAGAAAATTACAAAAATTAAACAAAAATATTAATAATTGCTTATACATGTACACTAAAAAAAATGAGGACTCATTTTCGCAGCAGTTAACAAAATTTACATTCTTTTTATATTTTTCAGGATCTACATGTTTTATCCATAAAATTGCTTTTGTTTTTGTGCATATTTCACAAATAAATGTACCTTTATGTTTTATATCCTTATAATGAATTTGATTCAAGGAATTTCAGCATTAAATAATTGTCTGCAATATTTTTTAACTTAGGCAAACTCCCCTTTTTGTTCTTACGCTGTGCCTTTTGCTTTTAGTTATTAAAAGTTTACTATCCTATAATTACAATCTTTGTGGTAAAACAGTAATAGTATCTAAAAAAGACTAACAAGAATGACATTTCTTTTTAATTACTCACCCTAGTTAATTGAATGGACTATACAAGCACTTTTGAATTATTTACCATCAAATATTGCAATACCATTCCATTATGACGCTTATACCTCTTTAAGGAGGACTAAGAATGCATATAAAAAAGAAAAAAATTATTTAGCAAAATAATTCTACCATATGCATTTCACGGAAAAGTTTATGATAGAAGAGTGAATTTATTATGACAAAGAAAAGGTGCCATTTGAAGAAAGGAAAATAGAAATAAAAGTAATCTACAAATTAATTATTATTTTTTTAAGCTTTAAAGGGTTTTTGCTTTTAATAGTGAATTTTGCATAGAACCAACGTTATCACAATTCGTGGAAGGTAGAATAAAATTATAGGCATTGAAACACCTGTTATATTTTTTAATAAAGAGAAAAAGACGATTCGGAAAAAAGGTTAATCTTCCCAAATGCTATGATTTGAATAATATACAAGTTTATTATATTTTTTTTCATCTCTGTTGAGGGGAAATTATCAAATATCTCCTTTTCAAAATAAAAGTTATTTATTACTCACATTATTAACGGCAGAATATATATACTTAAAACTTCAGCACATCTATGTATTTATGAGACTCTTAAAAAAATGATGTATGTTGATGTAAAAAAAAATAAGTAATAGCTTTATTTGTGAAATTCATATTCATACCATTTTTTCTGTATATTTTGTGGAAGCCTCGTGGAAAAAGAAAGGACGAGTTTTCTAGAAAGGTAAAATTGTGTTTATACACGTTAAGAAAAACTTTATTTTAGGGTTCTTTTTTTTTTACTATTTTACGTTCACACATTTGATTTTGAATTATATTATTTCCTCAACTTCCAAAAAAAAAGCTGAGTAAAAATGTGTGTAATATGAAATGGAGAATAAAAAACATAGAAGCGGATATTATTAGGAAAATAGTCAATGGAGAAATTTTGTGAAAATTATTGATGATAATCCCCATATTTCAATTGCTGTGGATGGATGTTTCTTCATATGTGACATTTTTTTATGTTTTAAAAAAAATCTACCAATTATGTACACAACTAGGGGAAAAGTAAGAATTATGTACAATGCAATAAAATAATATATGCTTTTTTCCATTCACTTTGATAAAAAAAGTGGTAATAATCTTTCATATGAAATCGTATTATTTGTGTAATTACCTGTAGGGTTATTTAAGTGATGTGCTTCCTCACGTAAAAGAAAAAAAAAAAAATTTAGAACAAGATAGAACAACTATTGAATGAACTCTATTTAATAGAGAAAAATTAAGAACAATGTAAAAATTGAATATATTATATATATTCGAAGAGTTATTGTATTATTTAATTATATTTTTTTATTTTTTTTATTTATTTTTTGTTTTGCGTAGTAAGAAAAACCCTTCTCTAATGATATATAAATGATTGTAAATTTTTTTGGGGAAGGAAAAGTATGTGTTTACATTTGACAAGTACAGTAATGTTGTTTACTGCATAGGTGATGTTGTGGTTCTTTTTTGCTTTAATTTTTTTCTCTTTTTATGCATAGTGGAAATGAGAAATCTTTTGTAAATAAAAAATATTTCTGTATATATTTAAAGGGAATTAAATTAAAAAATTCAACACCTTTTAATTTTTTATGTCATGAACTAGTTCATGTATTCATGATCTTGTGGAAAACTAAAAACAAAGAAAGGAAATTACACACACTTCTATTTATTCCTTGAAAAAACATTTATAAGTGCTCCTTTTACCCGAATCGTTCATAACAATACATATAAATCGAACTAAAAAAAGCTCTCACAATTTACTATTTTTAATGGGGAGCTAGCGGGTGAAAAAAAGGAAAATTGCTTAAACTTTGTGCCTATGCATAGATGGGACCTTTGGATGCATATTTAAAATGGGTTTGTGTAAAATAATATTTTTATGTTGTATAATTAATGTTTAAATAAATGCTAAACACAAATTTGTTTTAAAGTTTATGTAAGCCAATAATGTGCGTGAGGCTCTTTTTTTTTTTTTTTTTTTTTTTTTTTGCACACGGAAAATCTATAAAAATGGTACATAAAAAAAAAAATTATATATAAAAAGCTAGTTCATTAAAAAAAAATAAAAATTAACATTTTTCATATTATTAAAATTTTTTTTTTTTTTTTTTTTTTTTTTTTTTTTTTTTTTTTTTTTTTGAAATGATTTAATTTTCTTTTTTTTTTTATAGATCTATGTGCTTGTTTTTGCAGTCTTCTCTTTTTCTATACATGTGTTATTTTAAAATTGTTCGTAAGCAGAAAAAAAGGTTCGGTGCTATAAACATATTGTATTTAAAAAAAAAAAAAAAAAAAAAATCCTCTCTTTCGCCTTTTTTTTTTGTCTTAAATTTGTTATACTTACATAAAGAAGTTACTATATTCTAAAGTCTTATATGTGTAAATATATGCACATAAAAGTATACTTGCATGTATACATTTTTAAGAATTAATCGAAAACATATTATTTTAATAATAATGCATTTGCGAATGGATATGCATACAAGTTTTTAACTATTCTGTTTAAGTTCCCATCAATAAATATTTTTAAAGCTTCAAATAAATTAATTTTGTTGTAACTCACCACTTTATTTATGCATTCTTCCACCACCCCACCCAGCTGCTTATTTTATTTTGTTTTATTTTTTTTGTAATATTAAACTTTTTGCAAAATGCATGATTATGGTTCCAGATATAGGAAAAATTTAATTTTTTACAACCACAAAAGGATGCTATGGAAACATTTTTCGAAGGTACCGCACATGCTGCTAGGAAAGGGGGGAATAAGAAAAACAGTCTTAAAGTTTATGGAGATTAAACGGGCATTTAAATTAATTTTCAAATTGATATATAGAAGTAACTTCCACAAATTCTTAAACAAAGTGACAACCAAAATTATAAAATTATATGCTAAATGTGTTAATAATAGTAGTGTATTCAGAAAGTTGTGTAATAAATACTACAAGATTAGCCACTTAAAAATCACAATTTGTGATTTTTTTTTTAAAAATAAAATAATTAATGCAAAATTAAAGAAATGTAGTATTATCAAACCACGTTGTTATAAACAAAACAAAATTAATGGGATAACAAATAAAATGAATAAATACACAGAAGAAGGTATATGCGCAGAGGAATCAAATGATCATTATGTAATTGATCTATATAATGAAACACATTTACAAACTCCATTTAATAACGCCTATGTTTTGAAGAGTAATGATTCTACGTTCGAATCGAATTGTAACACAACACAATCTAGCGATTGTGGCAGAACAAACGAAAATGATGAAACAAGTAACAGTTCTTATTTAGATAATGACATGCTATCTTTTGAAACACTGGAATATGATGAAGATGAAGTAAATGAGAACATAAAAAATTGCTACCTTTATAATGGATATGTGAATGTAAAAAGTTATAAAAATTCTGAGGAATATAAATTCTTAAATCATTTAAATGAAGAAAAAAATAAATGTGTAGATATAGCAATTGATGTGTCTCCACAGTGTTACTACGATGAGCAACTTGAAAATGAAAAAGGAGAACGAGCTGCAAGTGGAAAACGAGAAAAGGAAGAAAATTGTAATCAAACGGATGATGAGATGAAACATGCGTACAAAAAAAGAAGAAAACGAAAAAATAAAATATATGAAATTTATAATTCAGAAACAACAGTTAAGCAAAACATATACTGTGAAAATTATTTAAACGATAATTACTCCTCTTCTTATGACTGTTCTAGTGAATATAATGATGACACTAGTGTGAATGATTTTTCTGATAATTATTTTGACGACATTAGTGAAAACAGCTTTTTATGTCAATACAGTGTAAACAGTTATGACACTATACAAAGTGCTCAAGATGAATCAAATTAAAACACCACTAAAATTAAGTATAAGCAATTGGCAATCAAAATATTCATAAAAAATATATATACTCATTATTGTTAATACACATATTTTTTCTTTTAAAGTTATATATATATGCTCTATAAGCAAAAATAGCTTTTTCTTCTTCTTTTTTTTTCTTCCCAATATTACATTCTATTTTTAAGCAAAGAAAAACTAACACTATCATCATATGTCGTTTTACCAAGTTTTATTTTTAAAATTTATTTCTTCTCACTAGAATAATGGTGAAAAGTTATGCAAAAAAAAAAAAAAAAAAAAAAAAACAAAAAACAAAAGATTTACTTTAAGACCTTTTTATTTCTTCTTTATTTTAAATCTTAATAAATAAAATTAAGGTAATTTAGAAATAAAAAAAAAAAAAAAAAAAGCACTAAGGAAAAAAATTGCATTTTTGAATAAAAATGAACAAATTAATATACATATACTAAAAAAGAAAGAAGTAGGAGCAATGTGTTAAATCATGTAATAAAATTTCATTAAAGTATATTTTTTTCAAAAAAAGACTTTCCAACTTTCGATTTTTTTTTTTTTGAAAAATGTTTAATTATAAAGAAGAATACATTTCAAAATACACATCAGATTATGTATCATTCTACATACCAGATTATGTATTACACTACACATGAGACTATATATCATAATACATATCAAAACATATATCAAAATATGTATCAAAATACTGTAAAAAAGCGTGCCAATGGTTATTACAAAAGATTAACAACAACTGAAGGATGATCTGGATTCCGACATTGAAGGCATATCTTAGATGGGAAGAACATACAAAAAGGAACGTTTATGTTTGCATATGTTTACACGTATTGTACATGCAGAGACATGTACATATTTAGCACACGTAGAAAACATGTACAAAATGATAATGTGTGTATCTCCTTTAAGGTCATCTTACCTAATTTCACTCTAGAGTATTGATTTGTTGGCCCATATTTAATCCCATACGACTGCAAGAGGAAGAAGTAATTGTTATAATTTTTATATAACCTTGTACATGCATTTACACAAAGGCACAAACCAAACGAAAGAAAAAATGTACAAATAGGAATATTCTAACACAAACACACACATGTGTTATTTATAAATGTATTATCGGTTGTGGGATATGGGTGGGTAAAAATTACTTCGTTGCTTAGGTCATAAACATCCTCTAAGATATTATCATATATTTTTCTTGCAGTGTAAATAAAAGCCTAATAAAAATAGGGGAAGTTAGAAAAAATAAAATATAATGTGCAAACTGTACACTGTACATAAAATTTAAATAGTAGTATAAAACAAAAAATATTTCCGTACTTCTTCAACATTTTTTGCCGTTTTGGCTGAGGTTTCTAAAAATATTAATCCATTCTGCCTAGCAAATTGTGCCCCTTCTTCAGCTGAAACTTCTCTTCTCTCTAAGTCACATTTATTTCCTACTAAAATAATAGCCATATGAGGGTTTGAATTCTGTCGAACTTCATCTAACCACCTGTTTAAGTGATTAAATGTTTCTCTTCTGTTAAAAGGGGGGGGGGAGGGAAATAGAATAAAATGAAAAAGGTTTCACAGTATTGTCTCGTATTATAAGAAACAAAAAATATATAAGAGACATTTATAAAATGACACATTATTTACAAATGTGTCTATACACTTCATCACAACTGAAGTAAAATTATACATGTCTACCGAGTAATATCATAAACTAATAAAGCCCCTGCTGCTCCCCGATAATAGGACCGTGTTATGGATCTAAAGGATTCTTGACCGGCGCTAAATAAAAAAGGGGAAACATATCGAATAAAAAATGTCAAACAAAATTACATTGTTTTTACAAACAGAATGTCAAAATATAATGGGGTCCTAATATAACTTTTATTCAAGACATTCCTGTATGCACATCAAAACAATGCCCATTCAGATACAAATTCTTTAAAAAAAAAAAAAAAAAAAAACTCAATAGAAGTAACACTCCAAAATATGGAGCATCATCTATTTAATCTCTATCATATAAAGAACATGTATGACTATTTTTTTTTTTTTTTTTTTTTTTTTTTTTTTTTTTTTTGTTTCTCTACATACGTGTCCCATATTTGAAGTTTGATTTGTTTATTGTCTAAATTAATTAGTCGAGCCCCAAATTCCACACCAATTGTCAAATCATGATCAGCTCGAAATCTTTTGTCTGTAAATTGTAATAAAAGACAACTTTTTCCAACTCCTTAAAAAGGTAAATAAAATAAAAAAAAAAAAAAAAAGTAAAATAAAGCAATAATGAAAGCACTAAGAATGGCTTAACGGTGGAGGTGATAACAAAATATATATTTTATATTCTTCACTTTGAGATATAATGTAGTTATTTTAGATTTCCTTTTTTGTACTACCTGTATCACCAATTATTATATATTTAAACAAGTATTCATAAGGAGACATTTTTTGTTTGATGTTTTTGTTTTTTTCTTTATTTTATTTTTTCTTTCTACCTATCTATCTCTTTCTTTATTTCTCTCTCTCACTGTCTCTCTCTTGCTTTTTAATATATTATTATACTTTAAAACAATTTATTTTCATTGGGTAAAGGTATAATTTGCTTAATTCTTAAATGTGGTGAAAATTTTTTAAAACAATTACAATTTTAAAAAATCATAATATTTAACTAAAACGTGTTGAAATATAGTTTCTGACTTATTCTATAATGGTTCCCCCCTTGCTTTTGCCGTAGTATACATATTGTTATTCAAAAATAAATAAATAAATTTACACATGGGCACGCTAAATTTTAGTGTAAATTTAGGTTTTTTTTTTTTTTTTTTTTTTGTCAATCTATATTGCTTCCTCAAATATTACATGTATCGTTAGAAACTTGGTGTTTTAGATAAACGTTAAAACACAAAATTTAAAGAATATTATATTGGTTTATGCGAAAAATACATAATATTTAATCCATTATATATATAGATTTATCTCTTTACTAATTTCATTTTCCTTTCCACTCCTTGTTTTATTTTATTTTTTTTTTTTTGTTTTTTACAAAAATATTTTTAAATAAAAAGGGTGGGAAAATGAATGAATTTACAATTTTGCAAATATATATATATTATACAATATGGGTATGTGTATATGTAATGTATACAAGTGTTTACATATATATATATATGTAAATATGTAACAAAATAATACTCCTAAAAATATACATACAAAATGATATTATATATAAAAATATTACATTGCATCCCTGTAATATATTTTCACATTACGATAAAAAAAAAAAGAGCAACTTAGGGAAACCCAGTTTCACAAAAAGCAAAGGTAACGATAAATATACAGAAATACAAAGTAAAAAGTAAAAGGCCCCAAACGGAAAATTCCTAGAAAAATACAATAATGAACAAATGTAGAAAAGTATACAATTTTATTTAGAAATCTTATTAAAATGCGCATAAAATAACAAAAAAAAAAAAAAAAAATATATATATATATTTATATAATAGATATATACACAAACTTATCTGTTTAATGTTCATCACACAATACATAACAAAGGGAGCGAGATATGTGAAGGTATTATATTGTTACACGGGTTAATGTTAATTTTGCATCCTAAAATTTTTATGATAAAAAAAAAAAAAAAAAAAAAAAAAAACTGCTACCCCCCAATGATACTACATAATTTAATGTATAGAAAATTTTGTATATTATGATGAGGGGTGGGGTGAGAAAAAAAAAAAAAAATAATAAAACAAAACAAAATAAAACGAAGCAAAATAAAACGAAACAAAATAAAACAAAACAAAATAAAACGAAGCAAAATAAAACGAAACAAAATAAAACGAAGCAAAATAAAACGAAACAAAATAAAACGAAGCAAAATAAAACGAAACAAAATAAAACAAAACAAAATAAAACGAAGTAAAAGAAAACGAAACAAAATAAAACAAAATAAAATAAAAAAAGCAAACACTGCAAACGCAAAATCAACATATGTGGTCTTTTCCACCATATTCATGAAAGCTGTTTAGATTCACGAAAAAGAAATGAGCGTGAAAAAAAACAAACATGTAAAGTTCGCAAAAAATAGCTACACCTTTTAAGTAAAAAAAGAAAGGAAAAAAAAATTCATTCACGAAAAACAGCTTATAACCACCCTAGACATACACACCCTCTCCATTGGGGGTAAAACATGCAACATCAACCCCTAATGTATCTGTGAAGTCTGCAAGAACGTGTGTACGTTAGATTCATGACATTATGTTGAATTATGTTATCTGTCGATAAATCACACAATTGTTTATTTTCTATTTTTGAAAAATTGCGTCTATTTTCAGATTTTTCACCTACTGATATGTTGTTGTTTAATTGTTTTTTCAAGAATACGTTCGATTTCTTTTCCACAAAATAACTATCCCCCTTATGATTGGAATTTTTACCACATTCTTTTTTTTTATTAAATGCTTTTCGCTTTATGCTATGTTTATGAACATAATTGCATATGGCTTCATTACCCATTCGGTGGCAAACACATTTGTTACTTTTTACGTTTCTGTTTTTTCGCACAGATAATACACTGCTGCACTTTGTTTTTCCTTCCTTTCGTGAATTATTAAGTCCCCTTTTTTTTATTATTTTGTTCATTGGAGTCTTTTTATTTTTGTTTATTTCATTATGGTGAATACTAATGTTGGTCTTTTCGCTAATGGTGAGGTTTACACCCATCTGTATTTGAGGTTTATTCTTTTCCATTATGTTTTTTTTTTTTTTCTTTACATTTTTGTGGTCAATTATTTCAGAAGTTACCAATTTAGAATCCCTTTCCCCTAAAGGAATCACCTGAATACTTCCTTCATGATCAAATGAGTCATTATTCTTTGTATATGGATTACCAGAACCCACTTGAAGCGAATGAATAGTATCATCTTTTATTTCATGTGTATCTTCATCCGTTTCTACATTTCTTGCATTGTCTAATTCGTCATTATACCTTATTTCTTTTTCAGTGCCCCCGACCCCGATTGGGGTACCACTAATAATACTGCTTCTGTTTTTGGGGGAATTTCCACTATTCCTATTTTTATTATCACTTTTTACTGCATCCTTATATTCATAACCCTTTATAATTTTACTTTCGCTAAGGAAAATTTCCGAATTGTATTTTTCTGTCACGATATGTCCTCTACATAAGTGCTCTCTTACTACAACTTGTTCAGCAACATTTGGCGAAGGTAAAATTATTTGAATGGAATTGTTGTCCGTATGCATATCACATATTTTTTTTTTTTTTCTCAGTTGACTAATTCCTATCATACAATTTTCCTCACCTTCTTGTGCATTTTTACACACCTTCGTAATTCTTTTTTTATTTATGTCATTCTTTTTTATGAACCTTTTGATCGCTTTATTCATTCTTAGTGGAGTGCTCATATTGTTATCTTTTCCTTCACCAGTAGGTATTATATTCGTTTGAGTATCCTTTATCCCATCTAATAATAATTTTTTATCCGAGTCATCCGTATTTTTAACGTTTACATCTACATGGAGTGTGTCTGTTTTGGTTGTGTCCGTTTTGGTTGTGTCTGCTTTGGTCGAGTCTGCTTTGGTTGTGTCTGTTTTGGTTGTGTCTGTTTTGGTTGTGTCTGCTTTGGTCGAGTCTGTTTTGGTTGTGTCTGTTTTGGTCGAACTTATATTGCTTGGGTGTATCACTGTTTCTGAATCGATACATGTGAGAAAAGTGTCACTTTTCTTTTTTACCTCAGTGTCTATTTTCATTTCTCTAAGTGCATTCAAGTTGATAAATATATTATCATTGTGCTTAAAAATGTCAAAATCTTTTATGTTTATCATTATATGATTCTTTGGATTCAAAATTTCTGCATCTGGATCTAAGCCCAATTGTTTTTTTCGTGCTCTCTTTTTTCCACCTTTCACTCCGCTTTTGCGAAGCGCAGAGGTTTCTTCTCCAATTAGTTTTTTTTCTGTACTTTCGATTTGATTGTATTTCATATTTTCTGTTACTTGGCTCACCACATTTGATATCTTATGCATCATGCTCTCAATCCCCCTTTCTTCAGATACTTCATGTTCATCATTTCCTGTATTTTTTGCCACTGCTTTAATGGTAGTACCCGGATTATCTTCTCCTCCTGAACCTATTTTTTCTTCGTCGTCTAAATGAATATTCCTTTCTTCACTCTCCTTATTTTTATTACTTCTCTCGTAAGATGTCACGGGGTTCTCCTCTATCTTTGGATCATATGTCGAATTATTTATCTCTTCCTCTGAATCTTTTAACTTTTTCAGGTATTCTTTCAAAGTGGTGAATTTCGCATGTTTGTTAAGCGTATGTTCGTTATATGCTAAAATGGTGGAGGAAGAAGAATAAAAAAAAAAAAAAAAAAAAAAAAAAAAAAAGACATGAATTAATTTTAAATGGGATATATCTGTAATGACATGATATTTCATAAGAAAAAAAAGAATGTGATACATCATTTTATGCCACCAACCCCAACCCCAACCCCACCCTTTAAACAACGCATCATTGCACATGCATGCTACTTCGCACCATGTGTAAGTAAAATTTTACTTCGAACACATACCTGATTTAATTATGGAAGAATACTTCATCGAAACTGAACTTATGCTTTGTAAAAAATGCTCAATAATGTTCTCCTTATCTTTATATTCATTAAATGAAAACATTTTCTCTGGAAAAAAAAAATAAAATAATACTTCCAATTCTTCAAATGTTAGTAAATTCAATGTTGCGACAAATTCTATTTCAAGTTTAATCAATTCGTAATTATTACAACACTCTTTTTCGTTTTCTCTTTCGGATTCCTTTTCTATCTGCTTTCCTGCCAGAATTTCTGTCCCATTTTCTACACCTCCTTGTGTACTTTTTTCTGCATTAAAATTGTTAATAAATTCTAACCTTTCATCTGAACTTTTCTTGCTAAGCTAGCAAAACATAAATAAAAATAATTAAATATTAATGTAAGAATGTACACATGAACAAAAACGTGAACGTATAAAGAAGGTAAATACATAGACATGTATATGATTATGTAAATGTAGCAAATTGCTGTTGACGATAGTTGGACACACCTTTAGTTCTTCTACGATACTTGATTTCAGACCATGATTAAAGGTCACCATATGAAACAAAACGCTTCTTTTTTTTGCAAACAGCTGTTTGTCTCTGCAGTAAATACCTACAAAGGAGGAATATAAGCCGGTTCAGAATCACATTTGTTAAAAGGTAATTATTAGTGTTAATCGATAAGAAGGTAAATACACATATGTATAAATATGTTTCCCACCCTTGAGGTATGTGTGTTCACAATAACTTACATTGAAAACCCAACCTTTTTTTATCTTTCTTGTTTAAAACATTAATGAACCTGAAGAATTGAAAATACAGATAAGAGTAAATTTACATGATACGAATAGTGCACATCTCACACATCTATTTATGCCTTTACCTGAATCCACTTATTGAATCCGTTTCCCAAGTATAGGTCACGTTAAAGGATTCATTTTTTTCCTATTTTCAGAAAAAATTAAACGCACATAATTACAGGTGTATACCTAGATAAGTTGCACAACTCTTTGCACATTGAATATTTACATATGTGCTGTTTCGTTTTAAGAGAAAAAGTAGAATTAAAGTTAGTTTTACATTTTTTTGCACATTTATTTCCTTATTTTCTGTATTTTTGTTCGATACAACAGTTGCATTTTGGAGGGACGATTCTTTTATTAAATCTTTTAAAAAAATTTTTGTTATTCCATTATTTTCCTAAAGTAAAAAAAAGGAAAGAAGCACTAACCTAAGAGTATGTAACAGTAGTACGTTTTTATTTTATTTTATTTTTTTTTGCAATTTTTTGAACACGTTTAATCATTTCTATTTTTTTACTTTAACACACTGTGTGGTGTTCTGCCTGTGACTGGATCCCTTTAAAATGCTAGCAGGAAACTAGGGAGAAATGAAAGTGGGGTTAGAAAAGAAACATAAAGGGAAGAATAAAACGAAGCAATAGATTTTCTTCAAAAAAAAAAAAAAAAAAAAACAACAAAATATTGTCGTACTTTTCTTAAAATCGTAATTTGTTCTTATTCATTTTGTCTGTAATTTTTTTTTTTGTTACCTTGTGAAAACTCATTTTTATGGACACAATTTAAGTGAAAGAAAAAATCATATCATGAATTTTTTTTTAAAATTCCTTCAAATTATGTTGATATGAAAAAAAGAAAAAGGGTGTTTTAAATGTGGACTAGGCAAGTCGTTAAGTTAATAATATTTTTTTTTTTTTTTTTTTTTTTAAACAAAGAAAATCATAGAGTTAGTCATGAAAGTTTTGTTTTCTTCAGATTAAGAACAAAACTTCAAAAGTTAATTTTATTGGTTTAAAGTGTTATTAGCAGCTTTATCACTTTTTTATCTTTTCATTATCAAATATATTTTTAACCTTTCTATGTGTATGCTCACAAAATCCAGCACACGGTTTATGAAAAGAACATAAACAGAAATGCTACTTACACGTTCTTATCTACATGTATGTGTGTATATATATATATATATTTACACATGCGGGGAGTATATGTATAGTGCACAACTGTTAATGCTTATATGTATGTGAAAGGAACATTAAGAAAAATCAAAATTTAAACGAATTTGTAAAAAGGGCAGCTGCTCCATACGTTTTAATGGAGAAAAAAAAAGAAAAGAAGCTAAAACAGTAGTGTAAAAATAAAGTTAAAAAGGAAGGACAAATTTGAAAACAAAGTTGTTGAAAATGTGAGAATGTAAGAAAAATAAAAAAAAATAAAAACCCTTTTCTACATGCATAACAAAACAGATATAAAAGCGTAACAAAAGGAAAATGGTGAAATTTTATTTATTTATAAATATTTTTTACGTAATAAAAGTGAAAACGAAAAATACAGCTGTTAAAAAGGGTGGGACAGAGACCAACGAAATGAGTTTCCCAAAAAAAATGTGAAAATGCGCTTGTGTTTTTTTGTGCATTATATGAAATGTTCATGTTGTCTGCTTTTACCTCATTACTTCGAGCTGTGCTAATGCAATTATTCTTATAAGCTCAAAATTGCACACAAAAATAAAAGGTAACAAAATGGTTAATAGTAAAATGATCTAAGTTTGCAAAAATTCATCATTTAAAAAATGTAGTCTATAAATGCCCTTCTCATTTTGTACATTTTAAAATACAGTACCATAATGTCACAGTTAACTAGCCAATTTCAGTTGGTAATATAAACCTCCAAAAAATAAAATAAAAAATAATTCACAGCTAGCTTTTACATATTATCAATAAAAAAGTATGAACGGTCATAATGTTCTCAATGAGTCAGGCTGTTAAAAGCTGCACCCATTTTGCTAGTATGATAATTTGTGAGTTTTCTTATTTGGGTCACTTCTCTGATATTAAATTCCTATTCATAATCAAAAAAATTACGATGTTTATCAATCGTAAATTCAAATAAAATGAAAAAAAAAAAAAAAAAAAAAAAAAAAAAAAAAAATTTGCAAAACCTTTGTATCCCCCCTCTGTCATTATAAGAACAACTACAATTTTCTGATTTTTTTGTTAGGTCCCTTTTTGAAAATTGCCTTTTCACCTTGGTGTATGCAACAGTGAAGTGGGTATAAAGTCTTCACCAGGTCTAACTTTACAAGACTCAGTGTATTACTATTATTACTACTATTATTATTATTTACATTTTTCATGTATGTTTTTCTGTATCACTTATTATGTGCAGCTTGTTTTGTGTCATTTTTTTTTCAAATGAGTCTTTTTTTTCTTTTTTTTTTTTTGATACTTGGGAACTTTATGTTTTCTTTTTTCCCTGTTTTGTTCTTTCACTAATTTGCTCCATTCCTTTCTTGTTACTCCCTCAGGAATTATTCCTTTAAACTTAACGCCTTCCTCCTGTTCGCTGTTCACACAATTGTTTTCATAATTGTCTATGTCTGATTTGTGTGCATCGGATAAATTATTTGCATGTGACACCTTTTCAAGGCTTAACTCGTCTAATGCTTTATCTTCATCTTTTTGACAAATCTCTCTAACATGATCATCCTCTCCCTGTTCACGAACATCTTCCCTGTTATCATAATTGTTTGGGTCCTTCTTTTGTGAGAACTTGTTCGTAAAGCATTCCTCTACTATGGCTTTTTGTTCATGTAGTGTTGTATCAACATTCGTTCTGAGTACCTCCGCTTCGATCTTTCCATCGGAATTATGGGTTCTTTCACCATTTTTATGAACCGCGTGCGTGTTATTGCCTTGGACATGTTTATTATGCTCCGAATTATAGTTACAGGAGATGAAGTTACCAACTATTGATTTCCCCTTTTTCAAAAGTTTTAAGTCCTTTTCAATGGTTCTGATATCCTTTATTTCGTTTAAATGTGATGGAATCCATGAACTTAAGAAGATTTGTTCTTCTACTTGACTTTTATCAGCATGTTTTTTTATATGGGATCTATTTTGTGCAGCAAATTTTGTTGCGTAATAACCCGTGGCTCTTTTTAATTTTTCAAAATATATTCTATTTTGTTGTATTCTTTTTAAGTTTAATTTAGGTATAGGAGTGGTATTTTTTACTAAACCAAAAAATTGGAGATATATTATTTCGGATGGGTTTATACATATTTTCTTTTTGTCGTTTTCTAAGAAAAATGTGACATCTTCTGGTGGGTTGGAGTGAACAATGTAATCAAATAATGTTTTGAGGGGAAGTACTTGCACGCGATTGTAAAAAAATTCACTTCGCTTGCTATGCTCACCATTTTTTTCATCGCCCCTTTCGATTACATCAGATGAGTTTGAAGTGTTTGCATTGTTTGAAGCATCGGCCATGTGCTGGACATTATTATACGCGCACGCGTTTCTATTTTTTAAGGTAATGTTTTGATAAATCTTAGCCTCGTGCAACATGGCATTGAGATGATGGGTATCTTCCTGCTTATCATTTCGAAATGTGCCAATTTTTTTTTTAAAAAAATTGGTAATGTTTAAACAATCTCTTTTCAGAAACTCTAAGGAGTACGGATGATCATGTTCCATAGATTGGGACACATCAATAATATAAATATGGTTAAAAAAATAAAGTAAATTATATTCTGAAAAATCTGCATGAACAAGTTTACAACTGCAATATAGTTGCCTTAAAATACATATACATTCAATGTACAATTCTTTCCATTTTAACAAACTAAAATTTAAGTCTTTCATTTTTGGGCATGCAGTATCTAGGGTACCTAACATACTCATTACAATAACGTTGCTTTTTAAAACTAAAGGATATGGACATCTTAATCCACATATTAATATACGTCTTAAATTTCTGAATTCTTTTTCTGACCATTGTTTTACCATTTTCCTTGGATTGGTGTTTTTGGTATATGCATTTCTAAATCGAAATTCTCCCTCTATATATTGGGACCTTTTTTTAAATACCAATACAGACGTATTATAAACTTTAGTTGCAAATGATATTGCAATCTTTTTATTTTCGAAATGGTTCCAAATGAGTTTGCCTTCCTTTGGAATAAATTCACTTAATTTGTCAATTATGTCGTAGGCTTCTCCTGACATGTTTGTCGGATTCTTGTCTTCTTCTAGTTCCGTTTCTTCCCTTTTTTCTTCTAAGTGCTTTCTCAGGTGGTACACTTTGTATAGGCTCTCATGGGGGAAATGAATGTCGCTACGCGGTTCGCCGTTATGCACCCCGACATTGCCTAGTTCATCGGTACTTCGTTCATCATTTTTTAGTTCATCGGTACTTAGTTCATCATTTTTTAGTTCATCGGTACCTAGTTCATCGTTCCTTAGTTCATCGGTACTTAGTTCATCGGTACTTAGTTCATCGGTACTTAGTTCATCGGTACTTAGTTCATCGGTACCTAGTTCATCGTTATGAATTTTGTTCATATTCTGCTGGTCGCTATACTGCCCATCGATATGCACTTGGCCTTCATTCATGTGGGCCTTGTAAGAAGACTCTTCTTCTTTTTCTTCTTCTTTTTCTTCTTCTGCTTCTTCTTCCGCTGCTGCTCCCGTGAATGCACTTGTAGTCTGCATATATTTGAGCAATACTTCCTTGACACCCGTTAGTTCTTCTTCATTTAGGTATTTATGAGAATTGAAAACGTATGCTTCCTTACCCGAACTGACAACTCCATATATTTCGTTCAGAAAATTATCTTTTAATTTTTTTAAAACAAGTAAGGTTCTATTATCTAGTACCGTGCTGACAGTTGCTCTTTTATCCCTTGTTAATCCCCTGTTTCTAAATTTGTTTGTAAGCTTTTCTCCTTCGATTAAGGAACTTTTAACATCATTGCTTACATCTTTTGCGTACATGTAATTTTCGAACCCTCCATAATTGTAATCCTTTTCATGTGTTTTTATTTTATCTTTCCTTATTTTCATATTTCAGTTTGGTTTAAAAAATATTGTTAATATCGCGTCTCATTCTACAACCTCTCTTCTACTTTCAACGTTTCTTCTGCCTTTTGGAGTTTGTTTGGAAATTTAAAAAAACAAAAAAAATTATGAAAAATGAAAAGAATGTGTTTAATATATGCATGTAGGAAATAATCCAGTATAGCAATGCTTGAATGGATCTATAATTTTCCACTAGTAGATGCTCTTTTTTTTTCTTTTTTTTTTTCCCACTCCCTTATTTGTTTATTAATACAATTCTATATGTGCTTTTTTTTAAGAACCAAATTATCTATTTTAAAATAAAAGTTCATTTAGGGGGACAGAATTTAATGTTTTATTATAAATCGGTCTCTCTCTAAGCACTAGTAGTTTTGAAACGTTGCCAAAAAAGGAGAAAATAAAGAAGAAAAACAACAAAAGAATAAATGTATATTTATATGTACATACTTCAAATATGCATGTTTTTTTTTTTTTTTTTTTTTTTTTTTTTTTTTTTTTTTGCCATGGTAAAGTACCCTTCAAGCTCATATGTATTATTTTGCTTGCTATGCTTTATCGAGAAAAAAAAAACTTATGCGCCTATGGGGGGAGGACTTGTATTTTACTTTGTTTTTGCTATTTTATTCTTTATTTTTGCTATTTTATTCTTTATTTTTGCTATTTTATTCTTTATTTTTGCTATTTTATTCTTTATTTTTGCTATTTTATTCTTTATTTTTGCTATTTTATTTAATTTTTACTGTTTTACTTAATTTTTACTGTTTTACTTTATTATTATTATTTTTTTATTTTTGCGGTAACTTTTGGGAAGTAATTCCATGATTGGAAAATGAAAATTACTTATACATGTTATGTGTGAGAAAACCCTTTTAAGAAAGTTCTCTCGGTATGTCGCAGACACAAGGGGTGAAAAGAGACATATATATATATATATATACATACACCGATGTGGTAAACATAACATCGCAGTATATCAAAAGCCCATACAATTTTTTGTTGTAAAAATACTAGGTTAAACCACCATGTGTAAAAGGGGAGTTGGGGGAGGCAGTAGGGTAATTATATGCCTCCTTTATGTCCTGTTCCCTTGTTTGTAGTGTTTAAGTTGTATAAGATGATCAGATAGCCCGTTCTGTTCACACGCTTCGTCGCTATTTTTTTTCTTTTTTTTCTCCACATTTGCTTTCTATTTCGCCCTTTCATTTTGGCCCGTCATTTTAATGCATTTTCCCTGCATGTCATTTTGATTGCCAACTTATAACTTCTCTTCCTTTTATTTTTTTTCTCCTTTTCACGTTCTGTCCAAGGAAGAAAGGATTTGTCAAATGGGACAGTTTTCCCCAAAGAGCTAGGCATCCCACCATTCCACCATCCCATATAAGCATCTCCATTTTTTTGTGCAACATGGTGGAGAAAAAATGAACACGGGTTTGTTAAGTATGGAGGTATGTATATATATTTAATACATACTTTATATAATCTCACGTGGTGCAAACGTCTTTCATCGCGTTGCCATAATGTTACCTAGGCCAAAAAAAAAGAAAAAAAAAAAAAGGAAAACATACATATATATGTGTATATATATATACACATATAAATATATTCACCTACATAGAGATAGAGAGAATAAAAAAGAATTAACAAACATTTGCATGTTCTTTCAAATGAGAAAATTTTTAATGACTGTTATTAGCACAACATTAAATATATTACAATGTGCAAAAAAAAAAAAAAAAAGAAAAAAATATATATGCATAATCACTAATGTGAATATGCCACAATGACGCAAAAAAAAAAAGGGGAAAAATTAATAAAAATGATAAAATAATTTTCAAGATGCAAAAAAGAAAAGGGGAAAGTTTATAAAAATTATAAAATAATTTAAAAAAAGAGAAAAAAAAAAAAAAAAAAAAAAAAAAGAAAAAAGCAAGTTTGCATAAACCACGAAACTGTGCATACATAACGCATTGGAAAAAAAAAAAAAAAAAAAAAAAAAGCCTCGTCCACTTGGGGAAATATAAGATTGACAAGAAGAACCTTCTTCATCACTTGTGCAAGTATACGTAACGACCATATTCACTTTCTCTATCATCCGCGTTTTCATTTTTTGACATGTTGGAATAATCAAATTTGTCCGTCCTGGAAAAATCACGATATTCGTCATCATGATCTTTCGTAAATTTTCTTTTCGTTTCAGAGTAATCACTGCTGTCATAATCTTCTTCGCCTTTTCCTTTTCCCTTTCCCTTTTCTTTGTTTTTGCTTTTATATTTGCTTTTCATCTTTTCTCTCTCTTTGGTTTTCGTTCTATCCTTCACCTTGTCCCGGTCTCTGTCTCGGTCTCGCTCTCGCTCTCTGTCCCTTTCCTTTTCTGTTTCCTTATCTCTTTCTCGTTCTTTGTCTTTATCCCTTTCTTTTTCTTTGTCTCTTTCCCTAATCCGATCTCTATCCCGTTCCCTATCTCGATCTCGTTCCTTTTCTCTCCTTCCTCTCTCCTTATCACGTAATTTGTACTTGTCTCTATCCTTTTCCTTATCCCGTAACTTGTACTTGTCTCTGTCCTTATCTCTTTCTTTTTCTCTATCCTTTTCTCTTTCTTTTTCTTTATCCCTGTCTCTTTCTTTTTCTCTCTCCCTGTCTCTTTCTTTTTCTCTCTCCCTGTCTCTTTCTTTTTCTCTCTCCCTGTCTCTTTCTTTTTCTCTCTCTTTGTCTCTTTCTTTTTCTCTATCCCTGTCTCTTTCTTTTTCTCTATCCTTATCCCATTTTTTGTCTTTATAATGGTACCTATCCGTTTTCCTATACTTCCTTTCCCTACTATCATCTGAATATCTTTTTCTATAATTATCGTCATTATCATAAGAACGCGTATCATCATCCATGCTCCCTTTTCTTTCCTTAAAATAAGAATTATTCCTTTTATAACCTTCATTATCGTCATGAAAATTCATGCGTGTTTCACCTTGTCTATATTTGGTGTATTCCATCATCATCTCCTCACGATGACTGTCATTGTAGTTTCCTTGGGTAACCATATGGCCAGTGTTGTTATTGCTACTGTTGTTATGGCTCGTGCTGTGATATTCCTTATTGAGATTATTATGAGGGGAGGAATTACGAGAGGAATATGTATCATCGTTCAGATGTTCCATAGTGTATTTATTCTCATCGTTACGATAATTATCATATCCATGGTTACTAACACTTTCTGCATCATTATCACTGTGACGACTATTGTCATCATGTATTGGAGAATGTTTTTTTTTTAACTTTAGCTTCATCTGTAGTGCACTAACATAATTGTTAAGTTTTGAATTTTGTTCTTCCAATTCATTTTTTTCTTTCGTAATTTGTGTATATTTTTTGGATAGTTCAGCTAGTTGTTGACTTAATAATTCATTGTCTTCGTCAATATCTGTATTTAACTCTTTTAATATTTTTAATTCATTTTTATAAAAAACGATTTGTTGTTTTAAATTTATAATTTGTATAGATAATGGTTGTAACGTATTTTCCTCTAAGGTTTTTCCCAATTCATAATTTTCATCTTGCAATTTTTTGCATTTACTTATAAGTCTTTGTCCTGCTGTTGCTTGCGCATCGAAATTAAATCCTTGTAATTTCTCTTCAGCTAAATTCCATTTTCTTGTTATTTCGTATATTTTGTGTCTCAATTCTTTTATTTCTAAATTTATAGATGGATCTATTAGCAAATTTCTTAAGGAATTGATATTCAAAATGTCTTCTTTGGATGATTTCCCATCTTCATCTTCGTACATGTGCATATTTCTCCATTCGTTCAGGTACGTGTGCGTCTGGCATATTTCCTTTTCGAGTGAGGATATGCATGCAAGGTAAACGTGTTCTCGTTTCTGCACGGGGGGGTGTAAAGAAGTGAGTTTCTTTATGTGATCGGTATGTATGCATGTTTGTTCGTACGTATATTTGTTCGTATGTATGATTCTACATATGTATGCTTCATGCTTAAAAGCAATGTGCGGGAAATTGTTCATTCGTATTGTCACCTTGAACTCATTCAGATGCTCATTCAGGTTCCCCTCAATGTATTCATTCCCTTCGTCCTTCAAAAGTACATCCGTATTTTCTAGAGACATTTTTCTGGGAATTTATATCTTAAAATTTTACTCCATATGGAATGGGTGCAGGGATGGGACACACATAGTACAAGAAAAAAAAAAATAACTAAGGTACTTCGACTGTAACACTAATGTTGGTGTCTGTGTTAGCTGAGCATATCATCAATTAATATGCAAAAAAAAAAAAAAAAAAAAAAAGGGGGGAGGGGGATGGAAATAGAAAAAAAAAAAAAAAAAAAAAAAAAAAAAAAAAAAAAAAGGGGGGGGGGGGAGAAAAAAAAAAAAAAAAAAAAAAAAAAAAAAAAAAAAAAAAAAAAAAAAAACACAATTTTTGCGTTCAGTGGGGAAGCAAATGCTAATAACATCGTAACGTGGAAAGTTCTGCGTTGAGTTCTATTTCAACACTAAAAAATTAAAAGCATTAGCATGGGTGTTACATACATGTTCATCTATATTACAAATATAACTTTTACGTATACATTTATAATAATATATATATACATACATATCCATGCATACCCATTTTTATATAAATATGAAGAGCCTATGAAAATTCGCTCAAGCTGACATATATGTATATATATATATATATATGCATACATGCAAACATACCTAAATACATATGTATCCTTACTATATGTTGTGCTGTTGCAATCTCACTTTTTTTTGATGATTCACAGTTTTCATATAAAAGAAACAAGCATATATATAAACTTTTAGGGACAAAGTGGGTAAATTTCACAAAATACATAGATCATCATTATGCAGAAATGCACAATTTATCATTTTATTTTATACAAAAATGGATCTGTTAAACTTTGTTATTTTTTTATTGTACTACGCAGTTTTAAAAAAAAAAAAAATAAAATAAAATAATAATAATTCTCATGCACAATATATAAGGTTCCATTTAGATTCTATTTTTTTTTTTTTTTTTCTTTTTTTTTTGTCACGTGTAGGAAACTGTTTTGTTGCATTATTTTTTTTCGTCCCGCATAACACAATCTTTTATTGAATTGTTTTTTCTTGTCAATCTTTCCTTTTTTAACTATTCCCCAAAATTGCCTTTTTTTGCCTTTTTATGCCTTTTTAATTTTGCTTGTTTATTCCGTCTTAGCGTTATATTTTGCGACCCACTTTGCGACCCATTTTATATATTTATTTTTATAGATCTTTCACTTCCGGTTTTCACACCCATCCGCTTGGAAGGCAAACATAAATTCCCTTTGGAATAATGGGCAAGGAAAACCAAATTTTCAAAAAAAGTGAGTAGGAAAAAAATGCTTATGTGAAAAGATCCTACTTGGTGGCATAGATTTTCAGAAAAAGTCCAAGTTTGACATGTTTATCAAATAATTTATAATATATACAATTTTTCTACTGACAGTATTTTTTCTGCTCCTTGCTCTAAGGGACGACAACATACTAAGTTTTAAGAATAGGAGACATAGATAATAACCCATGAGGGAAAATAAAAAAAAATTATGAATTTATCTTGCCCATTGGGGGATTTCCCCACATATATACACACACACATATATATATATATATTTGACAAATTGCAAAAGCAATAAAAAGGAAAAAAAACAAGCACACAAATGTAATAAGTTTGAAAAACAGACAAAACATGTTTTCAGCCCCCACTCCCCCCCCAACACATTTGTGACATCAGAATTATTTTTTTTTTTTTGTCATTGTGTACACTGCATTGCAATGTATACTTGAAATTATATCTTTATATAGGTCCTTATAAAAGCCCCACACACACACATCCCTTTTTTTTATGTAAAGTTTTTTTTTTTTATTTTATTATTTTTTTTTTACGCAAACTTTTCCTTATGTATGTTCAGGTAAAAAATCATAAACATAAAAAAAAAAAAAAAAAAAAAAAAAAAAAGAACGCGAGAGACATATAAAATATATATGGCTCGCTATAAAAAAAGGAATTTTGTTGGATAAATCAATATGTTACTAACATTTTTGATTTGGGGAGAGATACATATAAACACACAAGTATTTTTACAGGAACCTTTTCATTCCTAATTTTTTGGTGGTGATAGGGGGGGCAGAATTAACAATTGCTTAAAAAATGCAAAGTACGGATGGGGGTCATATTATATATATATATATATATATATATATATATATAGTCAGGAAAAAGGAGAGATGCCTTTTTTTTTTTTTTTTTTTTTCTTTTCAAGAACAAGTCTTTTTCGTCTTGTTGTTCCTCTCATTAGGGTCATCATTTTGTTTTCCCCTTTTTGTTTAGCTCATAAATTTATTCTTTATTCTTTATGATTTTTTTTTTTTTTTTTTCTTTTTTCGTTACATATTGGCATACCCCCCCCCTTTCCTATGTGTGGGTTTTTCGGCACATCCTCCACATTTTGGAATCTCATTTATGTAGGGAAACCCATCTCACCAAGGCAGACAGACAGACAGACTTATACAGACACGCACACCTGATGTATCTCTCTTATTGCGGGTGACTATAATTCGGATACGCCCCATATTGCATATTGTTGGTTTGATTTGCATTCAAATCATTTCCCCCCATCATGTTTGGAGGTGGTGGTGGTGGATGGTTATAAGTCATCTGCGCATAGTTACTTGGAGAGTTTATATTTTTCATAGGTGGAATAGGTGGTTGGTTAGTGGTCATTGGTGGTGTGGAATCAGGTTGAGCCATCATATTTGAATTACAATTTGAAAAGGCATTTGTTTTGTTCATTCCTTTTACAATATTTGATCCATGTTGAAGGGATGTTGAACCGAATGGAGGAGGGGGTGGTGGTGGAGGAGGAGAAATTTGTTGCGTGCTAAAATTTGTTTTGTTCGTATTTATTCCCTGAAATTGCGAAGGTGGTATTGTACTGGTAGGCTTTCCAAAGTTCATCGGATTTGTGCTGACGTGGGAAAATGACGCTGGTTGCTGCTGTTGCTGTTGTGCTGGTCCAGGGGGAGGGACATGCATACTCTGTTTATTGCTCATATATGAACCCCCCCCAGGCATATTCGTAGGAGGTGTGGTGGGAGGAAATTGAGGTGCAGTAACCCCTTGTTGATTTGAGACATGTGGTGGAGCATAATTCAAACCACTATAGGAGGTGGCAGTACCCTGTTCATGTGAAACCGGGGGTGGTGGTGGAGGCAAATGTGAAGCTGTACCAACAGGGGTGTTACTACTCATGGAATAATGACTAACATTTGTTGTGCCAGGTGGAGCAACTGGTTTCTTATTTGGAGTCATCAAATAATTCGGCGTCACGTTTTGTTGATTCGGGTGATTCGGGTGATTCTGCTGATTCGGATGACTTTGCTGATTCTGCTGATTCTGTTGATTCGGATGACTTTGCTGATTCATGGTAGTGTTAATTTTCATAGGAGGGGGTGGGCCTTGGCCATAGGGGTGACTGTTGTTGTTATTTGATTGTAAAGCATTCATATTACCTTGCATCATCATGGAATTATTTATATTCATATTGGGTGGAGGAATTGCATTATTCCCAGTGTTATTTGAGAAGGGTTTATAGTTCAAGTAAGCTGTAGAAGCGTTTAGCACATTTGGGTTTTCATTATTCATACCTGGATTATTGTTATAGCTGCTGTTATATGCATCCATTGGATTCGTTGGATGATTTCCCATAGGGTCTGATGACATAGCTCCATTAACATTTCCATTAGTAATAGTATCAATATTTTTCTCACTAAAATCATTTTTTTCCTCCATTTGAGCCTCCATTTGTGCCTGCATTTTTTCATTATCAGCTAAATTACATATTTCCTCCCACTGACCATCCATCCCTTCCCTAAATAAATAAGCATTCTCATCAGTGCACGCAACAGCTAATATGGTTCCATTAGGAGACCAACTTATTTTACTAATTTTATGTTGTACTTTTATGATTTGTCCATTTTTCCATTGATTATTACTTGCATCTTCTACCCATAGTATAACAATTTTTTCATCTGAACATGATGCAATTATATTGGTAGAATTATTTATATTAGGTTTCCATGCAATATCTTTAATAGCTGATTTATGTGGTTTGTCGTTCATTTGATAAATTTTATGAAATTCTTTTGTATTATTATCAAACATCCATATAATGACTTGATTATCATAGCCACCAGATGCCAATCTGAATAAGTTTATCTGATCTCCACCACCACCACTTCCTGCACTCGTCCCTTCATTTAAATGTTTATTATTACTTAACGATTGATAATTATTATATGTCTTTTCCCAACTTAAACAAGATGTTCCATTCAGGTGTGCCTTAACACTGTACTTATTCCAGTATCCTTCTTCGTTTGTTCCTTTTGTTAAATTGTAAGATATTATGCTCATTTGTCCATCTGAACATGCACATCCTAGATGTAATCCGTATTCATGAGGAGACCATTCTATATAGTTTACGCTACTTTTATGATCATTATTTATGTATATCATATCATATTTATTCATATATACTTCTTTATATATTATTATACTCTTGTCATAGGAACAGCTAGCTAACAAACTCCCGTATTTTGGATGGGACCAACATACTTTCCAAACAGCTGAACTGTGATCCCTCATTTCTGCAATACATACTGGTTCTTTTGAAAGACTCACATCGAATATTTTTACTGTATTATCACTTGAACATGTGGCCAATTTCTTACTGTAATAGTCAAGCTCACAATCATTTATAGACTTCAAATGATTCGTATCAAACACAACTAATTCGTTCATCTTGACAAATTTTATGAAATTTTAGCGATTCGATTTTGAAATACACTTTTGAATGGTGGTATACTACCCAGCCTCCCCCTTTTTTTTTTTTTTTTTGTTTTGTTCTGTTCTGTTCTGCAACAAGTTTTTACCCTAAAGGTACTACTTCTAGGGGATGATCTTAGGCTGATTAAAAAACGTTTTGTATGAACGGACAGGTGGGGAAACTTAAGGCATTTATTCGTAAAGGGGGTGAAGGGGTAGAATTCGCATGAAGCGCAGAAAAAAAAAAAGGGGAAAAAAAGAGATTCAAAAAAAAAAAAAGAATGAGAAAAAAAGAAAAGGTTATATTATATGCATACAACTGGGGAAACTTCTAGGGAAAAAAGAAAAAAAAAAAAAAAAAAACTCATGCATACAAGTTCATGAATGAGTGAATGTACATATAAATATATTTACATATGCGTATTTTATGTGCCTATTTTCAATGCATGTCAGTAATCACATCATTTTTTCAAAAATCTACTGAATGGCCATTTTTCACTCTTTTTGCGACCGTATGATGCAGCAGATTTTTTGTTCAAGCACCACGAAAGCATTATGCGGACGCTCAAGGGGGGGGGGGGGTAGGGGGGAAATTCTATATAATGAGTTTCTATGAAAATATACAATATACACATGCACATGTTCATGTGCTATGGATTTGTATGTTTATAAGTATGTATTATATACAAAACCACGAACGGATATAAAAACATCCAAGTAACATGGTGAAAAAGTAATAAAAAAGTTTTTACGATTTTTGCCGTTTTGCTGATTCGCGGTTTTGCCGTTTTGCTGATTCGCGGTTTTGCCGTTTTGCTGTTTCGCGGTTTTGCCGTTTTGCTGTTTCGCGGTTTTGCCGTTTTGCTGTTTCGCGGTTTTGCCGTTTTGCTGTTTCGCGGTTTTGCCGTTTTGCCGTTTTGCCGTTTTGCGATTTTTGCAGTTTTACGGCTTTCGTACTTTGGCTCACTTGCAAGGAATTGCGTCCGTTTAAATAATCACAATTACGTGCTTGCCCTTTGGTTAACAGGTGTTGAAAGAAATGAGGGGGGAAAAGGAAAGCAAAGAAAAGAAATTACGTTTTGCTTGAAGCCATTTGGAGGTGCTCCTTTGTGTTAATTTATCGGTTATAGTTTTATTTTTGCTGTGCTTCCTTTTTAGTGCAATTTTTTATGCCTCTTTCGACACATGTCATTTTAAAAAAAAAAAAAAGATGCATTCACAATAACCTGTGGTAAAATAATAAATAACCGAAACTGAAATCATGAAAAGGTCCCGATTAAGAACGAACAAAGATTTGTCAAATGGATTTGCAAAAATATGTAAAGTTTTTTTGTATATATGTGAAGTCAGTATGGAAATGTGGCATGCGCATATTATGTTTTTTGTAACGCATGCACGGATTGCAAATGCGCGAAAATATAATAATCACTGAAACGTGTGGAGGAGCGGAAAAGAGAAATGAATTGTTCGTGTTAAAACCTCACATAACAGAAAAAAATGTGTTTTCCTAGGGTAACAGAAACAGTTATATGTTTTATGTGTAAATAAAAAAGTTCAAATGTTTTGTAAAAAAATACATACGTGAAAGCATACATACGTGAAAGCATACATACATGAATGCATACATACACACATATATATGTAGTTGCCATAAAGTGTTTCATATGCACTCAAAAAAAAGAAAAAAACTCAAGTAAATACGGCTTGGCCGGAAATTAACTCGTAGCAATTTCTTTTCCAAGGTGAAATGTGTTGCCACAAATGTGTATATGTATATGCATATGCATATTTTTTTTAATTTTTTTTTTTTTTTTCTTTTCACAATACACATCTTTTTGCCTCCATCCAACTTATCCATAGCTCAACAAAAATATAATATACCGAAAATAGGTATATATATATATATATATAACCTCTATATATATTATTGTACAAATCAGACACGTCCTCCTCCCCTGCGTAAAAAAAAAAAAAAAAAAAAATAACACACTTCCCGGAATCCTGAAACCAGATTCCACATCACTGACTCTTGACAAATGTAAATCATATGTGTGTTTATTTTGTGGGTAAAAATTACTTCGCTATTATAAAGTATGAAAGAGCAACATGCTTTAAGTGCAACTGTATGAAGATATAATTACCGAAAAAGAAAGAAAAAAAATAAAATAATAATAATTAATTAAATAAAATAAAATAATAATAAACAAAAGTTATATATATTATGAGGGCAAGGGGATAGGATGAGAATGACTCCTGGAAAGTTTGTCCATACCCAATTGTGGTGCCTATGTCATACACATCATTTTTATAAACATAACTATCTGTGAGTTCCTTCCAATTCCAAGGGAAACATATTTGTGCTTGCTCATTTTTTTTTAAAGTGCTTAAGCGGCAAAGGTAGGTTCCACACACCTACAGACTTGTGTCTACGTATGCTCACAGTTGTGCTCAAAAGTTTATATTTGTAGACATTCGTTTACATATGCTTGTGAATATTTTTGTGCATGTGATTATGCACACATGTAATATGTGTATGGCATAAAGCTGAAGAACCAATGGAGAAACGAAACATGCATGTGCATGAACTCTTATTGAGCCCTTCCTTCCTTTTCTTTTCTCTGCCTCCCTTTTAATTTCATAAAATGGATACAAAAACAAATCATTCCCTTTTCGCAACAATGTCACAATGTCGAAATTTCACACACACCATGCATATACAGGAAGGGTACACATAAAAATTAAAATAAGGGAGAGGAGCATAGGAAAGGAAATAACAACGGTGTATTAATATAACTGTATATTTAGATCATGCCGCATGGGAATATGGCACCCAACAAAAGTTTTTGTGTAGCGCCTTCTGATGCTGGTTCAAGTGAGATCAACATCGTTCTTCATTCCCTCCTTTCAAAAATGGCCAAGAAAAAACCATCCATGGATTTGGATTGAGGCAAGGAATGAAATGGTGGCTCGGAGAGGTATAAGTTATGTTTTTCACAGAAGTATTTGGCTTGATGAACATTTTCGGCATCTAGAATGCTGCAAGTTATGTACACAATTTTTCCACTTTTTTTAAGATATAGTAGAGCTTTTTCAAAAATTTGCCTCTGCAAATTTACATATTCATATAGTTTATTGTTCGTATATTTATATTTCATTTCTGGGTTTCTCCTTAAAGCACCTGTCCCTGTGCAAGGTGCATCAACAACTACAATATCCATGTAACCAAATAATTTTTTTAATAAAATATGATTTGAATTTAAAAGAATATAATTCTGAATTCCAGCTCTTCTTAATCGTATTTTTGCTTGTGAGAGCATTTTATCTCGTACGTCATGTAAATATACTTTTCCTGTATTTTCCATCATTACTGAAAAAGCCAAAGTTTTTCCACCTGACCCAGCACAATAATCTAACACTTTATCACCTGGCTGTACAGGTATTTTTGAGCTAACAATTTGGCTTGCTTCATCTTGTATTTCAAAATATCCTTTCTTGTATTCATGGTTATTTTTCAGTATTTGGTTTTTTGTTAATAGTAATCCTTGTGCAGAATTTACACACTTTTCAACTGATACACCTTTGCTCAATAACACTTTAAATAATTCGTTTCTAGATATTTTGTTCGTATTTACTCTTAAAAAAACAGGTGCTTTTTCGTTTAAAATGGACATCAGAGTAAGGCTTCTCTTTTCTCCATAGCAGTTAACTAGCTGCTCGTACAATTCTTTGGGGAACGAGTACCTGATGTGTGCAGGTATTTTCTCGTTGTTCATCTCGTATTTCCATCTGTAGCAAATGGGTGAGCAGTATGCACATGTGCAATAGGAGAGTACAAAACTGGGGACGGAGAGACAGAGGAATATACAAAAAGGGGGGGATACAAAACATGAGAATATTCAACGGGAAGATACAAAACAAACGGATGCACACGATAAAATTGCGCCAAGTAGGGAACTACACAGCCATTTCTTTGGCAACCCCACTTGATAGACCTACTTGTCTGAAGAAAAATATGTCTTGATTATGTTAGTGTATAATGCCGAGGGAGAAGACAAATACAACAGGAGGGTTTTGTTCTTTATAATGTTGTACACGTGTTCAGAAATATATGGCTTGTCTCTGTTTTTAATGTTATTGCTTTTGAAGTACAATCGCATGTAGATGTCCAAGGGAGACATGAAATTGAAACTGTTTAACGCATTTTCAATATGACGCAGTCTGGTGCTGTTCATTATTTTTTTTTTTTTTTTTTTCTAAAGGGTGACAATTTGGCTAGCTCGGACGTGCATGCGTATTCTCAATTATTTTTTATTTTCTGATATATACATGCATGCTTACATGCATACTTACATACATACAGTATATGTACATACTATGTGTTTTCCCCTTCCGCATGGATGTACTTAACTATATTTTGTTGTACCACCTTTAGTACACCATTCACACAGCAGTTTTGTCGATACCCTGTTATCGTCATTTATTTTGAGCGCAATATTAAATCGATACATGAGAAGCCATGTCTTGCTAAATTTTTGCAAAAAACACCACATGGATTTCTGTTCAAATGTGTGTAGATCTACAAATTATTTAGTTGTCATGTAAAAATGGTTAAGAACATTCTATTTTATTTGTTCTCAAAATGCTTGTCCCATTTGTTCTGACATCAATCTTTTCACACATATCGTAAAGGGAACGTGAAGGGAACATAATATAGCCCACAATTCTATAGTTTTTAATTTGAAAGAGAACATGCTACACTTTTTTGGTTATTTTATAGAAAAATAGAACATGCTGTGAGCTTTGGGGGAATGGGAACGAATAGTTTTTATCCGTCTTGTGTGCTATACGACTAGTTCAAGATGAATATTTAAAATATTGCATGCTTATGATTGTCTTTTCTTAAAGGGACAAGAAGCAAAAAAATAAGTAAAAATATGAGATAAAAATATGACATAAAAATGGAGCATAAAAATAGAGCGTGAAAATAGAGCATAAAAATGGAGCATAAAAATGGAGCAAAAAAATAGAGCGTAAAAATATAACGTAAAAATAATTTCTTGTTTTATTTTAAAATAAATTTTAAGAGTCATTATCTTCACAACATGAGACGCGCTGTTGCAGTTTTCTTAATATGTAAAAAAATTAAATAATAGCAATGGCAGTCGCAGTAGGAATAACAGTAATAATAATAAAATAAAAATAAAAGGAAGAGAGCGTAATTTTATTATGGTTTTTCTGTTGCCTGAATTGGCCATCACAAGGATCCACTCTGGAGGAAGAACAAGTGATATTCAGCGGATGGCAAAAGTAAATGATCTCGAAATGCCGTTATAAATGTATATATGTTTTGGAAAAAAAAAAAAAAGTGATATGCAGTACGAGGGATCATTGAGGATGGTGCACTAACAAAGGGCTACAAACGCATGCTTGTTTTTATAAAAAAATATATATAAATATATATATTTATATGTGTATACATGAATTATGTTCATGTAATATTATTATACGTCTCTCTCTCCCGACTTGTAACTCATCCATTTTTCTATGGGGGACAACACAACAAAAAAAAAAAAAATAAAATAAAAAAATGAAGTGGTGAAAAGGTGAAAATATGAAATGATGAAAAGATGAAATAATGAAATGGTGAAAAGATGAAATGGTGAAAAGATGAAATGGTGAAAAGATGAAATGGTGAAAAGATGAAATGATGAAATGGTGAAAAGATGAAATGGTAAAAAGATGAAATGATGAAAAGATGAAATGATGAAATGGATGAAATGCAAAATTGAGTCCTTTTTTGTAAACTTCGTTTCTACAAGTTACATAGAATGTTCCGAAATATTTACTCTCCCCTATCTTGTGAGCGACGACTTTCGCACGAAGTGGTCAGGGGGTTTTTTACATTACCTTATTATCAACTATGTATGAACTGCGTTCCAGTTAAGTATTGCCTTCATGTCAACCAAGTATTGCCCAAGTATCAAATGCACATCAGGTTACGCATGAGTGAAGTGTTGAAGAACAATGACTGAAAAACTGAAGCTAATTTTTTTTTTTTCACAATGAGCTTTTTTTGTGGACATGAGAGAAAAAAAAAAAAAAAAAAAAAAAAAAAAAAGGAAGATAGGTGTTAACCTACGAAATTTTGTACATCTAGATCTATCTCATTTGGGAAGAAAACTGGATAAGTCACATTACAAGGGGATAACAAGCCAAACCGCATCTACGTTGCAACCACAGTCTCAGCTACAATTTCGTTTGCACAGTGCCTGTCGTATCAGCTGATTTTTGCACCAACCGATCACGCACCAACTCCCATTTGCCAGCTCCCACTCTGCAAAGGACAAAATGGAGCAAGTGAAACTTATCGTGCTTTACGAAAACCAGGATATCCTGATGCTTAACGCAGAAAACGAGCGTTGCGAAATGAAATTCGAAACAACTTTAAAAGATGAAGAAAAGAAATTGTACATGCTAAAAAATGGAAGTTTCCTTGTTTTAAGTGTGAACAAAAAAATGGTGTCGAAATATATATGTGGGAAAAGTAGTCCAATTTGCACAAAACATGTGAGGGTACAACAGTTGAATGTGATAAAAGTAACACAAAATGAAAAAATAATTCTAGGAGGAGATAAATTTGGAAATATTTACATATGGTCATCCCTTTCAGGATTATTAATAAATACATTTCAAGCTCATTACGGTATTGTGAAGGATATATTAATAGATCAAATACTGAATGTTATATATACATATAGTGATGACAACATAATAAATGTATATAATTTACCTGACCTGTTCAGAAAAAAAAAAAAAATAATTCCAATGCTACGTTATCAACATAGTATAAATTCAAGCATAAAACAAATCATTTCAATCACTCCAAATATGTATAGTTCATACTATTCTTTGATAACCTTAACAAGGAATGGGAATATACACATTTGGGGATTAAAATCAAAGGATCCAATACATATATTAAAAACACAGTCTGAAAATTGTACCTACATTTGCACAAATGATCCTTTCAATACACATTTATACCTGTGCAAGGGAAATAAAATTTTCCGTATACCTTTGATGCAAATTGCAAAAAAAAATAAAATCAACTCCTCTACTCTACATGAAAACCAAAATACTCCTCTTGAAAGTAAAGAAGATATAAAACTTTCCATTTATGGGGATTATATACAAGTACGAAATGGAAAGATAAATCAAAGTGAAGGACAAAATAGAACTACACAATTTGTACCGTGTAAGGATGACCACCATGATGAATCTTTTGTAAACTTTAAAAAATGCACAGCATTCATAGGTCACAAAAATGAAGTATTGAAATGCCACGTTAATAACAAAAAAGAAATTATGATAACTCTAGCAAGAGATGGTATTAAATTATGGGATATATACAATTGTTATGTTGTTAAGACATTGAAATATGGAGAAAACATAATTGATTTTTTTGTACCAACCATTACTAAGCAATTTCTTCATACCTCTTCTTATTTTATTGAATTCCCACATTTATTGCATGAATGTGAAGATGATGTTGTGGTAAATATTGTCGATCTTGTCACACCTAATGTGATTGAAGATAGTTATAATAATAGCCCCCTTTCCCACTCGGATGAAAATTTGCTACTTCACATGGCCACTATGTTTTCTGGGCGAGAAATCTAGCCCGATATACATTATCCGCATAACACTGTTCACTATCCCATCACCCGCTTAACATTATTCACTATCCCATCACCCGCTTAACATTATTCACTATCCCATTATCCGCATAACACTATTCACTATCCCATTATCCGCATAACACTATTCACTATCCCCTTTTTTTTTTTTTCTTCTTTAAATGTCGTAGTTATATATATTTATATAACTCGTTATATATACGTATATCGAGTCATCCCTCCTAAAAATTGTGTCATCTGATTGGAATATATTGGACCTGCACGATGATCCATATTACAGTGATTACAATTATAAGTTGTATATATTTGTGAGCTCTTCCCTTTGGAGTTCTTTAAACAGAGGGAAAAAAAAAAAAAAAAAAATTTTCCTTAGCACTGTAGATGTTTGGTGAAGCGTGGTGGGGTGTATTCCCATACCATAGTGAACCGAACCCACGACAACTATACACACAAAACCCATTACTCCACGAGCATGATTTTATGCCGGAGTCAATCTGTGCATAAAATAAATGAACAAAAAATACCCCAAGTGAAATACTTCTTTGGGGGAATTTTTTAAATCGTTTCCACGCACACGTGTATATGAACAGATATGCACATGCATGCGTAACTCCAATATGCAGTAAAAACGATATGTTACAAGTTACAAACTTACACAAGGTTTCAATGTGGTAACCTTATATCCTTCACACAACTTTTTCTTTTTGCTTAAAAAAAATTACAAGAACAAAAGTGAGATGTCATCAGATGAACACCACTTTTTCATACCCATAAAACAGTGTACGCCAACGAATTATTTTTTTTCTCCCGCTGGTTATTAGCGAAAGGGTTTTTTTGTTTTTCACAAAACATCCACACGTATATATATATATATATATATATATATATATATATAGAGAGAGAGAGAGAGAGAGGCGCCAACTGTTGCAAACAAGGTCTTTTTCTTTTTTTGTAGCCCCCGATTTGTAATTAATTCCCTTAAAATAGGCATTGGAGGAAACACGTACTTTGTCACGCAAGCATGAACGTAGGTGCGCTTCGTTCATGTTCATCTTAGCATTAAATGCACAAATGGAACCTGCTTACTAGTACATATATGCTCATCCCATGTGAAATTGTGCCTTTTTTTTTTATTTTTTTTCGAACACATTTTAATTAGTACACAGTGCATACACGCGTTTAACTTTATTTCATTTATTTATTTCTTCTTCTTCTTCTTCTTCTTCTTCTTATTATTATTATTATTTATTATTTTTATTTATTTTTTTTTTTTTTTGAGTCATGTCGTTAACCCACCCAGCTAGCGCTTTACTATTTAATTGTTTTTTTTTTGTTTTTTTTTTTTTTTTTTTTTTTTCCCTCGTTTTCCTTGCTCGAAGTGGGAAAGGCTGTTTATTGTTACCATTTTCTACTAATTGTGCAAAGGAGAAGAAGATTCGTTTTCCTTACAGAACTGTAAACGAAATTATGCATATTTTTTTCTATGTGCAAATGTAGATATGGTAAAACACAATTTTTGTTATACATCCAGTGTATATTTTATTAACTTTTTTTTTTTTTTTTTTTTTAAAGAAGATACGTAAAGATCTATAACCACTCTCTCTGATTAATTACATCTAAACATCACCAAGGGTTTTTTTTTTTTTTTTTTTCCTTTGATCCATTTGCTAAAAACGAGGAGGAAAAAAAAAAAAAATGTTTGTAAGGCACCTCTCTGCCCTTATTAGGTCTCCAACAAAGATAAACAGAACTATTCAGGTAGATTATATTATAACATATATTTTGAAATGTGCATCTGGGCATATGTTTGTAACATGTGCAAATCTTCACACCTGTTGGGCTAACCCCTCTGTGGTTATTTTTCCCCACATTTGTACTGTATCTTATATGGCATCGTCCTCTTAAAATTCCTAAAGGATCATATATATTTTTTTTTTTTCCCTCTGCAGAGAAACTACTTTTCCCACAATGAAAGGCTTCTAACACCCCGACACGGAACGACCATATTGTGCGTACGGAAGAATAACGAAGTGGTAGGACTCTTTGGATAAAGAGTGAAAAAAACGAAAAAACGAAAAAGACTAAAATAACGAAAAAAGCGAAAAAGACTAAAATAACGAAAAAATGAAAACAACGAAAAAGTTATAAAACCAGGAGAAATACGCAAGTTATGGAACAACAAAATCTATGCAACACTGCTAAAAAATGATTCCACCCGCACACTTTTATTATTTCCTTGGTACACGCTACAAGGGAGAAAAAACGTTAAAACGGTATTATGCACACACCTGTTACCATTTTTCCCTTTTAGTGTTTAATTGGTGATGGCATGGTTTCTCAAGGCACAATGGTATATACGTCTGCCCAATTTTCACGTTCCCTATCTTTTTTAATTACAAAATATGGCCTCATTTGTGCATCATCACATGTGTTTTGTGTACCTCTCAGGATACATACACGGATATATAGATATGTGTGTATGTGTATGAGGACATGGATGTTATTTTTTTTTCTTTTGTATCATCCGCTCCCCATTTTTCACTCCCTTTCCTCCTCCCCCATCAGATTGTTAAAGGAAACGCAAAAAAAATAAGAAGACTGAAAGACAACATTTTGATGGGTTTTGCCGGGGCAACGGCTGACTGCTTTACCCTGTTGGACAAATTTGAAACAAAAATTGATGAATATCCAAGTAACATTTTTGTGTGCAATAATGACGTGGTGATGGTGTTATGATGGTGTGACCATTTAAGTATCTTTGTGAGAATATGCGCAGTTGTGAGAGTATTCACGGGATTGCACATGCGTTTTCGCAATCCTTAACTCTATCCTAACTCCCATTTTTTTTTTTTTTTTTTTTTTTTTTTAACGATTCAGATCAACTTCTTAGGAGCTGTGTCGAATTAGCCAAGTTATGGAGAACGGACAGATACTTACGACATCTGGAGGCAGTATTAATAGTAGCCGACAAAGATGTGCTATTAGAAGTAACAGGAAATGGGGATGTTTTAGAACCCTCAGGAAATGTGTTGGGTACAGGATCAGGGGGCCCATACGCTATAGCTGCAGCCAGAGCATTATACGATGTGGAAAATTTGAGTGCAAAGGACATAGCCTATAAAGCTATGAATATTGCTGCGGATATGTGTTGTCATACCAACAATAATTTTATATGTGAAACGCTTTGATAGCTTGTTCTGTATTCTGCACTGCGTACGTGTGTGCCAGGGTTACACTCCACTACCATACCAACATGTCATTACACCGTATTACCATTATGCTTGTGCAATATATGTGCATGTGCGTGTAGCCCATCTCTGTGCTTGTGTGTGTATGCCTCCCAGTTATGAATCCCCATCCAATTTTTAAGTGATGAAATATCTTTTTTCTTTTTTTTCCATATGAAACAACTAATTTTTACCCTTTTTAAAATTTTTTTTTTCCAAACATATATTCTCAAATGTGAAACTTGTATTTTATTTTACATCTTGAATAGTTACCCAAGAATGTTGTAGTGAAACAATTCAGGTAAATGGTTACTGTGTTGAAAAAAAGAAAAGAAAAGAAGGGAAAAGAAAGGAAAAGACAAGAAAAAACAAGCACTTTAAGTTTCCTCCATGGGAATAAAAAGTGTATGGACAGTTTTTTCCTTATCACTATTGTATTTATTTTATTTGACTTTTTTTTTTTTTTTTTTTTTTTTTTGCTGCGTAAGGAATTTACATGTACTACTGGAATTTTTGGTCGCCATTATTTCATTTTGTTCCGCTCTATTTTACTCTATTTTATTTTGTTCCCTTTTATTCCCATTTTATTTTTTTCCATTTTACTCTGTTTTATTTTATTCTACTTATTTTTCCATTTATAACGGGTCGAAGAGAAGACATTTTGTTTCTTCGTTGGGAAATGCAAAGAAAGTGGAAGGAGACGAGTGAACCCAATTGAAAAAAAGTTACACAAAGTTAAACCAAATAGGGAAAAAGGTCCCTGTGGAAAAACAAACCTTTTTCATTTACACCCAGAATTTTTTTTTTTTTTTGCAGGTAATTGTACACACCTAATGTGAAGACTGCAAATTGGCTTTTCCTAAAAAAGTGAGCATTTAACTGTAGCCACATTTGCGTGTAAGAATTTTCTGAACATTCAGAAATATACATACATTTTACCTTGCAGGTTAAGGAAAAAAAAAAAAAGAAAATTGCACCAATTTGCAATATATAATAAAAAAAATATGTACACACATGTGTGTGTATACTAGCACCTATAGTAAGACCCCAAGTGCAGAACATTTTCATGCTCATAAGTAGAAATGCTAAGACACCCCCCAAAAAAGGGCACATACAAAAAAAAAAAAAAAAAAAAAAACAACGTCATTGCTAGTAATTTACTAGCCGAATTTTTAATTCTTTGAAAAAAAAAAAAAAAAAAAATGTAAAAATGTGAAAAAATTCTTAACAAGATCAGGACATTATTTGTATTGTGATGTATTGTTAAACTTGTTTTATTCAACTTTTTTTTTTTTTTTTTTTAAAACCTTTAAAAAAATTCACTTGTTTTGAAAAATTTAATTATATGTTTTTTTTTAAAGAGGTACGCACAGTATGTATTGAACACTCTTTCTTTTCAATTTGTGTAAGAATTTTTATATCTGTTTGGGTATGTATTTGTATACATGTCTGAGTGTGTATTTGTATACATGTCTGAGTGTGTATTTGTATACATGTCTGAGTACGTATTTGCACTTATGATATAAGATATATTTCTTACTTAAAAACGAGTATATATATGTGTGTGTGCGCATATATGCCTTTTTTTTTTTTTTTTAAAACGGGTAACAACAGCATAAATCTCACTTCTTACACTTAATTCATTGTGTATACAAGTGTGTAATTATTTCACTATTTATCCTTTTATGTTTTTCCGTTTTATTATTAATTTGAATGTTCTCCATTCGTTCTCTTTTGTTCATTCCAATTCACATTACAATTGTGAGTGACATTTCTCGTTGTACTTTTGTTTGTTCATGCACTCGTTACGTAATAACCATCGAGTAACCACATAATTTTCTCCCCATTTGTCGTGAAGACTTCCATTGTGCTACCCCGTTTTTTTTTTTTTTTTTTTCTTTTTTTTTTTTTTTTTTTTTATAACACCATAACCTTTTCAAAATAAATGGAATTTTCTACATATGCTGGGTTAAGTTCTGAACGTCTTGCATGCCTTCGAAATCTTGATATTCGAAGAAAACATGTATATAATGGATCAAACTTTTCTTATGGGAACAACATTTATGAAATTTTACATAACTCTTGTACTGAGGAATTAAAAAATGAAAAAGACCCTAATTGGCATATTCAAAATGACAATAAATATGTGCCCAAAAATATGAACTATGCAGGTTTACAGTCAGAAATTAAAAATAGCATAAATGTACGAAATAGAAGAATTAAAAATGATTTGAACAATCACGGAGGGGAAAGTATAAAAGATACTATACAGCACAATGTAAAAGAAGGAGAGTTAAATAATCCGAAGCATTTCCTTTCAGACAAAGGTTATGTATTAACACCAAAACGATGTCTAGCTAGACATGTATATGATAGCGAAATAGATAAATATTTTTCAACAAAATATGCTGTAACTGATAAGTCAAGTGGAAGAACAGAAATTATGGTTGAAAGAAAACCGGGATGTTCTAACATTATTGTTCAGAATTTCTCCGAGTTTGATGCATATGCTACGTATAAAAAACAGGATGAGAGGAAAAAAAAAGGACGAGACTCCTTTGTTCATACGAAAATGGTGAATACAACAAAATGAGAAAGGAGAAAAAAAAAAAAAAAAAAAAAAAAAAAAAAAAAAAAAAAAAAAAAAAAAAAAAAAAAAAAAAAAAAAAAAAAAAAAAAAAAAAAAAAAAAAAAAAAGAGGGGAAAAACAACGAAAAAAGGCAAAAAAAAAAAAAAAAAAAAAAAATAGAGATATCACATTAACCCTCCTCCTAAAAACCACGTGCATAATATTACCACTTTCCAGTGGAGAGCTCATAGATTTGGAGAAAAAATTCCAAGTGCACACTTTCCATGTGCGTGATTTTTTGGGTGGAATAAAAAAATGGAAATATCCGAAAGTGGGGTTTCTAAATTAGTGACTTCCGCCATTGCTTTCTCAAAGAATTTTTTTTTTTTTTTTTTTTTTTTTTTTTTTTTTCTCTTTTCATCTTAGGGTATTGTGCCAAAAGACGGATCACCCCAGGATGATAAACAGTCCAAAGCACATGCTTTGTTTAGTGATGTACACCGAAGTGATAACATAGCACCTGAAAATTACTGGCTTTGTCCTACCATTGACAGCGAGAAAAAAAAAGCAAAAAAAAAAAAATCTGTAATATTAGTCTAGTGTTGGCTTGTACGTATACCCAGAACAGGGGGAGGGGGATGCCTATTGCTCACGCGTATATACATGTTTGTGAAGATGTTTGTGAAGATGTTTGTGCAGATGTTCGTGCAGATGTTCTTGCAGATGTTCGTGCAGATGTTCTTGCAGATGTTCGTGCAGATGTTCGTGCAGATGTTCGTGCAGATGTTCGTGCAGATGTTCTTGCAGATGTTCGTGCAGATGTTCGTGCAGATGTTCGTGCAGATGTTCGTGCAGATGTTCGTGCAGATATTCATATACATGGACTTTCTCCCCCTTTGCCCAGGCGCGCTGGTCATCACTTCTCTCAAAAATAAAAAAAAAAAAAAAGGGGGAAATACTCTGACAGAAGTGGGGGGATCAACATGCATCATGTATGCATATCATATGTGAAAAAAGTCAACACTGCGATTTTTATTCATATCTTAGTCATTTTATACCACCACGTCTTAATAACTTCATAACCACTTAACGACTTAACCACTTCAACCTTCCTCTTTTTCAAGTAAACATTTAATACTCTCATAATAAATAATTCTTGCCATTTGTCGAATTTCCTCAAAGTTGTGCAACACACAAAAATGTAGCCCTAACATCCCTCCCCCCCCCCCCCTCATTGTGCTTCGTTTTCCTCTGGCCTAGTTCTGTTTCGGCACTTAAATCCTTCTATGCATCTCTCGACAAGCCAAGTAAAATGTGTGTTTCTCATATCTGTCTTTATTCACACAATGTGTTCAGATTAATTTTCCCTGATTCAATTTCTCTGATTAATTTGTTCTGTTTGCTCTTCTCCGGTTTTTATTATCTGCACATTTTTTTTTCCCCTCTCTGTTATACGCATTCGAATGTATGTCTATACGCAAAAAAGATGAATACTCTAACTATGATACATAATTCATAAAAGTTGATCAAAGAAATGGGAAGGAAAGGTTCTTCCAAAACAAATCATTAGGAAACAGTTACCACTATCGTGACATGGGAGTATAGTGACACTACTCCCATGTTATACTTCGCCCTTCAATCGGCTGTAAATGTTCAGAATTACAACCGTTGATAAAGCAAATGTCAAGGTGATAACCAAAACCCCTGGGCCTACTTTATCTGTGTAGTTAATTGGTTCTTTGTTGATTAGTGCCTCTGCCCTTTTCAAATAAATGTGAAAGGAATAAAGAATGAAAAAGATTGCCACAGGTGCCATAATAATTCCAGAAGCGAACCCATAAGAATTGGAAAAATTCAAAAGGGTTATGGATATGGTTGACAGGAGCACACTTGTGTTAAGCCATTGAAGTAAGGTTCTCTCATTTGCGAAAAAGGTTTTTGGTTCAACTCGGACTACTGAAGTCTTTGGTCTTTTACTTTCAACAATTTTATTTTTCCTAAAAAATAAACTTTTAAAAAATGACAAAATTTTACATGACGATGGTGATGATTTTTTACTTTCCCAATTTGTATCTTCTACTTCGTCTAGCAACGGTTCAAACAGGTTGTTATCTTCTGTGAGCGCCTGTCTTTGTATAGATACCTCTCCTCTTCTGCTTCTACCTCTGCTTCCAGATCTGCTTCTACCTCTGCTTCCAGATCTGCTTCTAACTCTGCTTCCAGATCTGCTTCTACCTCTGCTTCCAGATCTGCTTCTAACTCTGCTTCCAGATCTGCTTCTATCTCTGCTTCTAACTCTGCTTCTACATCTACTTCTTCCCCCTTTTGCTACGCATGATTTCCTCACTTGGCTATTTGTGTCTGCGTTTAAGCTATCGTACATATAATTCCTACGATGATTAAAGTTGACACCACTGTTAGCACTGCCAATACTAAGATTTATATGTGGAACATGTGATGGTTTAGTTCTTTCTATTTCACTTCTATACATTACTTCACTTTCATGGGCTATTCTGGCTGATGCACCCGTGTAAGTGATTCCCTTTCTGTAATCATCCTTTTTTGTTTTACAATTCTTCCCGTTCATACAATCAGCGTAGATCATTACATTTTCGATTGAACTCGCATCTGTGTCGTTATCATCTTCGGAAGAATTCGTTTCATCATTCTGATTCCCTTCGAGGGTTCCATTTCTTGTGTCCACCTTACGCTCTTTGCGTTTCCCTTCTTCGTTTGCCACATCTGCCCCGTCTGCCCCATCTGCCTCCACTGAATCACCCAATTCGGCATACTTCGAACCAGTGAATATTCTCCAGTGTGGAGACGTTGATATGCACTTGGGGTATATCATAGATATTCCTTGCATATAGGAAGAGAATCCCCAAATTTCTCTCAACACCTCGAGATTATTCAAATGTGATAAAAATTCTCTGTTCGTGCCTTCTTGTATGCTAATATCAATCACTGCATAGTCGAAGTATGCGTACTCTTTGCTTCCCTTTCGAATTCGGTGTCTTTTTACACTTTCCCCCTCATTTGTACCACTTTTGTGTAGAAGATGATTGCTACTTTTTGTAACTTCGTCATATGACTCTTCCTCATGAAATTTGCCCAATTGACTATTTTCTTCCTCTTCAGAATCTACTTCTTCAGACCCGTGAATCGATCTTATATCTGTATGTTTCCAGTAAGAGATGTTCTCATCTATGTAACCATTAACAGTATCATTACCAAAATGGAATCTATTCAACTTGCTCTTGAGGCAGCTGCTTAAGTTGTTCTTTTTTATTTCGTAGATGCATTTCTCCACGTGTTGCAGTTTCCGTGGTTGCTGCAGATTCGACAGTAGTGGGAATTTGTCATGGGGAATATCAACATGATGTATGATTGGTTCCTCCAGATTGGGTGCAGAACGATGAGTATACGGAGCCAGTTTGTAATCCTCAGTAACTGTTTTTTTTTCAACTGAATTAGGTATATCATTTGGATCGTCTGAACCAGTTTGAACATGCGCGAGTAGGGAGGTCGTCCCTTTCAATTTCATTGTGTACAAATCGTTTACACAATTTATTTTGAGGTTTTCATTTGAAATATCCGTTGGGAAAATATATTTTTCATTCATATCATAACTTGGTTCATATAAATTAAAATTTTGAATCACAATTTTGGTAATATCCTTTTGTGCATCAAAGTAGTTATAGGAACGTAATCTAATACATGGCTTATGTCTATTTTGTGTATTTCGATTTACACAATTGTGATAAGTACTAAATGTAGAATCATCAAAGTAGATAGATGTAAGGTGATTCTGGGTCTTAGATGTGGAAATCATTTCAATAAGTTTTTCAAAAGGAGGCATAAATTCATTTTCCTCCATCAGTGGGAAATACTGAAAGGTAAAATATTTGCATATCTCAACTTTAACAATTATTAATTCTTCCGATTTTACAATATATTTGACGTGCGTAACATTCCTATTGGCTTTTTTTCCACTTTCATTGTGATTACCCATTTTGGCAGAACCGTTATTTCGTTGCACCCTTATATTACTCTCTTTTTTTTCATCCCCTGAATCGGATGAGCATTCTTGCGCTTCTATGTTTCTGGATATATATTTTTTTCTCTTCAAATTGTTAGATAAACTAGATTTGTCGTGTTCGTCCGTTTCTACATCTATCAGTTTTAGGGATTCTTGTGGGGGGAGTTCTGACACAGGTAGCTGCTGCTCATCCTTAGTAGATGCTGTCTTTCCCCTGATAGTACGGGAATATTTATAGCATACTGATAATATATAAATCAAAAAGTTTACATCAAAGTTCATAAAAAAACTTTTGATTATAACATTTATATAGAATGATGAACTGACACCTTTGTCATTATGCTTATCAAATTTTTTCGTTATTTTCCTAAATCCAATAAAATTCACTATCCTATAACTTTCCAAAAATTTTAAAGTATTTCCCAATTCGTTCAGTTTTTTCGTTATTTCATGTAAATCAATTAATGAATCTTCTTTTCTCAACTTGTTCAGACAAAATTCCGCTTCGTCATACCATTCCTTAATTGTATTTCGTGTGAATTTGTTAATTTTGTCTAATTCAGCATTCAGGATATCTTGAAATCTTGATTCTGCTGATTTGTATTCTTCCCCGCTTAGAGCCCGTATGCTTCCAAAATTAGATGTAACCTCCTTAATTGTAAATGTAGATGTGTCCTTCCCTGTCGAAAGAAAAACATTGTTATGTTTGCAGTTAAGCGGTGCGTGCACTTATGATACGTTTGCAGTTATGGTACGTCTTGTTTAATGGGTTATTTTTTTCACGATACTGATTTAGAGCAACTACTGTAGGTGCACGTTTCGTTTGTCCACCGTTTTTTTTTTTTTTTTTTTTTTTTTTCCTTCCCCTTTATTTTATTATATTATTTTTTTTTATTATTTTTTATTATTTTATTATTTTTTTTTTTTTGGCTGGTGTGCTGGGTAATTGGACTGCCATTCATGCAACATGATTTGAAAAGTTAACGGATTCATCAAAAGATGAAGAAGTTACAACAGCAAAAAAAAAAAAAAAAAAAATGTGTTATAATTTATATATACTCACCAGTAATGAGTCGAATGGCTTTTTTTAACTCCTTATAAGCTATGTAATATTTTTTATATTTGGGATGTGCTTTCTCGTGTAACTTTTTGCTGAACTTCATTTTGGCTGAAAATTTCTACAGAGGGAGAAGTGGACTAAGTGGACGAAGTGGAACTAAGCAAATTGAGCTGATGCATTTAGGTGTGGCTTCATCCTTTTTGTCTTCATATACAACACCAAATTTTGCATGTGTGATGTTTGAAAACAAATGATATTCGATGATTTTTGGTTCCACTTATATTTTGCTGTTTCAGAAGTAAAATGTTTTAGAGAGAGTTAGGTAGAGGGGGAAAAGTGCTAGTTTCTTGGGTAAAACTGTTCGTTCGCATAGATGTGTGCTTTTAAACTAATATAAAACGTGTAAAAATTTTGTGAATGTATAGGCAACACTACCTTTTTGTATGTACATACTTATGTAATAAACTTTGTGTTTACTTCTTTTTCCCTTTTTTTTTTTTTTTTTATTTGGGTATGTTTAGAAAAGTAGCTAAATTTTTTTTTTTTTTTTTTTTTTTTTCCTCACCCTTTTTATGTATATGGATGCTTTTGGAAAGGGGTTAAGATTTATCTACATGAACTTTTTTTTTTTTTTTTTTTTTTTTTTTTTTTTGCTTGTACGGAGATCCCCAAATTTTATGTAAGTTCGTCTTAGTATAGTTTGTAAAAGTGGGTAGGTAATTACTTCTTCCTCTTTTTCTTATCATAATTATGCTCGTTCTCATGTTTATGATGTGTACACCATCGCATGCATAATTGAGGGCACTTGGTGATGAGGGGATTTTTGGGAAAGAAGCCCAGGCGAGTTACATCTCAGATCTTGGAACACGAGAACGAAATAATAAAAAAAAAAAAAAAAAAAAAAAAAAAAAATGATCATGCTGAGTGTGCAGTTGCAAAAAGAAAAAAGGAAGCGACATTTGTTTAACCCAGACTCCAGAAATTGTGGAGTGATAAGTGCTATACTAACATCCAGATGAATGCGAGCATGGATCACACATATACAGATTCACATCTACATCTACACTCGACTTTCCCCTTGTTGTCATAAAAAAAGAATCTATGTAGATTTTATTGTTTCCACAAAAGGAATGGTTCCACCAAACTCTAGAAAAGTGTTATCATTATGAGCGGGGATACATCAATTACAGAGGTAGTTCCTTTAGAATCCGGATAGTACTTCCTTTTCTTCTCTTTTCTAAGACAGTTCGTATGGGGTTTAACATACAATGTGTAAATAGAGGTGTACAATCAGGAAGACATATAAATGTATGTACGTGTATATATCCACATTTATGTTTAACTTGTGCGTGTGGTGAACTAGTTGTACAACCTCTCCCTACCCCTTGAACACCTTTTTTTTTTTTTTTTTTTTTTTGAATAGATTTTCCAAGCCCCACAAAGTTATAAGTTATGGAATGACAAAAATATGTACGAATAGCTGCTTACTATTTTTCTCCTTGAATATTCTAATTATCATGCCCTTGGTTAATAAAGCACAAAAAGATAAATCATAGAAATAAACCTGTGTAAGCGAATAAAAAAAAAAAAAAAAAAAAAAAAAAAAAAAAAACACAGACCCAGATCGAGATCCATATCCATATGCAGACCATTTGGCCAAATACACATCATTTTATTTTTGTACATTATGCCAACTTAGGTTGTGATCATTGTACTTTTTTCTGTGCGAAAAACTTTTTGTCTTTATATTCGATTTGAAAAAAAGAGAGAAGTTATGAACACAATCATCAGGTTTTTCTGTGTGTGTGTGTCAGGGATCATGGAAAACTCACACACACATGTACATGTGCATGAGCACGTGCACATTGGACTTTTGTTCACAGGATGTCCCCAACTTGTACACCTGCCATTTGCATGCTCGTCATCTAAATATCCATTAACTTGGAATTAACTTTCAACCCTTCGGGTTTTGCATGACCCATGTGGCAAAAAAGCGCTACTAGTAGACACTCCTTTTCAGCAACGAATGAACAGATGAACTTGTGCAAGGGGAAGGAAAAAGAAAATAACAGCATAATATGACGTAAAAAAAAAAGAAATTCCATTTTTTTCTTTTTTTTTAGTTTTCATTTTTCTTTTTTCATAAAGGCACATGCAAAGAAGGGGAAGAAAATAAGTGTTCATTCCCTCATCACATTTTTGTAGAATTTCGAAACCAAGTAACTTTTCACCTATAGCTTATTTAACCTTAAAATTGGTCAAAAAAAAGAAAGTAAAAAAATTCCGAACGATGCGCAATGGAAACTTGGTATACATGTCACACTGTCAAGCAGTTCCAACATAAGCATCAAGTGTTAAATGTGAGGGATAATGCGACTCGTGCTAAGATATTAACAATTGCATGTAAAATTTTGCAAAAAAAAAAAAAAAAAAAAAAAAAAAAAAAAAAAAAAAAAACATCAAACTATGCACACGCATGTTCCTTGGTACTCTTGTACACCACACACATATACACATGTGCACCTATGTGTAAAGTGAGAATTCTTGAAAAGTTCTGGAGTGATCATTCCTGTTATGTATAATGTTGTGTTATACTTATTCCCGGAAAATAAAAAAAAAAAAAAAAAAAAAAAAATGAAAAAAGAGCCAACACGTCTAATCAGAAAAATGCCATTTCCACCTGTTGTAGAATAATTTCCACTTTTAATTTTGCGCTGGTTTTGTGTGCATGTTTTTTATTTTCTGTATGTTTTTTATTTTTGTGCCTTTTTTGTGTGTGCGTTTTGTTTCTCATTCTTCTGTTTTGCTGTTTTGCTGCTTTGCCTCGTCCCTCTAGAGGCCACCGTACCTTGTGACCACACTGCACTTAAATTTTTTTCTCTTTTGTTATTTGTTCCCCTTCTGGTACATCTTTCTAAGTTGGGCTCCTTCCACACATGTCCTAGCTCAACCTCTTCTCTAGTCACACTTTCCACCACCACTACTGTCATTGCAGCACCCACTTCCAACTACTACCACCCCACGTGTAACGGAAGACCTAACTTGAGACAAAAAACTTGAAAATGCAAGGGGACCCAAGTTGGATAGGTACCCAGGGAGAATGGAAAAAGGGGAAAAAATTGGTAGCTCAGAATTGTGGAATTTATATGAATAAAATAAAAAATGCAGGAGTTGTATGTAATAGAATAACAGAATTAAATATGAACTCACGAAAAAAAATAGCAAATATAAAAAGTGACAGTTCTCAAATGAAAGATATATTATGTCATGTGGATTACAAAACAGTAGAAATGATACCTGCAAAAAGGCCACTAACATCATATTCTACTTATGATAATCAAAGCAAATACTTTGAAACAAAATTAGTACCTGACCTACAAGGCAAAATGAGCATATGCGTAGGAAGAAAAAGTGGAAGTGCTACTGTTAATATTAACATAGATGAATATGACTTAGAAAAAACATATAGTACATGGAAAAAAAATTTCCATAAATCAGCACTACATAATAAATCTAATTTAGAAAATGATAGATTTTTAACTGTCAATGAATCAGCTGAAAGGAGCGACAAAAATCCAAATGTTCAAAATAGAAATCCTCCTTATGCAAACCCAGATGGCCCTTTTGAAAAAGAGAAATTAAATATACCAAAGCAAGCAAGGGATCATTTAGACAGAACATTGACACCTCTACCAAATGCAGACAAAGATCCTACTTTTAAAAAAAAAAGTTGTACAGCTTATCAAGATTCTTTCTCTTTGCTTAGACCTTATGGGGATGTCCAACCAGAGGAAGTAAAAGGAGTTAAGCGCACAAATTTTCCATGGATCCATTCAAATGGGATGAAACAAATTCTTACCTACAACTATCCTTCTGGTGATGATCACGCTTATGGTCTTTTTCCATGTGCTGAGGAAGTACATGGTTCTGCTGTACAAGTGCATGATTCTGCTGAGGAAGTATATGGTTCTGCTGAGGAAGTACATGATTCTGCTGAGGAAGTACATGATTCTGCTGTAGAAGAACATGGTTCTGCTGAGGAAGTACATGGTTCTACTGATGCGCCTCGTCATTTCGTAGCTAGCCAAAATGGAGATTCAGACACATACTGTGTTCATGCAAATTACTCAAGGGGTAGAAGTGAGGAACACCTAGAGCATCCTTTGAACCAAGTTGACGCAAACAACCAATCGAAACGTTGCGACATCCATAGTTCCTATAAGACCGATGAATTTGGAAAAAATCTTCCCAATTTTCATCAACCCCAAAGGGGGAAAGCCCTCAGAAGAGAAGGATCCCCTTCCGAGGGAGCAGAACTCAAAGAACAGTATGACCATAGGGAGGACCTGAAAAATTATGAACATGGTCATGCAGAAAATTCTGGATATTTTGGATATGGAAAAAATTGCCAGTGTGCGCATAACAAGGTGGTCCCACTCAGCCATTTTGGCACACCAGATGTTTAGCTAAGTTTTACTCCAAACGATTCTTCAAATCAAGGAAGGAACTGTCACTATAATGCCGACAATAGATACTGTCATGATGTGAAATACCTGTTGGCAAGTAATGTTGAGAAAAAAAACACACATGAAACGATGAACGAATGTGGTAATTGTTGTAGGTTCCCTTCTCTCACTGAAATTCTAGGAACCTTCGCCCCCACCCCTTTCCTCTCTCCTATTGACTTTTCTTATATGACACATTTGGGATTGACAAAATTTGTGGGAGTGTCTTATATGCACAAGACTGCATATGATTGCACGAGGAGTAGTTTTTTTTTTTTTTTTTTTTTTTTTTTTTTTTTTGGTTTCTTTTTTCCACTTTACAGTGAAGAGCCAGGTAAAAATGATGACTCTTGGGCACAAAAAAAAAAAAAAAAAAAAAAAAAAAAAATGTATCACATATGACTGAAAAAGGTGCAAATATAGTAGAAAAAAATGTACGTAGAGTAGAAAAGAAAACAAAAAGGTGCTCATTCAGATGTGATTTCTGTTCGCAGGATTTTCATTTCATATTTCCCCTAAAACGAAATTGTGTTTTTTTTCTTTTTTTTTTTTTTTTTTTTTTTTTTTTTTTTTTTTTTTTTTTTTTTTTTTTTTTTTTTTTTTTTTTCCATTTTGTTTCCTTTTTTTTTCACACGAAAGTTGTTTTGTCAGAAAAGGTGCATGTTGCATGTGCGTGGCACAACAACTGAATAATTCTCCACTCTAGCAACTTTTCACACACCATCGACATGATGTAATATTCATTTAAAATTTGTTTAAGAAAAAGGGTATGCAAGAAGTGCTAAGTTTAATTATTTGCCACGCATTTTTATGCACACAAAATTGGGTTCCTGGAAAGTAGATTGTGTAAAAAACAAAAAAAAAAAAAAAAAAAAAGGGGCGCGAAAAAAAAAAAAAAAAAAAAAAAAAAAAAAAAAAAAAAAAAAAAAAAAAAAAAAAAAAAAAAAAAAAAAAAAAAAAAAAAAAAAAAAAAAAAAGGGGGGAAAAAAAAAAAAAAAAAAAAAAAAAAAAGGGGGAAAAAAAAAAAAAAAAAAAAAAAAAAAAAAAAAACACCTGTTTGGAAATTCATCCATGTGCATTTTTTCCATAACAGGACTGGTAGCATAAAATGAATTTATAAACTTTTTTTTTTTTTTTTTTTTTTTCGCGCCCCTTTTTTTTTTTTTTTTTTTTTTTTTGTTATTCCTTATTTCCTGCATCGTTTACAAAGCGAGAGTATATTTCTCTAATGGAGTGAATACAAGACTGCGCCTCCTCATCGCTTTCGAAGTTTAAGACCATTAGGGGAGTATTCTAAAAAAAAAAAAAAAAAAAAAAAAAAAAAGTGACAGCAATTAGACACGTGTACATCCTGAGAGAGAATTATTCTATAGAAGAAGACACACTCTAGTTCTACATGTTCATATGTTGCGTACAACATCATGAGGCAAGGCATACTTTGTTGGTGAAAAAATAAAAGTAAAGTGTCTTCTCGTAACTACTCTTGGTGCTTATTCTGTAAATAGCGTGAATGTCAAACACTGCATAAACGTTAATCACATCTATTTTCATCTTTCTGTATTGCAATCTGTGGGGAGGAGCAATTCTAGGGAGGGGAATCCCTATGTTCACACTGGGTTGATACCTCACATCTGTCTGATATCCCACACTGGGTTGATATCTCACATCGGCCTGATATCCCACACTGGGTTGATATCTCACATCGGCCTGATTTCCCACACTGGGTTGATACCTCACATCGAGCTGATTTCCCACATCGGGCCGATTTCCCACGTCAGATCGCCTTCTCATGTCGTGCTTCATCCCTTTCACATTCTTTGCATATAAACTATGATAATCTGAAAAGGAAAAATCATGTTCACTTGATACACAAGACGAGCAGGAAGAGTTCCCCCTCGATTGAGAACTACTAGCAGAGGTGCACTTGCACTCATCTGCATCAGACATGTTGTTTCTAGACATGGTAAAATAAGATTTGTAGTAATTATACGTGTCTGAAATATGTTCCTTTGTAATACTATGAAATATATGAGTTGCTAAATCAGCCCAGTTTATATCAACACCCTTCATTTTGTAACTGTCAATAGTAAAGAGAACATCTTTCTTTTTTAAATCTTTATACTTATGGATTAGTACCTTTTCTAGTGTTTCTCTTTGCTCACAGTATTTGTGTAAACATATGTAATCCCAATCTTTTTCTCCATTTTCCTTCTTCATGTATTCTTCTTTTTCTTTTAAAAAGTTCCTTGTCCCCACGTCATCCAAAGAGGAGACGTGTGTTTCCCTTTGTTTGTCTATGCACCATCCACTTAAACTTTCACTTGGATCTTCTCCAGTACTCTCGTTTGAGACACCATTTCTTCCATCCCTTTTGTCTCCTTCCCTAAGTAATACATTTACTTCATATAAATATGGAGTACCATACAATATAAGCAAATGGTCATATATCATGAGCTTACATAGACCTAATTCAGGTTTATTTTTTATGCACGTGTTGTTCAAAATGGAATCGCTTACTAGTTCGTCACGCCAATCGGTGCTGTTCTTTCGTTCGTCTTGAGCGAATTTTTCAACATTCTCCAACTTTTCAACCGCTCCCATCGGATCCCGGGCTATACCCATGCAGGTATTCGCTCCGGAAGTGAATTCTTCAGTAGCAGCAAGATGACAGAGGTCATCTACTTTTCTCTTTTCAAAACTTTTGCTTCCACTATTCTTTGTATTCATATTATGTAATGAATGAATATTGCCAATGTTACTAAAGGGAAAACATGACAAGTTGAAAAATAGGTTGGAGTCTAATGTGTTACAATTCAGATAAAGATTTGGATCATTGATAGGATTATTCTCTCGTTTCATGCTCTTGAAATATTTAACATAGTGCACTAGGTTACTAACGATATTGTTAGATCTAATGTTATGCGGGATCAATGGTTGGAATATGTAATTTATGAAACAATTGTATATTTTTCGAATGGGTCCTTTCTGGTTTGATCTATTCATCATCTCACCATTCGAAGAGTTCTCTCCAGATGGGTGCTGACCTCCCTTCAACAACAAACTCCTATAACAAACTACATCGACGTAGGAGTACAAATTGTAAACATCTGAACTGGATGAATAACGTGGCCCCATCCTCTCTGAGGAGCTATCGATGTTAAACGACATTTTTTTCTTTTGAAGATCATTTTGAAAACCATTTTGAAAACCATTTTGAAAACCATTTTGAAAATCAAACTGCTCTTCAGATGGTACTTCTCGGAATGGTTCTTCTTCTCCTTCTTCCATGCACTGTTCACCATTCCAGATGTTCGATCTGATTTCCTCTTCATGGTTATTGCTAAAAGCAGTGTTGTAAATTTCCTGCTCCTGATCAAGTTCATTTCTTTTCCCCTCATCACACGGATTCTTAACTAGACTAGTGTCTAATGATGCTAATATATTTGCTGCAGCAGTATTTCTCTCAGTGGCACCCACCCCAGCATATTTGGCTCCACCTACCTCTGGCAGCGCTGCATTCAACAATTCACTCTTCTTCCTGTTATAATAATCGATAAAATAATTTATGCTAAAATAGTCCTTCTTCACTTTGGCATTGTTACAGATGTGTATATCGCCCCCTTCCCCTCCATTTGTGGAATCACTGAATTTTTTTTCAGATACAAATGTATTCACGTGTGCATCTAATGCACGTTCAGAATGGAAGAAGTTATTATCCCTTGGACTATTTGTAAACTGAGATGATGAATGATTGGAAGTGTTCGTTTCATTATTATCACCACCTTTCTTCCTCTTAATATAATTTAATAAACCAGAAAAGGTAAAGGACGATCCCACATTATTATCTTTTCTATTTTCATTTCTTCTTTTATCCATATTTATCTTCTGAGTAATGAGATTAAAAAAGGAGAAAAAATAAACATTGTCCCTTTGATTGGTTAGAAAAGCAAGAAAATCATCAAAAATTTTATAATTATTATAAATTTCAAAAAAAAATTCATCTAAAATTTTTTTTTGGGATTTTTTAAAATGTTTATAATTGCAAAGGTAGCACTCCTTATCATTAGGGTGGTAGAAATATTTTAATACCCTTTTGTTTTTGTTAAGATGGCAATGTTGTGTGCGTAAATAAGAAATATCACCATGGTCTCGTTTTTTTCCCACATTCGATTCGGTAGAAGTTGTGACTAAAGTAAGATGTGTAGACAAATGCATATTCTTGTTGACATCCACAACATTAGACTTCATCAAATTGTGATATGAATTTATACCACCTTCAATAATAGACACATTTCTGAATTTCAAATTAAACAACAGTTCATAATAAAATCCTCGTACATTCTTAGCATTGTTAAAATCATCATCATACATAATGACAATTCTCTTCTCAGGGGTTATCACATTTTCAAATAAGAAGGTTAAGCTGTTTTCATTACACAGCACCTTTTCTTTTATTAAAATATACAAATTGAAAGAACTTATATTTAAAGCATGTTCTAATTTATCATCATAACTAGACTTGTTTTTGCATCTCCTGTGGTTCTCATTTGGAGAATCCACAGATTCTTTTGTGTTCATAATGGAGAGTTCGTCCTTTTTTGGAGCAGGAGGAGGCGGGGAAATACCCGAACAGTTGTTACCATGTGGGTTATTCAAGCCAATTTGGGAATCATTTAGACCAACTTGGGGATCCTTTAAGCCAACTTGGGAATCATTTAGGCCAACTTGGGGATCTTTTAAGCCAACTTCGGAACCATTTAGGCCAACTTGGGGATCTTTTAAGCCAACTTCGGAACCATTTAGACCAACTTGGGGATCCTTTAAGCCAACTTGGGAATCATTTAGGCCAACTTGGGGATCTTTTAAGCCAACTTCGGAACCATTTAGGCCAACTTGGGGATCTTTTAAGCCAACTTCGGAACCATTTAGGCCAACTTGGGGATCTTTTAAGCCAACTTGGGAATCATTTAGGCCAAGTTGAGAATTATGATTTTCTCCCTCCATGCATTTGTCTAACTTTGCACTACCCATTCGTGACTCCACTCTACTTAACCTTTTTTTCGCAACATCAAACTCCACTTTCGAAAGAAAATTGTTCTTAACCTGATAGTAAGTCAAGCTAAACGGTTTTGACAAAACATCATCATCTGAATTGTATTTTTTAAGACATTTTATTTTCCTCTCTTCTACATACTTTTGCTTTACCCGTTCACGGGTTCTAAGTTTAATTTTGCAATTATTACCTAATCCATGTGTGTGGCTTCTCCTTTTGTAGATGTTGCAGTGGAATGCGTGCAAATCGATCGCTTTGTTCCTTTCGCCTTTGAGCCTACAAAGGTTTTGAAACAATTCTTCCTTTTTGCACTCCTTGTTGTTTTCGTTGTAATTTGCATCACCATTTTGGTTATTGTTTTCATCACCATTTTGATTATTGTTTTCATCACCATTTTGGTTATTGTTTTCTCTTCTCTTCTTATTCTTCTTCTTCCTCTTCCTCGTCTTCTTCTTGTTGTTCCTCTCGCTTTTGCCTCCTCCTCGTCGTCCTCCCATTTGTTGCCATTTTTCTTCACAGACCCTGAGTTGTTCATTCATTTCTGATGCTACAGAATTTACTTGTTTTTCATTTCTCTGCAAATTTAAAAAAATCGATTTTTTTAACAAAATATTATCATCGTAACTTAGGTTAATTTTGAAATTATATTTTTCTCCCAACAAATGGGAAAAAAGAATCATGCCATTTTGTGCAATTTCTCTATCCCCATATTGTTTCAAAATGTGGACTGTTCTTTTTTGGACTCGTATTTTCTTCCTCTTCTTCATTCGCTTCTCTATTCTTTTCTCCATTCTCTTCTTCATCGTCTTCTTTGTCTTCTCTTTCTTCTTCTCATCCGCTTGGCTCATGTTTCCTAAACGGGTCACGTGTAGATAAGCATAATTAAGATACCACATACATTGCACAAAAGAAGTATCACAAAATAAATGACACAAAAGAAGTATCACAAAATAAATGACACAAAATAAATCTCACAAAATAAATCTCACAAAATAAATGACACAAAATAAATGGCAGAAAAGACATCCCGAAAAACAAGCATGGGAGAAGAAAAGATACACACACAAGTTGGTGTATACACAGCAATGTAACCTGCAACTGGGGCTCACCTCTCAACACGTCCACGAAGTTACCCACCAATTCTATGTTTACTGAATTTTCTAAATGAAACGTTCTAAAATGCCTTTTGGATCGGATATCCAAAAATATGTAATTGTGCTTTCCTAGAGATATATCTCTTTTGAAAATAAATAAATAATATTAAAAAAAAAAAAAAAAAAAAAAAAAAAAAAAAAAGCTATATATAAATAAATTCAAATACATAAGCAAAATCGTGCAAAGTGGTGAGAAGATGGTTCTAAACAGAAACTGTAAAGCCATATGGCAAAAAAAAAAGGGAGATCATTTTTACTCCCACCCACACACGTTCCATCTCTCTCTCTGTTACTCTCTTCCCGTCTGCTTATCTCGCTGTCTCATCTACTTTGCTTACTTCATTATTTCATACGGATTTATGGACATATAATCAATGGATTTAAAAAAATTCAACAAAACATCCTTTTTATGATGGTTCTCCACGGAATTTTCATTCGTCAAATATATTAACACATTTTTAATGAAAAATAATTTATAAACAAAGGATACAGGAGTATTGGTTTCGAGGAACTTTCCTAAAGACCATACCTATGGGTGTAGATGTAGTAACGAGAAATGAGTGTGTAAGAGAAAAATTTAGTGGAGAATGGATGAAAAGGTAAGAAACAGGTGTCAATAAGTGAAAGTGATGTATTACACACATGATGATAAAAAAAAAAAAAAAAGAACAGACAAGAACATGTTTTCAGATAAATACACACATGTCATACATTTTCAGTAGTGATGAGATGACTGTATGTTCACACAAGTAACTCCTTCTTTTCTTTTATTTTATTATTTTTTTTTTTTTTTTTTTTACTTTTTTCAAAAACTTTTTATTAAAAATGTTTATTTTACTTAACAGTTCAGGTAAATTCGAACTATCGATGCATAGAAATATGTTTCTGCAAAGAATTGATGGACGTGAAAGAACAAAGGGAGATGTTTATATGAGGGATGATTATATGAGATAATGAAAATGAGACAGTAGTGGTAGTAACCCTGGAGGAGTGGTGTGTGTGTGTTTCCAAATTCTAAACAACTAAAGAATTCTCCTAATCCTGCGCATGCACAATGTGGAAACAATCTACACATACGTTCTCATACTACAAAGAGTACCGAAATCATTGCATACCTGTGGAGGATCAAAAGTGCCAGAGAAAAGAAAAAATAGAAAAACGGATTGCGTTCTAATACAAAGATCAAATAGATAGCGTTCGAAATTTCCAAATTGCTCTTTGAAGCAAAGAGAGTTAAAAACCACGAGGCTGCATAAATTTCTGGGGACATCTTGTTCTTCTCTGCATAGATGGGGAAGTCGAAATGGACACAGTCCAAGGGGCTATCTGTGTTTGCATCGTTTGTATCGCTCCTTCAAGTATTCGTATCGCTCCTTCAAGTATTCGTATCACTCGTTCAATCATTCGTATCACTCGTTCAATCATTCGTATCACTCGTTCAATCATTCGTATCACTCGTTCAATCATTCGTATCACTCGTTCAATCATTCGTATCACTCGTTCAATCATTCGTATCACTCGTTCAATCATTCGTATCACTCGTTCAATCATTCGTATCACTCGTTCAATCATTCGTATCACTCGTTCAATCATTCGTATCACTCGTTGCACCGCTTTGCGAAAACATGGCGAGTGGCGTTCCGACTTACCTAGAACCTCGGACAACAAGGGGTCATGATACTTAATCAAAAATTTAAACAAGTAGAACGATATTTGCAAAAAGAAAAACTCGTCATCATAATAAAACTCCTTCAGAAATCTGAGCGAAGGAAGCCCCCAAATGTGTACAAGGGGGTACATGTGTGCAAGGGGGTACATGTGTGCAGCTCATCACGGTAGGAAGCACATCGGATGTTTTTTTTTTCTTCCTTACCTCTCGACGAAGTTCTGAAAGCAGAAATAGATATCAACCATGTTAAAGCATTTACCCTTCAGATAAAAAAAGAGGGCTACAGATGAGTGAGGGGAGGAGAAAAAAATGAAACAATGGCTAGAAAAAAAAAATAAAAAAAAAAAAAAAGTGACACATTTGGCTAGAAAAAAAAAAAAAAAAAATTTCTAGCCAAAAATGATTTATTGGCTAGATTTTTTTTTTTTTTTTTTTTTTTTTAAATTATGAACAATTAAGGTGAAAATGCATAAATATTTGAAACTGTAGTAAACAGTAGTACACAGTAGAGCAATTTCTTATCCGAAGAGAAAGCAAATCAAACAAGTGTAAAAATAAATATGCATCATTTAGTGTGTATCATTTTGTATATATGGAAAAATACCTAAAACCTCGTTTAGCCCCTGTTTATACTTAAACTGAAAATGGTTACAAGCATAATTTAAAAAAAGGTTAAAGAAGTAAATCGTCTTTTCATTTTCTTTATTAATTCTTGTTCTGAATACGTCCAAGTCGATAATTTTCTGTTCATTTGGAGGGGAGAAATCACAAGTAGACATCATAAGCAGATGAGGATTTACATAAAGATATATGGAATTTAAAAGATACAAAATAATATGAAACTCACAAATGAGTTAAAAAGAAAAAAAAAAAAAAAGAGAACCACTATGTTTCAATCGACGAATTACCTGCATTGCTTCATTGATGTTCGGGTTCTTTAAATAAGACAACAAAAGGTATATGCTGTAGTTGAAATTATGGATATCTTTGACTTCATTTTGAAGAAGAAATTTTTTGAAAATGATTCTCCTGTAGTGCGAAAGGGACATGTACAAAATGGTTAGTTTTTTATCTAGTTCGTTTTTTTCGCATGAACCATGTGCAAGCAACTTGGGATTAGCAGCATGTGGAGAGTTCCTCGGGCGCTTATGTCCTCAGATCTCTATTCCTGAAAGAATATCTACTTCCCTACACACATATATATATATATATATATATATATATATATATATATATATATACATACACGTGAAAAGGAAAATGCATAAGTGTGTGGAGGGGCCTCAGTTTCTCTCTACATTGTTCCCCATTACCTTATTTTCTTAGGCACGTAAAAGTTATGCCTATATAAATACAGCAGCAATGTCTTACGTAAGCTAGACTCATCTTGACTTTTAAATTTGTAAAATTTCTTATTCAAAATGTACACATCATGATTTATGAATGAACTAAGATATTGCTTGGAGTTTTGGAGTAACTTCTCTATTGTTTCCTTATCGACTTCCCTGAATAAAGCCTTTATATGTTTCTCCTTTATTTTTCTCTTTTTCATTTTTTGCACCTGCGGGGAGGGGAAAATGCACGCACACAATCACACACACACACACACACTACTATGTGAGAAGCTCAAGCTTAAAAACACCCTGTGTGTACGTGTGTGTGGATAGGAGGCAATGTATATAATGTTTCAAAACGAAGAAAACTTTTTTGATTTCTTCAAAACATTTTTTATACATTACAGTTATTATATGCCACTCGTTTTTTCATTTTCACATAGGTTTCTTTTCTTAATTTTTTCAACTTTTCCAATTTTTTTTTTTTTTTTTATAGTAGCTATATGTTATGTAATGCCTTCTTCATTAAATATTTTCTGAATATTGTTGTTCCAATTGGTGAAATATGCAAGCCTTCACCAATTGATGGCTACATTTTAACAAGCCAAATGTGCATAGCTAATGTATGCCTACTATGAAATAAAAACATATCAGTGCAGTATTTACTGGGGTTCATGATTTAAAAAAAAAAAAGGAAAGAAAAAGAGAAAAAAAAAAAAAAAAAAAAAAAAGAAGAAATTGCCCCTCTCTGAAACCTTACAAAATATGGCATTGTTTTAATCCATGTGACCTGGCTTCAGTGTAACTGGCTTCTTATGAGTTTATCAGTGTACCATTCATTTATTTTATTTTATTTTTTTTTTTTTTTTCTTTCTAACTTGACATGTGTGTTTTTGCCCAAGTGCGTATAAATGTACCTTTACATAATTATACGCCTGATTTGGAATTACATATGAATAAGTATGAGTAAGGGATATGTTGTAAACAGATTCTCATGTTCTCACACACTCCGGCTCAGCCCCCTAACTTTCTCACTTCTCCCAGTTGTTACAACAAGTGGATGAAGAAAAACACGGATAACTGAATACACCAGTCAGGAAAAAATGAAAAACAAAAATAAGCTCAAGCGATGCTTAGATGTAATACGAATCTCTAAGAAATATGTGTCATTCTTGAGAATAAGGGAAAAAAAAAAAAAAAAAATAAATAAATAATATTAATAATAATATTAATAATATTAATAATAATATTAATAATATTAATAATAATAATAATAAATCAATAGAACACAATACTCCATGATTTAACACAGCATAGTAGTACATAATAGAACATAATAAAGTATTACATAATACAGCATAGTAGAATCGAATCTATACGTTTATGCACAATTAAGTAGAAACACTGGTGAACAGAATGTATATATTTCACTCACAAGGCAGCTGCGAATAGCATGCCCTTCATCTCTTACACACCGAAAGAGTACAACTTCGTTTTTTTTTTTTTTTTTTTTTTTTTTTTTTTTTTGCACCATTGCATATACGCTCTTCCCGATAAAAGTACCTTAGGAATAACAAAGAAAAAATTGCAGACAACTATGCGAACGTATACCCATCTAGCAAAGAAAAAATTTTGTTAACATATCTAAAGGAATTCAGAAATAAGGTTCTATTGAAATGGCAAATTAGGAACCACAGTGTTAACTGCAATATTGCTCCTTTACAAATGTGCTTATGCATATATATGTGTTTGCATTTATACATCTCGATCAAACATACACACTCCTTCTGCGTGCAGCTTGCAGAAAAACACAATGCCAAGTTTTGCGAATTCTTTATTGACGAATATGGAGTGAAGAGGAACATATGCTCTTCTATAATCCAAATATTCTTCCCTTTTGAGTAATGATCGAACGAATGTTTATGTATGCCCATTCACCTTAGTCCGCACGTTGCTCTGGTATTGGGACAAGGGAGAAACACACACATACACACATACACACACACACACACACACACAGTAGTTTTTTGCAAATGGATGAGTGATATTATGTACCTTCATCTTTCGTCCCTCGTAGCAAAGGAAATGACTACAAAGAAATATATACCCTAATACGAAGCCAGTTTACTTATGAAATTTTGCTGAAAAAAGAAATAAAAACATTACTTCTTGCTAATGTGTCACTTGTGTTTGACTGGAAGGTTTTTTTTTTTTTTTTTTTTTGACCTTTTTTCCATTTTCTATATTCTCCATATCACTGAGCTTTTATCATTCTCATAAGAATGTGTGCAGGTTTCGATAACCCTTGTTTTAACTTCTTCCAAATGTTGTTCAAATTTCAGATTGCCGATTGCTCAGACTTGTCGACTATAGTAGTGTCTTCGTTAAGAAGTAAAATAAATAAAATGAAATAAATGAATAAAAAGAGACAGATTGATAGACATAAAAAAAAAGGACTTAATCTTGTGCTTGCACATGGATCTATAACTACACGAGCATTTTGCACGTTAAGGTGTATATCACTTTTTTTTTCTTTTTTTTTTTTTTTTTCAGCAAAAAATTACGACGCTTATGTTGTGTGCGGTGAGGCACCTTTTTCGATTTGCTCAAAGGATGACGTAATACAAGGGGAGAGGCAGAGAGGGACAGAGGCAGGAGGAGGAGAAAAAAAAAAAAAAAAAAAAAAAAAACACGACGCAATGCGGATTAAAGATAGTCTCCCCAAATTACCTGACCTGTTCAGGCAATTTTTTCAGCTTAAGTTGCACGACTTAATTAGAACGACTTAATTAGAACTACTTAATTAGCACGACTTAATTAGAACTACTTAATTAGAACTACTTAATTAGCACGACTTAATTAGAACTACTTAATTAGCACAACTTAATTAGAACTACTTAATTAGAACTACTTAATTAGCACGACTTAATTAGAACTACTTAATTAGCACGACTTAATTAGAACTACTTAATTGGAACTACTTAATTGGAACTACTTAATTAGAACGACTTAATTGGAACTACTTAATTGGAACTACTTAATTAGAACGACTTAATTAGCACGACTTAATTAGCACGACTTAATTTTCTCGCGCCAATTCTCCCCTTTCCAATTTGCGACCAGAAAAAAATCCTCTGCGAATTTAATTTCAAAGAATTTATAAAGTCCAAGGAAAAAAACGTAACTCTCGCCCATTATCATTTTTGTCTGACCAAGACGAATGAAAAAACAGAGTGAAAAAAAAAAGGAGTGAAAATTCAAAAGAAAGAAAAGTTGCACAAGTTTCACAAGAAGTGAATTCCCACAAAATGTGCAGCAGGACGCAAGAAGCACTCTTGACATAAAAGGGAAGAAGGCGAAATATAGAGAACTCATGAATATTGGAAAAAGAGTGATATATGAAGAAAAAAAAAAAAAAAAAATTCAGAGTAAGGAAAGTAAATTTGAAGATGATGAACCAGAGAACAAAAAGGATAGGTACATTCACATGTGGGTACTCATAAAAAAAAGCCTAGATGTAAAGAAAGATGTGTTCATAGAAATGTGTTCAGGTTAATAGATGTCTTTGAGAACAAGTAGCAGTGCTGCAAATACCGTTTATTCATGTGTAAATAAAGGAAGAGAAATATATATATTTACGTGTCTATGTAACAAAACGAAAGAACAGATTAATACACCAAAAATACTCTCTTTAATTCATCTTTTACTGCTTTTTTTCAAAAAAAAAAAAAAAAAAAAGGCAGGGAATATGACGTCGACAACTGTCCCTATACATCTATATTTTATCTTTGGAACGAGAAAAATGTTTATGTAAAAAGGGAAAAAAAAAAAAAAAAAATAAATGTTCATAAGCTTAGATGATTATATGCGTAGATGCTCATAAGCTGACACGCTTGTAATATTATATGTCTATATGCTTAGGCTCCCCTATCGACAAGACTGTGCTTGCACATGTGGGTACACATCTACATCTAACCAACTTTACACGGGGTGACTCAGGTCAACATACATAAAACTGAGGATATAGCAACGTTAATATCGGAACTAAGAAATAAGGAGTACTTCGTGCCTGCTTTTTACGAGGAAATAAAAAACAAGGTGTGGATAAAACCAATAAAGAAAAAAAACAAGTTCACACAAGTGCACAGACGAGAGAACAAACTTGTACATGCACCTGACGAATCCTAGTGGATGAACCTTACATATCCGATTTCTTTCTCTATCCAAAGACATACGCATGACGATGAGCACATAAAATAAACTACTCCATAATTTTCTAATGTTTTATTTTCATGTTCCCATTGCGCACTTACCTACCCCCACCCCTCCTGATTTTCTTTAGGTTTTAACCCCCATCATTGAAAATAAAATCTATCAAATTAGGAAAGACAGACTTCTTTTGAAATATCCACAAGGTCCATTTTGATGAAGCAATTCTAAAAAAAAAAAAAAAATAATAATAAAATATAACACGTATCTTTACGCAGGTTCTATAAACTTAAAACAGTAAAGATATGGATATATTCTCCACACACCCCTCATCCTTTTCTTCTACACCAGGAAGAAACACAAGCTTTTATAAGAATTGTAAAAAGGATGAATACAGCGTTTTTCTACAGGTATATATGAGGAAGATACAGAAAATATATTGTTATAATTCGAATTCATCTAATTTTGCCATAAATTGTATATACTCCTCTGTACGTGCGAGAATTCATTTTCTACCCTGTTTTTTTTTTTTTTTTTTTTGCTCCACCTTGCAGCACGATGGACTCACAGAAATGCACACACATTATGAAAACAAATATTATACAAATGTAGAGTATATTTGCTGTCTGTATACATGTAGAAGGTTAAGAAAATTTGTCATGATAAATATTCCATAACTTGTTAATCTCTTTTTCTCCTACCTTTTTTTCGGATGAACACCTATTGTGTGTAAATAATTACACATGTCTCATGTACACAAGTGTGACATAAGAACATAGTGTAACTTTCTTTTTCTAACTCCTATTCAGAGACGGGAAGAGGGCCAAGATATATTTCCCTCATAAATTTAAAAGCACTGAATATTATGATAATTACAACCACCATTTTTTGAAAGCGCTTAAAGAGGTACGTGCAATAGGAGCACAATGAGGGGAAAAATGAACAAAATGGAGAAAACGAACAAAGTAGGAAAGTTCGAAAAATGAACAAAATGGAGAAAACGAACAAAGTAGGAAAGTTCGAAAAATAGAAAAAAAAAGGAGAAAACAAAAACATCTTTGACATGTTTCAATTTCGTCCCTTACCCCCATTTTCTTCCTCTTAAGAACATAGGATTCTACTCTCACTTCTCATTTTATCCCAATAGGTAACTATTCATGCAATACATTTTTTTTTTTTTTTTTTTTTTTCCATCCCTTTGGTACGAGAGTTATAGAGAAAATATATCGTTTCGTGAAAATGAAAACATCATCCAAGCAGGTGGTGTTGAAGCAGTAAAACTTCTTAAATGCATATTCTTTCCTTCCTTCTTTGCTTCTCTTTTTTTTTTTCCTTCTTTATTTCTCTTTTTCTTTCCTTCCTTCTTTGCTTCTCTTTTTTTTTCCTTCTTTATTTCTCTTTTTCTTTCCTTCCTTCTTTGCTTCTCTTTTTTTTTCCTTCTTTATTTCTCTTTTTCTTTCCTTCCTTCTTTGCTTCTCTTTTTTTTTCCTTCTTTATTTCTCTTTTTCTTTCCTTCCTTCTTTTCGGTTTATTTTAGACCAGACGGGCTGACACACTATGTAGAGGTTAAAAAAGAAAAGGGAAAGAGTGTGCAAGATGTCACTCTAAAAATTAAGGAGTGGATGTAGAGGATGTCTAACTTTTCTTGACCTTTCCACTTACCTCAGATAAAAGATTTAAAATTAATGGAATATTTTACTAATCGGAACGACCAGTAAGTCTTCAAGTTCTAGGGGTATCATCTTCAGCCGTTTTTCAACCACGAAAAAATTATATGTGACAGCTTTCTCAACTCAAAATTTCTCTTCTTTTTCTATCTTCTCTCCTCAAAGAGTGATATACAGATCAGTTAAAATTTCTCCAACTGTTCAGACAACTTACAAGCTTCAGGTTAGTGCTCTCCACAAATGTTCCCTGAGAAGGTCTCTCAGGGACAAGCACATACACGTATGCATTGATGCATGAATAAACGAATGGATGAATGCAAGTATATATGTGCACAAGGATACAATCTAACTTTTCCATTCTTCATGCATCCACTTGCAGATGTTCAATAGAAAGGAATATTACGCGACAAAAATAACAATCAAGTATGGGAATAAGGTTACAAGAGGCAACTTCAAAAGGGGTGGGGGGAGGAGGAGGAGGAGAGGCGTGGTGAATAGCATAAATTGCACGTTCTACATTTGTGAATACATAGTCACGTACACAAATATATGTACATATGTGCATTTCTCTCTTTGTACTTCTGTCACGAATCGTACTTTTCTTGTCATGCCCACCTGATCGGTTTGCCATTCGCACCTCTCCCCTTCATAGGAAATCAAAAATGGAATAAAAAAAAAAATTTTTCTAATTCCCGAAAACAAAATAATTCTCATGTATTACAACAACTGTAATGAGATAAGCAATACGTTCGAAGTATATGAGAAATCTATTCGATACAACCATGACATGGAAAAGGTACATATATGTCTCTTTCAGCACCTCACTTTGGATATTTTTTAAATAGAAAATGTGCACGAGGAGGTGTGATGTGGTATAGTGCGTGTAGCAATGATAGAGATGGTCTGTAAAAAAAAAAACGATGTTCATTCTGCATCTCCATTCGTTACTTTCAATTATTCCTCATCCCTCATCTTCACCTCCATTACAGAATGAAGAAGTAGTGACATACAAAAAGAATTTCATTTACAAACATTTTGTAAACTATGCGGATCCTATACAAAAAGATGTAATGATTAGGCAAAAAAAAAAAAAAAAAAAAAATATTGCTCACACAATGATTACGCAAAATGTGAAGCACGGCCACCATGTCTTAATCTGACATATGAAAATGTCAAGTGATTATAGAAGGTCGATTTATTGGAAGAAAAAATTGAGATCATGTTGCTCCTAATCTGATTGTCTCCTCTCTATGCAATTATATATGCACTTGTATATGCGCTTGTATATGCGCTTGTATATGCGCTTGTATATGCGCTTGTATATGCGCTTGTATATGTGCTTGTATATGCACATGTAAATGCACATGTGTACTATATCAGCGTGGTTGGAAAAGCTACACGCAGCACAAAAATTTGTTGAAACTTTTGCAGACCTTGTATTTGCTAAAGGAGGAAAGAGACCTTTTTGATGACATAAGAGATACTTACAACAATGTTATAGGTTCTATTAGAAAGGTTATTTTCCAAGAACACATTTTTCCCTCAAGTCCGACACGTGTTCAAAAATTAGTTTGCATCCATACTAATCTATCACCTGTCAACACACACGCAAACGCAAACGCAAGCACAAATACAAACACAGATACACAAGAAAAAAAAAAAAAATTCTTCTCAGGAGAGAATCGAGGTGAAACAAGCGGAAGAGGACTACCAATACAAACCACACAATATAACGAACATAAACGAAATAATTTATCATGACAATAATCAAATAGAGTCATTTAATAAAAATTTAATCGAAGACAAAATAAATGTGTGCAATTTTTATGAGACATATCCATGGGATAAATACGAGGAGGTGTCTATGAGCAATTCGTTTTTTTCATCAAAGAGGAACATGCTTAAAATTGAATGTTCCTGTGATGAGATAGAATATGTCACGTCTCAGAGGAAACAAGCATTGGCCCGTGTTCCACATTGCGAAGCGGTAAAAAAAAATAAAGGAAACAAAAAATTACAGTCATAATAACGGCCATAATAACGGTCATAATAACGGCCATAATAACGGTCATAATAACGGTCATAATAATCGTGATAATAACAGTGATAAGGCAGACAGATGGATAGATAGTTGGATAAATAAATAATGAGGAATGATCCGTGCCACGCCTTTTGGAGACAAATTGAGAAAGCATCTTTCCAAATATACTCGTCTCAAAATAGTTGTAATGTTTTCAGTCTGAGAGCTCATCCCTGTCTTTTTGTTTTGCTTGCATTACTGCACCACAGCAGTGCGACATCTTTGCCAGACCACTGCAACGATAGCAATACAATCTTCACAGCATTTCTTTATTTTATTTTATTTTATTTTTTTGCAAAGGATGATAAATCAAAATATGGCCTCACAGGTTAATAATTTCCAGGGAAAAAAAAAAAAAAAAAAAATCTGCAAAAGAATGCATACTGAAAAGACACATTCATAAGACACAACTTTTATATTAGTGTTTAACTCTCCTAATTCAGGGAATCAAACTGAGACAAATTTTAAATGTACGAAAACTTATGGAGGAGAAACAGAACAAGTATAATAAACCCTGTGCTTATGTGTTAGCAGACATACTTGAATACACATTTTTTACAAGTGTTAATGCATCAATATGCACACTCCTACAACATGCATGTGTAATTAAGCAGAATCGACTAAGTATGAAGTTGTCCATTTTGGAAGACAGACTATCAAAGTACACACAGAAATTGTCCGAAATAAAGGTTAACTACATCCCTAACCCCCCCCCCTTTTCCTCAAATTATTTATATACTTTTCCAGTTTATATGTTTTGTTTCGTCAAACTCTAAGAGAAAAAAGTATTCATACATATCTTAAAATTATACTCTATAAAAACTGTGTGTATCACAAAATACGAGTAAGTCATTACAAAAATAATGTAAGTTTATAAATTTTTACATGTTTTTTTTTTTTTTTTTTTTTTTTTTTTTTTTTTTTTCCTTTTTTGGTGTTGCATACATATGCCCAATTTGCAGGATTTAAATAACCTGTCCAATTTGGAAGATGTGGAAAGGATAAAGAAAAATGTTAAATTAACCGAAGATAGAATTTATCAATGTAAAAATAATTAGGAATTTTCCATTCCTTCCATTTAAATGTTTTGTTTTAGACGTAGGTCAGATCTGCTTTTTTTTTTTTTTTTTTTTTTTTTTTTTTTTTATGAATATTCAGCTAAAATTAGTAATAAATATAGCTATTTTTATTTCCTACTTACCTGATCGTTCATAAAAAAAAAAAATAGAAAAAATAGCCAAAGAGAAAGAAAAAAAAAAAAAAAAAAAATGTACATGTGTTTTCTTCTTTTTTTTTTTATGGTGTAAAAGTTGATAACACGATGTGCAAATAAAACTATACACACACATGGGACATATTTTTGTGGAAAAAAATGGCACGTTTATAGTAAAATAAAAACACGCAACCAGGGTAGTAACCCTAACATATGTACAAAAGCTTCCCTGTATGTGTAAATGTATTATATATGTATATGTTTTTCCACCCTCCGTGCTACACTTAACAAAATTTATAACACTTGAATCGTCATTGTGTACGCAGGGTTAACTTTTCAGTTCTATGTTATTTTTTTTATTTATTATCTTTAATTTATCACTTTTCACTATTTTTTATTTATTATTCTCTTATCTATTATTTTTTATGATTTTAATTTATATATATTTTTTTTTTTTTTCGTCTGTCCTTTTGCACCTTTTAAACTTCACTGATTTTGTTGGCGTTATTTCAAAAAATGAAGTCTAACATGCCACAAAACGAGAATATTGTAAGCATGTTCATTGCAAGTTAAATTGTTTCGAAAGACATTCGAGGGAAAACAAGTGGGAAAACGTATAAAAGAAAAAAAAAAAAAAAAAAAAAAATTAACATTAGCACTAACATTAGCACAAACGCTAGCACTAGCAATAACAGTAACAGTAACATTAGTGGCTAAGAATAATTCTGCATGTAATGATTTTTTTTTTCCTGATTATGCATGCAATCGAAATTCTAAAACAATCCAGTTTGTGATAATTCCAATTGGGATGCTGGTTTTATATTACTTACCAGTGATTTCCAATACTTGCTAACAATTGCTACTTGTTCTTTATGAAGCAAAACATCAAAAGAGCAACTCCCACTGTGTTAAGCTGATATATACATATATATCTATATACACGCACAACCATGTATATGTGTACGCACACATTTCCGCATTTAATAGACTAACCAGAGTACGCTCGAGCGAAAACGCCCCATTCTCTTTTTATCACGAAAAAAGGGAGCCACCACGTCTGTATCTCCTCTCCAAAAATTCCAGGAATACGTGTGAAAAAGACTAACTTGTAATTGTTTTTACGTTCTACATTATTAAACACTTATGATTGTACAGTTATAATTAGCATGGACTCCACAAGTACAAACTTTAGTATGCACGACATACAATTTCCATTTTAAGCACTGCGAAGTGGAGAGTGGGTTTATGCATGAAGGTGAATACAAATACGTGTCTATAAGTCTACATCTATAAATACGTGTCTATAAATGTGTGTCTATAAATGTGTGTCTATAAATGTGTGTCTATAAATGTGTGTCTATAAATACGTGTCTATAAATACGTGTCTATAAACACATATCTGTAAATACATATTTATACATTTGTCTGAAGTAGGCAAAATCGAACTATCAGCTATTTTAAGGAGATTCTCCAATTCTTGGAAATATATACAAAAAAAAAAAAAAATAAAAAAATACTCCCTCCACCCTTCACACATTTGGATGTTTTGAGAAAAATCTTATATAATGGCTTTTCTACAATATAAGAGTAATGAAAATTCTTACTATTCAAATATGTCTAATGAGAAGGATGATAACCTCAAACAGTTGGTGAATAATGTGGACATCTATAAACAATATGGATCTGCTGAAAGGAAGGAGAGGGAAAATGTATATTCAGATACTCATGTGTGGTATTTCTATAACAACGCGTACAAAAAAATGGAAGTTTGCAAATTTAACCATTTGGAAAATTCCTACACACTTAAGAGTTAGAAAAGCTGGAGACCACATTTGTTTCATCACCTTGCTGCATTACTCCTATCTCAATTGTGTGCATGTGTCTACGTGTTAAGGAGAGAAAGGAGGGCATTGTTCATGCATGCATATATCCATACATATATGCATAACTATTATTATCCTCACCCCAGCCCACCACCCTGCACTTGTGCATATTCGCTCGACCATCTCTTTGCAATTTCAATAATTTTTCTCGTGAACTTCTCTCCTCGCAGGAAAAGGAAAGACCTTGGAAAATATCCCCGCAGATAAGGTAAGCCCATGTCTGAAGGAACAAATCCATCTAGATGATGAAAATAATATTGACATAATACAATTAAATGAACAGAATGTAATAGAAAATTTAAGAAATAGGTACATGAAGAACAAAATTTACACGTTTCATGCATCACTTCTGTTAGTAATTAACCCGTATAAAAAAATCAAAGGGTTGTATGATATGGAACGTATGAATGATTATCTTAATAAATTTAAAAATGTCAACATTGGGGTGGGAGGTGTGAGAAACTGTCTCAGCATAGAACAGAAAAGCATTCCTAATGAAAACAAAACACATATCTATGACATTGGAAACATGGCATACAAAAATATGGTTCTAAAAGGAAAGAGACAAACCATCATTGTTTCAGGGCATAGTGGGAGTGGGAAAACGGAAAATTGTAAAATACTCTTTAAATATTTTCACTACATTTTTTTTCACAAAAATGAAAAGAAAGGTATTTCAGTCTACAAGAGTATGAACTCCTATTTGGGTGATGACTCCGAGGGGGGAGAAGATGGGAAAAGTGAAAAAAGTGAAAAAAGTGAAAAAAGTGAAAAAAGTGAAAAAAGTGGAAAAAGTGGAAAAAGTGAAAAAAGTGAAAAAAGTGAAAAAAGTGAAAAAAGTGAAAAAAGTGGAAAAAGTGAAAAAAGTGGAAAAAGTGAAAAAAGTGAAAAAAGTGAAAAAAGTGAAAAAAGTGAAAAAAGTGAAAAAAGTGAAAAAAGTGAAAAAAGTGGAAAAAGTGAAAAAAGTGAAAAAAGTGAAAAAAGTGAAAAAAGTGAAAAAAGTGAAAAAAGTGGAAAAAGTGAAAAAAGTGAAAAAAGTGGAAAAAGTGGAAAAAGTGAAAAAAGTGAAAAAAGTGATAAACATAGAAAAAGTGGCAAATATGGCACAGATGCACAGAATGAGCACTCACTGAACGGCGGAGATCCGCCATATGACCCAAGTGAAACCATAAATTATGAAAGAATCGATAAACTGATTTACATCAACAGTATTATTGAATCCATGAGCAATGCAAAAACAGTGAAGAATAACAACAGTAGTAGATGCGGGCGAATTAATGATTTAATATTTGAAGAACGAAAAAGAAATCATGAAACCATTTTTAATTATTGCTTTTCGAATATTAAGATAATAATACTCTTGCTAGAAATAAATAGATGTATTAGTCACAATGAGGGTGAGAGAAATTTTCATGTTTTCTACGAACTTCTTAGAGGGTTGACAGATGAGCAACTCAAGGAGAGATGTCTCGTTCGAGATGTTCATCAGTATAACCTTCTGAATAGTGCAGCAAGAAGTAAGGGAAGTAGTACACAACAGAATGAAGACACATACAAGGTTCACTGTACAGTAAAGGATGAACATGCAGAATGTCAGAAAGACGAGAAAAACTTTGGGTACCTTTTGAACGGACTGAGATACATACAATATGATGAAGATATGATAAACCAATTTTTCGATGTCATTGCAGGGATTATTCACTTGGGGCAAATAAAACCAAACGAAGAGAGATGTGAAATGAAGGAAGATGAAACAATACCAATTAATAAGTATTATGAAAATGCTTGCATTTGTCTAGGTATAAAGACAACAGATTTATACAATACAATAAAGTACAAATGTATTAACGTATCTATGGAAAAGATAAGGACCGTTAGAAATAAGGGCAATTCTTTATACACATTACACAGTTTAATAAAAATAATATACAAAAATGTGTTTAACAGAATCATAAGTGATATAAATATGACACATCTAAGTAAGAAGGAGAGAGAAGAAATTATGGACGAATCGGTATATGCATCTAATAAAAGTATCATATCTATTTTAGATCTCTACGGGTTCGAAGAATTGTCTACGAACGATTTTGAACAACTTTGTATTAACCTAGCTAATGAAAAATTAAATAATTATTACATTCATAATGAAATAGAGAAAGAGAAAATTATTCACAAAACAGAAAATATTCTATGGAATGATGTTCCAGTTCCGAATTATAAAGACACCATTCATTTTATAGAAAAAATATTTTCAAATCTTGATGATATAACTAAACTTAATAACACAGGACAAACAAAAGTTGATGATCATTTTTTTAATTATCTATTAAATAATGAACAAATTTTCCTTCAAAATAATATATACGGTTTTATTAGTCAAAAAGATGGCTTGTATACAAATAAAAAACAAAATGTGAAAAAAAATATATTTTTTATAAAGCATTACGCAGGAAATATAACATACACTGTAAATGATTGGATAAGGAAGAATAGCGATCGTGTCGAGATGGAAATAGAAGAACTTATTAACAAGTCAGACAATTTGTTTCTTCACAGCATCGACCATGCAGAAATGGCTAGTAGGAAGGACATATGCCATGGTCCCATGTCATTGCTAGCTGAACAGCGAGATATGAACAATATGTACCAAAATTTACAATCAGAAAAAATGAAAAAACAACAACGATATTTGAATAAGAATACATACAATAACAGTGCACAAGGGAAGGAGCAAAATGTTGTGAACAAAAAATTCGCTGAAGTAGATTATAATGATTCTACATCTTCATATGCAAATGGACCTGCACGTGGTAAGGACTACATGACAGATGTCACAACAAGAACTAACTTTGGATTTAAGAGAGGGATTAATTCTGAACACAATCAAAGTTCAAACAAGAGTTTCTTAAGCGTTAGCAAGAAGTACATAAAAGAATTGGACAAGCTATTTAACAATTTAGAAAAAACGGATCTGTATTACATCAGATGTTTATTAGCAAATGAAGAAATGAGGAGTGGGTATTTCAGAAGGAGTTTAATTTATTCACAATTGAAACAATGTGGTGCTAATGAGATGGTAAAAATTATAAATAATGGATTATCACATAAAGTACTAAAAGAAGAGTTGTTAAAAAAGTGTGCAAAAGATATACCAAAGGAATTGAAACATTGTAGGAATGACGATATTGTATATTATTTTATGAGACTTTTTGATAATTCGAATAATTCTTTTATGATAGGGAAAAATTATGTATTTATGAAATCAAACATTTACACAGATATTAATTGCTACTTTTATGATGATTCATACTTTGATCATATCAATAACACATTGATGGATAAGAGAAAAAAAAAAATTTTTAAAGAAATAAGAATCATGAAATTTAAAAGATCCGTTTCGGTGGTAAGAATACACAATTGGATAAGCACAAAATACATGATTTATTTAAAAAAAAAAAAAATCATGAAGGAAAAGGCATGTGATTATATCCATAAAATTTATTTGATTTACAAGACACTCAAAAATGTGAAATTTAGCTTCCCTTACAACATCAGGAAAATGCAAAAGATGTTTTCTGACAAGGCATATCGATTTGCTTTCAAAAGGTTCAAGTTGCTAAAGACAGTTAAACGTGTTTATGATATGAACCGGGGAAAGTGTAAAACTGGGCATATGTCTATAGGATTTCTGGGAAAAGGAAAGATGAAGACGATGGAAGAAAGTGGAGGCAAGACGATGGAAGAAAGTGGAGACAAGACAATGGAAGAAAGTCCGGACAAAGCGTTGGAATATGATATCCACGTTAATGTAAAGGAAAAAATAAATTCGAATCATCCCTTATCTGTAGAGGGAGAATCTGAAAGTGTGTTTACTAATTCAATACCCATAGTGGAAGAAGCGAAATACAGTGGCTTAAGTTACACAGCACCCGAAATATTTGTAGGAACTCCTGACAATCACCATTATGTTTATAACAACATAGACTGGGTCATCATATACAGAGACAAGCACATTCACATGTACAACATCTTTTACACGTATGAAAAGGTATGCAAAAAGTATTTCTTAAATTTTGATAGCATTAAGGTGAAGAAACCACCCCTTGGTGGAAATAATAACATGGTGCATGTTGAAAAATACCCAGTTATTCCAAAAATGGAGTTATATGGAACTGCTAGACCCATTCATTGTATGAACCAACATTCCATATACAAGAACATCTACCTAGCGGTAGAAGAAAACTTAGATTTACTTATTTTTACATATCCAAATTTGAGAACGATTAAAAATTTCCTTAAAAAGAAAATAAAATCAATGAAAAGGGGAAACGAAGATTTACCTAACACATATTTACCACAGTTGCATAGAAGTAAAAATTTTCAAACCAAGATGGATAATACCACCTTACATAATGGTTGTATTGAAAAAAAGACAGATTGTAACCCACAGGAGAAGACGATATTCAGTATGAAAGGAAATAAAACAGATGAACTTTTTTGCGAAGAAAATTTAAACATGTTTATACATGTATATAAAAATATATATGTATTGAGCACATTAGAAGGGTCATTTTCACCTGAGGTAGAAGATGGGAATCCCAACGAATGGAAAAAAACTGGAGCCAATTTGAAGAAAGAAAAAAATTCTGAACGATCAGGTGGAATGGAGAGACAAGTACATGTTCATGAAAATTATGAACATATGTGTAAAAAAGGAAAAAAAAATCAAGATGGATACACTATAATGAAAAGAATGAACAAAGAGGAGTATATTGAAAAGGAGTTTTATTCAAATTCATCTTTTAAAATGTTAAAAGTTAGTTTTCTTTCTAGTAGTGTTAGCCATTTCGTGTATCTATCTTATGCATTAATAAATGAAAATCATTACTTGTTATTAACTATAGTGCATATTTTTTCCAAACCGATATACAAATATACAACAAGTATACAAGTTAACAACATTATTAAGAATGAAGATTTTATGAATTTCTTTTGCAAAAGTTATTACAATTCTAGTCCGAGCAATGACACAAGGGAAGTAATGCACAAATTTAATGAAGAAAATAAACTTTCCCAAGAAGAGAGGAAAAAAAGAAACGTGGAGCGATATTTAAGTACTTTGAAAATTTCTGTAATTAATAACTCTCATGTGCTTATATACGGTTCCTGTTTACTGAGTTTGGTCGAAATAAAGAACTACAACCTTAATACTATAAGTGGTAATGTTAAAGAATATGAACACAAATACCTGAAAGTGCTGTTTAACCTGTTCTGTTTTGAAAATTTTAACAATGTGTGTGACTCGAGTGGAGGGAAACTATCCACTGATTTGAAGCATAATTTGATTATTAATGATTTATTTCAAAATTATCAATTTGGGGATCGGGAAAATGGAAAAGAAAAAGAAATGGAAAAAAAAACGAACATTTCCCTGAACAGCAGATCAGGTGAAAAATTCCTTATTACATCAGCACCCTGGGATGCAAATAGCAAATTGGGTTCACAAGAAGTACAAAATTACAAGGAGTACTCATTTTACATTTTTTCCTTATTTAACCAGGTGTATTTATTAACAAATAGAAAAAAGTGCAATCCGGAGGGGAGGGGGACGATAGTCTTTCATCATGATCTTTGGTGGATTAAGAAATTATCGAATCAGTGTGAGGCCAAATTGTCAGGGAAGTTGCACACTGCATCATGGGGCCCTATGGATGGAACCGAAGCGGACAGACAACAGTGTACCTTTCAACAGATCCTTCATATGAACATAAACTATTTTTACAATCAAGACTACTATAGAAGTAACGTGTCGCTCAATCCGTCTATTCAGGCAACAATTCAGAAGTATGTCAAATGTGGTAGCAACATCAGAAGCAGCATCAGCAGCAACATCAGCAGTAACACCAGCAGTAACACCAGCAGTAACACCAGCAGCAATGACGTGGGGGTTGGTGAGAGACACCATAACAAATCCCTGTTCCCTGATTTATTTATTTTACGAGAGAGAAAAAACAATTACAGAGATACCCCAACACGGGATTATGTTTATTACAGCTTAAGGAATGGAGGAGAGTTTATGAATCTGTGTGACGAGGAGGAAAACACCCCATCAGCTCCCCCAGAAAAGTATAATTCAGAGGACACCACGGGGACACTGCTTGCGAAGTAGTGTGCATCGGTGCAAAACGTTTATGCATGTGTATCGGTGCATAAACTGTATGCATGTGTATCGGTGCAAAACGTTTATGCATGTGTATCGGTGCAAAAACTGTATGCATGTGTATCGGTGCAAAAACTGTATGCATGTGTATCGGTGCAAAAATTGTATACATTTTTGCTTTTTTTTTTTTTTTTTTTTTTTTTTTCATCTCCTTAGAAACGACCTGTCCTATGACACCTGTGCATGTGTCCCGCTGGGCCACCTGGACACCATATTACTTTTGGTAAGCAGGAAAAAAAAAAAAAAAAAGGAAGAAAAAAAGAAGAGAAAGAAAAAAAAAAAAAAAAAAAAAAGGGGTACATTTAACTTATTCGACGCTCCCCCACCAGCAAGATTTTCCCCAAGACAACTTTGCAAATTCGTATACATTTACTTCAGACGAACATATGCATGTGTATCCACACTTCCCTCCCCACACATACTCTTAACATTTGCAATTTCTCTCCTCGCAGAAACAAAATCAAGAACAGAACTCGTACGCATTAGAATTTTTCAACATTGTAAACGGAAAGGAGAAAATAATTCCTCTGGACGAGTAAAAACTTTTGCATAAATTTCACTATTCGCATTCATAGTATCCTTCTTGAAAAAAAAAAATAATGAATTCACGATTAGTATTTATTATTTAATCTCCAAACATTTATACATAAGTGAATTTACCTGTTTTATGTCGCTTATCTGTGCCCCCTTCCAGAGGCAGAAGTGGTTGAATTTTTTTTTTTTTTTTTTCCTCCCTCCCCTTTTTATCTATTCATTTGCATGTTCATTTGTTTCATTTTTTGTTCCGTTTGTTAAATTTTTTCAACATGAGTTTGGACCCCATGATGTGGGTGTGGGTGGTGGTAGTTAATAAAAATGTAAAAGAGTGCATGAACAACGAACAAGGAAGATCATGAAGTTATAAAGGTGTGTGTTTCAAGTCATGGGGAGCTATGGGAATCATGGAAGGAGGGATTGCATGTATAAAACGGTAAAAAAAACACAGCTAATGGATGGGAAACTTTTCTAAATGAAGCTCCTTTGCAATATAGTGGCTGCGATACTCTGTCTGAAGGATGGTATATCGATAATTGGTCTTAAATAATCTTCTTCATAAGTCCCTTGGTCGTGTGTCTTATGTTCTGTGCAGCTTCTCCCTTGGCCGGTTTCACACAGTGTGTTTATTTTGGAGTGTTCATTTGCATTAACATTAGTATTGACATCATCTCCATTCTGACCATCTCTGTTCTCATCATCTCTGTTCTCATCATCTCCATTCTCATCATCTCTGTTCTCATCATCTCCATTCTCATCATCTCCATTCTCATCATCTCCATTCTCACCATCTCCATTCTCACCATCTCCATTCTCACCATCTCCATTCTCACCATCTCCATTCTCACCATCTCCATTCTCACCATCTCCATTCTCACCATCTCCATTCTCACCATCTCCATTCTCACCATCTCCATTCTCACCTACGTCTAAATGCATAGAAACATTCTGAAGGGAGAAATTTTCCACTGATGAATATTCCCGTATAACAAAGTCACACAGAGATTGATCATAGAACAGTTTTTTATTTAGATATACATAACGTTTTTCTTTTTTAAACACAGCTTTGAGTTCATTAATTAAATTTGCGCAATTAATATGTGTGCACATTTTCGAGTCAATTATAGGTTGATCTGAATATACCTCATTAAACTGTTTATTATGCCATATTGTATCGTTTATATATGACGACGTGTGGTTTTTCACCAATCCATCATTGTCAATGGAATTCTCTCCTTTACAATTGAAATATTTTTTATATGTATACATTAGTGTCTTTTGATTGTGTTCATATTGTGAGTGTGGACCCAGAAACCTTCTTTCAGTATACATTTTCCCTTCATTCTGCATCATCATTTGGTTGTCCTCATTTCCACTTTCATACACATATACTTCGTACATCAATTCAGCATCTTCTTCTGGTTGTTTCTTTTGTGAGGTAGTTGCACCACTATGTGCTTCTTCATCCTTATGATAATCCTTTAGTGGTTCCGTTTCATATACTTCTTTCTCGCTAGGAAGGACATAATTAGATGCGAGTTCTTCTTGGTTCTCAGATTCATTTGTATTCTTTGGGTTCTTGTGCAAAACTTTATCATAGTTATCTTTGGAGTGTTCACTTTTTAGTACATTTATTAATTTTATACACTTGAGCAAGTTACATTCCATGGTTTCGTAGGTGCTCAATTTTCTGTCACGCTGACTTTCATCGTCGTTTACACATCGGCTGTTTGCACCACTGGGTGCATCTGTTTGTTCATAACTTAGATGAGATATAGAATCGATAAGGAGGAAAAAGAGCTCGTCGCACATGTCCCTATTCTTGCAAGAGTTCTCATAGCGTAATTTTGTTTTCAAAACATTTTTGTAATATGACAAAATGAAGAAGCTTCTGGACAAGTAATATATAGAAATAGTTGTAAAAAAGAAAAAATGGAAACAGATGAACGTTTGCTTTACTGAATAACAAACTAATTCTCCAAAATGAGAAAAAAATGAAAACTCGTCATTTCGCTTCATCATTTCGTATTCTTTCGTGTATTTCAACTTGTACACATTTCTTATGTTCTTAAAGAGGGTTTTCTCATCCTGTTGATCAGTCGATTTGTGGTGCGATTCGTCAAGTGATTCGTCAACCGATTTGTCACGAACTTTGCATAACTTCAGCCGGAGCAATACAACGTACAAATTCATGTATACCCCTTGCAAGTCCCACAGGTTCGCAATCCTGCGTGGCGTTGAGACAATTTTACTTCCATCAGTTGAAAACCCAGGAGGTTGGTACAAATGGTTGCAGGAATTTTTAGAAAAAACGAAATAAATCCAGATGACGGATTTCATAATTTCTTGTATCCTTGTATATATATCATCGACAATTAAACGCACCTTTTCATCATTGTCTTTATTTTTTTCTGCTTCATCTTTTTCATTGTGCAGTTGGAGTAACAGCAGCTTTATTAATTCATCGAATCCTTGTTTGTTTTTATTATAGAGGAAGAAGAGTAAAACATTCTGAAATAGATATTGCATATACTTGAAAAAAATAATTATCAAAATTACTTTTGCCAAGAGAGGAAAATATCTGAATGATAGAGGGATTAGCATGTAGATAACCATATGGAAAGAGAATTTCCAAAAAGGTATTTTTATCCATGTTGATTGATTTCTTTTTGTAGATACTAAGGGGGATAACTCCATTCTCATTCCATTTACACCTTACGTTTCTCATTTGATTTTGTTAAAAAAAAAAAAAAGTGTCTTGTGGGTTTTCTAATTTTTACAAAAAGTGTGTAAAGAAAATGTCATGACAATGGTAGGAGTAAGAGAGAAGATAAAAAAAAAAAAAAAAAAAAAAAGTACCACAACAGAGGACATAACTGAGACGAGACAGATTTGCATAATGTATGTATAACTACCTGAATTAACAATCACATTTTTTGTTCAAAGAAAAAAAAAAAAAAAAAAAAAAAAAAAGAGATCCACAGGTGGGTGAGAGATATGATTGAAGAAAAAAATATCTCTCTATTTCTAATTCGAAAAAATGCCTTTCTTAATGTTTATCCCTGTACCATTTAATTTGTTGTAAATAATTTCGTTCTCTTCGCATATTTTGTAATTTGCCTGAACAGGGAAAAAAAAAAAAAAAAAAAAAAAAAAAAAAAAAAAAGTAGATTTACAAGGTATTTCATCAAGTACAATCCAAAAAAATATGAACAGACAGGGGGAAAAAGAAAAAAAAAAAAAAAAAAAAAAAAAATTGTGCAAAATATCCTTATTTGTTTGCACACCCCATTCAGACATATGTTTCCTTTTTTATGAATGGACATGTATCAACGTGTTCAACTTGTGCCTAAGTGTTGGTGTTATGTTGACATGTTAGCTTACCTTGGTCAGGTAAATAATTGGTAATGTGAACAAAAAGACAGATAATAGGTTAAAAGAGAAAAAAATTTTCCGGTCGTTTTCAGCCATATTGAACTGAGAGATGGGGTAATGTAGATGAGATGTAAATAATGTCAAAGAGATTGGTCTTGTGTGAGTATGTATGTGTGTTTTCATACGTATGTACAGATTAGCTACATTGGAGAATGTAGTATGTGTCAGCAAGGGGTGCGTGAAGCTTGTAACGAAGGAGTAACCTCCCACCCACCTCCATGATGTAATGCTTCCTATAAAAAGAACAATATGCACAAGATCATTTTGCCTCTTTCATTTTGTACATTTTGTACATTTTTTTTCTTTTCTTATCACTTACTCTTCTCATGTTCCTGTTGAGTGTCATGGGGGAAGGCACACAGACGTATTTCACAGTGGAGAAGGTAGCCTTATTCATTTTGAGAAATTGTAATTTGACATGTGATGAGAGGAGCGTTGTTGATCTGTTATTTTGCATTATTTTGCAAATTATTTTGCACGTTATTCTGCACGTTATTTTGAAGGAGTTGTTAGATTCCCAAGTGTGAGAGTGACTTCTAACTTAAGATCAAATTATGCTTCTCCTTCTCATTTATGAAGATATGTGATTCGGGTCTCCTTTTCTCCCATGTTAGGGGTAGTGTTTAGCATGTACATACACCATCCACGGTAAGAAAAAAAAAAAAAAAAAATTGCAGCTTTGTGATATCTCTCTTTGCCTTTTTTTAAGCCCCTTGCATGAGAGAGGAAAAACAACAAAAAAAGGTATGCGTGCATATGTATATATGTATGTATGTACATATGCATGTATGCGCATACTTTTTTTTTTTTTTTTTTATGATTAACCATGGTAGGCACCTGGAAGATTGCATGTCAAGCGAAAGAGGGAGAAAGCTCACGGGCACATTCACTACACATGTTGGTGCTCGCATACATATGCAGCAACGCGTGTATGTATGTATATATGTATGTATATATGTATGTATATATATATGTATGTATATATGTATGTATATATGTATGTATATATGTAAGCACGTGAGAATACATGAAGGCACGCAAGTTCCTAATTAAGCGGCTCATGAACGAAGGGGGAAGGGATGCGACACAATCCTTGGTAAAGGCGTGGAAAAACATATTTTAGTTCTAATTTATTCAGGGTTCTGTGATTCATTCGATCTTCTATGTTTATATATATATATATATCTATCTATATAGATATGTACGTATATATATATATATATATATATACATACACACGTTCATAAAAATGGATCCCAGAAACTACTAGCTTAGTCACCAGAAGTACGCATAATGGAGGAGACATTAGCACCAGCAACCTTTTGCTATTTTTTTAAAGAAAATGAAAAGGCATCATATTCATGTTGCCCTTCTTTTCTATGTGGCAATAAATTCCCTGCACGCGTTAAGGAAAAATGGTGTTGCCATTCTAAAAAAGCTATCCGGTAAGGAAGTGATGTATATCTCGTCCCTAGAGAAACAGAACACAGTGAATAACAACAATTTCAAACATTTGACACTACTTAAGAGAAAAAAAAAAAAAAAGTTTATCCTTTTGAAAAAAATAAAAGATTCAAATATGTTAATGACAGCAAATACATTACATAAAGGTGGGAAGAACGATCAGATGAGTAATTTTTCCTTGTGCATGCTGAATCAGGATAGGTGTGACTCACCTCAGGTACAGGCTTGTGTGGATGGAACGAGTGACCCAGACGGTGCAAACCATCCGAACGGTGCAGACAACCCAGACGATGGTGTCGATTTTGGAAACAAGAAGGATAAAGAACCCACAACCACGAATAAACTTGAACATCGAAATGAGTACCTTTTTCCAAGTTCATCTGGGCACGATGACGGGGATGACATGGAAGAGGACCAAGGGGTAAAGAAGAAGAAGAAAAAAAAAAAGAAAAAAAAAGTACAGGAAGGAAAGGGAGAGGCAGAAGTGGAAGAAGCAGAAGTGGAAGAAGCAGAAGTGGAAGAAGCAGAAGTGGAAGAAGCAGAAGTGGAAGAAGCAGAAGTGGAAGAAGCAGAAGTGGAAGAAGCAGAAGTGGAAGAGACAGAAGTGGAAGAAGCAGAAGCAGAAGAAGCAGAAGTGGAAGAGACAGAAGTGAAATCTGATTCAGTGGGGAGTGGAAAGACCGTGATAAGAAACAAATCTGATGAAGAACACCCAATTTTGGATCTCTTGAAATCAGAAGCCCTCAGGGATACAGGGAGTGAAGAAAAACCTGTACATTTCGACAATATAGCTGATGTTGCGAAGAAATATGTAAAGAAAGCAGAAGAGGGAGATGCTCGTAAGTTGGAAGGGTTGGACAAGGAGAAAATGGTGGAGGAATACAACCGTTTGGTACGCACCCTGAAAGAAAGTGCTGAAAGAAAAATGAAACAGTATGAGGAAAATGAAAAGAAAAACAAGTACGAGCTAAATGAGAGAGTTATAAACAGCTCGCGTAAGCTGAATCTGGATAAGTTGAAGAAGGAGATTGAAAAGGCATTTATTCCAAATGAAGCACTTGAGAAGAAAATTCATGATTATATGTACATGTTCACACAGACAGGAGATAACAGTGGTATTGCGAGCGGCACAAGGAAATGTAATGGTTCGAGTGATGATTCCACCAATGAAGTGAACTCGGGAAGAAAGGAAAAGTCTCCCTCTGAAAGAAAGACAACAGAGAAGAACTTATCAGATGATATGGCTCCACACAACATAGACTCTTCTACACGAACAGATCGTGCGTATATGTCACAGGAGGAGGAACTGATTCAAGAACACGAAGAAAAAGAAAACAGGGAAATCCTTAAACGAATGTATAGGGGAGATTACAGTGGAATCGAGAAATTCCATTTCAAATTTTCTTCAAAAGATCTAGAAATGATGAAAAATTTAGATGCTCCTGGGAATGAAAGTGAAGAAGAAAGAACACTAATCAATGGAATTTTTAATAAAATTATCACGGAAAAGCCTGTTCTCAATGAAATTAAAGAAAAAGAAGAAAAATTTTTAAAGTTGTATGAGCAGAATAGAAGAGAAAATAAAATCGAGAGGAATGAAGATATAGAAAATTTGAAATACTACAATATGAAGGAGATGGAGAAGAAAAGGAAGAAGGAGGAGGAGGAGCGACAGAGAAAACTTCTTGAAAAGAAGACTAAAGAGAACGTGGATCAAAGGAGGAGGGATAATGACAACACATGTGGGATTGGAGAAACGACTCGAGAGAACGAATTAATTGATAAGAAAATATTTTTTAATAAAGTA